GCTGCTAGAAGCATTGGCTGCTGCTGAACTCTGGTGCTTCCATGAGCGACTTTCCTGCTGCAAGGGCCAACAATAAGGATAATGTCCAGGACAAATATAAGGACGTGTCACTACCGCTTATATGCACCAGTTGAACATCACTACTTCACAGTACAGTATCATGATAACAAATCATGACTTAGAACCTAAGATACAGTTGTGTTAGGCAAAATCCGACAAGAAGTTCAAAGTGCCCCCTTTATCTCCCATTACATCGCCCAACTTTACGCATACATGTATGTGTACTTGTATATACATACATACACACACACAAACACACACACACATACACACACACACACACACACACACACACACACACACACATATATATATGTAGGACTCAGTATAGAGTCCATGCACTATATGATGTCCAGCACCCTATATAGAGTCCATTGGTCCAAAATCCACTATACAGAGTCCAGGAGTCCACTCATGCAGTTTTGATCAGCTTCATCCTGCCGCGCAATCCCCTATAAGGAGTACACTTTTTCTACAAGTCCCCTATTCACGGTCCAGGAGTCCAGTTTATCCAGTCACGCCGTCCTCGACGTCCTGTGTGTTGTGCCCGAAAGAGAACAAACAATTTTTCAGTTTTGCTTGCCTCGTGGCTGCGCATTCCTTTCTTCACTTCAGCCATGGCTGCCAGTTTTGCTGTGCAGTTGCTGACAGTAATCTGTCTCGAGGTAACCAAGGAGGATAAGGAGACGTTCAAAATCAAATCTGGAAAGCGTCTTGTGGTTCTCTGAAGACGTTTCATCAGTGCGCGGGATGAAAGCAGAAATTGCAGAACGAGAAAAGTTCAGCACAGTTCAAATCTGACGAATCAGGTACACTGACACTCTCTTTCGTTCGACACCACAAGGATCCCCTGTTTGGCTGGCCATTGCTGCCAGTAAGGCGTTTGAACGGTTTCATCAGAGCGAGGGATGAAAGCAGAAAGCGGAGAACGAGAAAAGTTCAGCACAGTTCCAATCTGACGAGTCAGATACACTGACACTCTCTTTCGTTCGACGCCACAAGGATACCCTGTTTGACTGGACAAGAGCTGCCTGTACCACCGTGTCAAAAGGCTGTCCAACTACATGGCAGGACGATGACTGAGGTAAAGAAGCTTTTGCTCGTTTCGATTGGTCTGCTGTTCTGTCGTTATGCTTGACTTTTTTTTCCATTTTCAAGGATCGTATCGCGTTTGTTTGATGTAACGAATGAATGCCCTAAAAGTAATCAACCACTTCGTAATAGTCCTCAAGGACTGCAAGGACTTTGCGACTTTGCAAGGACTTTGTATCAATTGTATACGATCGTCTAGCTATCATCAATTATTATTTTATTTCATGAGAAATGTATTTTTATCCCTGTGATAATTATGTGAACTCCACGACACTCGTCCTCTACTAGGCTCTAGTATGATGTCAAATACAATGAGATCCACAAACGCAGTGCCAGTGTGCTAGTAGTAGTAGTAGAAAGATTTATTGTATGCCGATGACAAGAAAAAGCTTCTCAAGCTAATACATGTACTCGTATTCCATGAAGTAACCGTTTTGATGTCACAAACATGACATTGTGTCAGTGAAACTGCCTCGTGACAACAAATCAGTGCATTTCCATCTTGGGGAAGATTGACTGACGGCAACGCTGTACAGATTGTTCAAATCATCGAATTTCAATTTAGTTGCAGTGAAGTGAAACACTGTGTACACTACATGTATGGTGGTGTGTCTGTGCGTCTTGAGTGTGCACAAACGATCTTATTCCTCGTATTACTAATAGATAATTGTCCCCACCGTCACCTGTTCACAGGTCTTTGAGTGGATGGATTTTCATTGAGCATCACATTCGTTGAGAACTTGGTAGTTGTGTGCTCCCATGCATCATTACGGTAATAAGCGTATCCTTGTGTTATCTATTTGTTGCAGGTGTGCTGATCTTCAGAAGCTTGCGGAACTGAGTGCTGCTAAACATTTGCATGGCCATGAGCAATGGTGAAGCTTGCTATTGCACTCTCAGCATGTGCTAGTAGTATGCTGACTACTGCACTATGTTACTCTCTTAGTCTTACACTACTACATGTATGTAAACGTGCGTGCACCCGTCCACGTATGCATTCGTTTCGTATAATTATTTGTTATCCCTCTTGACTTTACGTGTAAATGGGTGGACGTTTGCATGGCTGTTGGAGTTGCGTGTGTATTGTGTCTCTACTCTTTTCTTGGTGTTTTCTTGGCATTGTATAAGTTTGTGTGTGTGTGTGTGTGTGTGTGTGTGTGTGTGTGTGTGTGTGTGTGTGTGTGTGCGCGCGCGCACAATAATTTGAAAACAAATAATAATTCCTTGGCTCTCCATTATTCTCTTTCGATTCTTGGTTTTTTTCTAGGTATTTTCTTGGCGTTGTGTGGGTGTGTGCATGTGTGTGTGTGTGCGTGCACAATAATTTGGCAACACTACATGATTGAGATATTGTAATTTGCAGTGTCTGCAGAGAGACCACTTGATTTGAGGATGGTGTTTGTAGGGTTTTTCATGTAATGAAGTGGCTGCAGTGGCGCCTCAATACTTATATTTTATCTTGAGAAGTGAATGATGTAAAGGATTAAAGGGAGAGGTCGGTTTCTGGTTAATATTCACTGCTTACAGCAGATCCTATGTCTAATTTCGAACTCTGGATAGGGGATGCCTAATTGGCTGGACTTTATACAGGGAGTGTTGTCCACATAAAGACTCCTTATAGTTGATTTCAAAGTTTGGACTCCATACAGTTGATTTTGGACCAATGGACTCTATATAGGGGTGAAGCCAATTGGCTGGACTCTATACAGGGAGTGATGCCCATCTAAAGTTTGAGCTCACAGTTGATTCCAAGTTTGGACTCTGTACAGTGGATTTTGGACCAATGGACTCTATATAGGGGTTGGACATCATATAGGGGCTGGACGCTCTACTGAGTCCAACATATATCAAGATCCTGCTGCTAAGTCTGGCTACACAGTTCCCGGTGGGACAGGTTAAATGGTGTTGGTCTCTCTGCTGCATCGGTGGCGTGTTGCTGCTGCTGCTGCTGCTTCCGAGGCTGGCTGAGGGGTTGAGAATCAATGATACCCTTGGACGACCCCAAACGCAGCGTAAACGAGAGAGCTTGGAAGCTCAGGGCCCTACGCTATGCTTTTATGCTTTTTTGCCTAGCTCATCGTACATGTTATAAGAACTGATGGAATTGTCTTCTTCCGTTGATTGGCCACATCACTGTATTGCAAAAACGTTTCAATCGGTTTGAATATTATGTATCCTGACGTTTACTGGGACCGGCGCTGACTCTGCCGATCACGGGCGTTCTGGACTCGACGGGATGTCTGTCCTGACGTTTCCTGGGACCGGCTTAGACTCTGCCGATCACGGGCGTTCTGGACTCAACGGGATGTCTGTCCTGACGTTGCCTGGTACCGCCGGACTCTACCGATCACGGGCGTTCTGGAGTCGAAGGGATCTCTCTTCCGACGTTTCCTGTGACCGGCACTGAATCGCTCGTTCACGCTTATTTTGGAGACGACGGGATCTCACTTCCAAAGTATGTTTATGCTGACGCATCCTATCACCTAATCGGCGTCTATTCTAATTTAATTTCCTCCTCGTCTCCCTATTTCTTTCCAAATCCCCCTCTACATCAGGGAGTCGTATGCATAATACGACGAATATTGGTACGGTACGGGACAGATACAGGAGCCCGCAAATATTGTGGACAGCTGTTATGTACTTGGTCCGTTTCATCGCAATTGTCGCTTATCTCCCACACATCTTTTGACAGGTAAAACCCAGTCCGATCTCAATATCTAACTCACATTCGTTTGGGAGGTTGTGATGGAAAGATCAAAGGAGACCAGAAAGAAAAAAATCATCGCGACTGGCGCCAGTGGCATCGCGATTCGTACAATTTTGATGGGAAAGTGGGGAACTTTTCGCTGCAGTGAATGCACTGCACTGCAGTCTGCAGTGAATGCACTGCAGTCTGCAGTGAATGTGTGCATTCACTGCAGCAAAAAGCCAAGCGCAGCTCAAAGACCAGAACGGAACTGTAGCAGGAGAAATCGACATCCTGACCTGGAGAGCGTGACAGTCACGGCCAGGCCAGGCAGCTCAGTCGCCAGGTTTGAACTGCAACGGCCTGGCATTCTTTGCAAGCCTGCAAACTGATGGGAGATGGTGACAAAGAAGACAATCATTGTCCGACCTGGCAGTGGCAGTACAAGAGTCGTGGTCAGCGTATCCAGCAGAGCGTATGACAGCTGTCAGGATCGGAGAGGGATGTGTGCCTGATTCAAAAACATTGTTGAAACACAGAGTACAGACGGGTCATGCTGCCCACGTTCCTCCAAGTGCCAAAGTGACAGCCACGACTGTTCCTTTCCCTTCGCGCCATACACCAAGCGGAGAAAGCAAGAGATACTCTACGCCAGCAGCTATACAGACCAGCGAATGTCAGCTCAAGTGACATCAGCTCGAGTGATACAGAGCCAGAGTCGGACAAACTAGAGCGTGAGTGCAAGATCAAAGAACGCGCTCCGTCGCTGTTTTCTTTAGTACATTTTTTGTAACCTTGCTTCCTTTCTTCGACTTGCTTCACCAGATTCCACCGCTGAATTTTTTTCTTGTGCGGACAGGAATCATGTATCATGCTTCTTCACTATGCGTATTGGAAATTTTACAGAGCGGTAAAAAAAACTCCTGTTCTTAGTTGTGATAGATAAGCGACAATTGCGATGAAACGGACCAAGTACAATCCTGTAGAGCCTTTGTAGTCACAGATACGGGACAGATACGGGACAGATACGGGATAGCGCAAGGCGTGACACAAACAAACAAACAAACAAACACACACACAAATACCAAATTAAAGCTGTGTGGACCCTGGCTAGCGCCAGACGTTACTGAAGTAACGTCTTCTGCATAGCTACGGGAATAAAGCCAGAACTATTCTCGTACAATTTGACGGAAGGGCGGGCATTCTATTCAAGTTAGACTTATATCCAGGCTTATGTGCTCATGATCCATCCTGAAAATCAGGCTTAAACTTTGAAGTACACGTATTCAGAGCTGGCTTCCACACGAGAGACGCATTTATACAAGATGGCACACCCAAGGCGGATTGAAAAGAACAACACGACTGAGTGTTGTGACTGCACAGGCGCGAAGACAGCACAGGCGCAGTGACCGTACAAGGCGCAGCAGTGACTACACAGGGGACACTGACCGTACAAGGTGCAGTGACCATTCATGGCGCAGCAACCCTGTACTGTGCAGATCGTGCTGCGAAACTAACATACAGTCACATTGCGTAAAGTTGTGAGCTCCAAACGTAGTTTTCTCACTTTTCTGTATATTAAATCTACCCGTATTTGAATATTTTTTAAGAACTTTGAAACTCCACTGTAGCCTTGTCATATTTTCAGTATACCCAACTCGCAACACACTAACAGTCCTTGGCTACACCACGTACAGTTGAAATTGTTATTCCCTGATGATGCCCTCCTGGGTGAAAATTTGGACAATTTCAACTGTACGTGGTGTAGCCAAGGACTGTTAGTGTGTTGCGAGTTGGGTATACTGAAAGTATTTGAATACAACAAAGAATGTTTCAATGTAAGGGGCCGTCCGTGATTACATGTATTTACTTAGAGACGTCTAACAAGCGTTTCTTTCTTGACCCACCCACCCACCCCCAGAAACGCCCCCAACAATGCAGATAATACCACTCATAACGAGAGAGCTTGGAAGCTCAGGGCCCTACGCTATGCTTTGTTACTTAGCTCATCGTGCATGTTGTGGGAACTGATGGAAATGTTTCCTGGGAAGGCGCTGACTCTGCCGAGCACGCGCGTTCTGGAGTCGACGGGATCACTCTGCCGACGTTTCCTGTGACCGGCGCTGACTCGCCCGTTCACGCCTATTTTGGAGACGACGGGATCTCTCTTCCAAAGTATGTTTTTGCTGACGCATCCTATCACCTATTCGGCAACTAACATCCATTCTAATTTCATTTCCTCCTCGTCTCCCTATTTCTTTCCAGAATTTCTCTCTATACATCAGGGAGTCGTACTGTATTGGCAGCCACCCTAACGGGTCACGCCGCCCACCACCTAAGCATGGGTATGATGAGGGACAGTGGCAACAGAAACAAAAAAAAACAGCAAGCAGGGAGAGAAAGCAAGAGAAAGACGGTGATAGTAGTACATCTGGTGTGCGACGTATAGAAAAGAGAGATGACAAGAGATGCGCACAAAATAGAAAACAATAATATTATTTTTGCAGTTCCGAAACAATCAACCAGGTGATGGAGTGTGGGCACCCGAAGTCCCACCTGGACTCCACTGGAAGAACATCCCACGCAGGGATATCAGCGATAGGCCAAGCGTTGAAAAACAGCCACGAGGACACATCGTCTAGAAGTCCACCGCGCTCGAACTAAAATTGCAGGTTCGAACAATTTCCCACGCGGCGTCAGGCAGCATAACTCTTCTCCCTGCATCACCATCCATCTCCAGCAACCGGCTCCACTCACAGCTCATGCCTCTGCCACCACTGTACTCCTCCGAGCTTCACAGTTTGAAACCATTCGGGGGTCAGCTACACCACCGCGAATGGAGAGACGAGGACGACAACGGTCGTGACTGAAAAGACACTGCCTTGGCGACCGCGTCGCGGAACCCTCCCCCAGCAAATTCAGAAATACGCCAGGGGCAACTCTGGTGGACCCAGAGCCACCCCCTTGGCAAGACTAGTAAGAGGAACGACTGAAAACTCAGATAAAACAGAGCTACAAAAAGTGCAACCGTCCCCTTCAAGCACAGTTGCAACACACAGGGAGTCGTATACATGTACATAATATTGTGGCCAGCTGTTTGTAGCCAGCTGTGTTTGATGGTACGGTACGGTACAGATACGGGAACCAGCAAATGGCCAGCTGTGCGATACGGTACGGGACAGATACGGGATAGCGCCAGGCGTGACACAAACAAACAAACAAACAAACAAACACCAAATTAAAGCTGTGTGGACCCTGGCTAGCGCCAGACGTTACTGAAGTAACGTCTTCTGCATAGCTACGGGAATAAACACCATACTATGCACACATGCACAGTACAGTAGACTCCACCTACATGTATAACGAACTCGCATATAGTGAATTTTGTGATATAGCGAACCCTTGGTAGCCAGTGCAGGCTGTCGTAATAAAACGACTCATCCGTGTTCCATTCCCGTGCATGGTACATGCATGGTGTGACGGCACAATGACAGCTGTCGCAAATCACACGTGTTTGTTGGTGATTCCTGGTTAGCTGCTAGCTTTTCCCTACTCGAAGATGTTGCCGCCGCGAAATCTGGGGGTTTGTGTTCGTCCTGGCGAAAACCGTGTTTTGATCCGTTGAGGGAGACGAGAGATACAGTGCGAAGATGTACGATCTGTCCGAGAATCGGCGAAAAAGAAAGCTTCGCAGACGACCCGTAGTGGTTGGGAACAGAACGGAACATATACCAGTCGATGCCTGTCATGGTAGGGATGACTGCTACGAAGTTTTAGCCCCATGCTCCCCAGCGCTTTTTAGCGCCCGACGATAATTACCAAATTTCATCGATTTTCCATGTGGATCAAAGCATAGTCTCCTCAATCTTCTCCAGTCGACCTGAGTCTGGACGCTACAATGTCGAGACGCGAAAAGAGAACATGCATGAACACACAGGAGCATCACATGCAGCTGCATTCTGCCTTGACGAAGCTGAGAACAACACCAGCACCACGCATTTGGAAGACATTTCGAAGAAGACGAAGAACTACATATCTGCGTTCAAAAAAGCCTCTGTACTGTGCAGTATGCATGCGCGAAGCACAGGGTCCGCGGATCAACTTCGTTCAAAAATCATTGTGCCACACGGGTTGTATGATTTGTGTGCGATCATGGCCTTTCTTCTTGACAAACAAAACTGAAGTTTTTCGATCTTCAAATCGCCATAGCGTCCTTGTCATGACTCCAAATCAGCTGAAACTTTGCAGGAGGAATGAAAATGCCATGCTGAATCGATTGGTACCACTTTCGAAGGGTTTCCTTGAAAAATAAAATTTAGCCTGCACTGGCTACCCTTGGCCATGCCCGTGTGAACCCATGAAAGTTTACCCTTTATAGCGAACAGTTACATGTATGTGTCCCAGTCTACTCTGCCATGACGCGTGCAGTGCAGTGTAGTGCGTCTCAACGCCTACCTGTACTGGCTGCAGCAGTCATCATGATATACATGTAGATCTACACGTACACGCACAGTATGGTATGCATGCACTCCGAAATGTATTTTTTAGAAACGCCTTGCAGGCGAACCCACCCACCAGAAACGCCTGTTAGACGTATCTAAGTCTAAGTAAATACATGTGTTTACGGACGCCCCTAAGCTAAAGGTGATTCTGATTTTTTTTGAAAACCGGGGAAATTGAGTACTAGTCGTAGGTGTGTGCGTGTGTGTGTGTGGGGGGGGGGGGGGGGGGGAGGGGGAGCAGGTGTTTCGAGCTGCTTACCTTCTCTGTGTCTGAATCACTCAATTCACCTTCTTCACAGTCCTCGTCGTTGTCAGATGCTCTTTTACATAATCCACTCAGTGTGGTCGACTCTCCTGCCTTCGTCGGGTTAGTTTGGATATTGTCGTCAGAGCCCTGAGCAAAAGGCCACCACTTCAATGAATCGGACCCAATGCCACCACCCACAAACGCTAAAAGAGCAATCCTACCTCTGGAGATGATACCAGTTCCCCATCCTCCTGGTCCATACCCGGTCAGGCAATACAGATACTTCGTTGAACTGGTACTCGTTGAAATCCTTGTACTTGTCTCAATTTCTCTACAAAATTAGAAGTCGTATTTTCATAAAAAGTACAGTCAAAATGATGCAACACATTTTTTTGTGTAAAATGTGTGATCAATCTTTTTGGTTCAGAGTTTGGCGCCATTTTATGGAAGTAGGGGCATGCGCATGACGACATTCTTTGCGAGGTTTTGGTCCCCGAGTCGAGTTGACCTGAGCTGTACGAGCATACATCAACTCTCACAACTGAGTCTGTACTGGCACCACGAAAGGAGGCTGGTCGGTGTGCTGTTTGTGGAGATGTTCTCCACCCGGGTCAGCGCGAATGGCCTCGCCAGAGGTCTACAGGTCACTATTCCACACACTGCTCCTGTAGATGGAGTTACTCCGTACCTTGGCAGTGGCATGCCGGCAGGCTTTTTTTTAGATATTGCTTTTCAGCAACTAATTACTTACTGAATTACAGATGGAGCGGACTCGCTCCCTTCTATTTACCCTGCAACGTTCGAACACATTTTCGTAGTTAAAACAACGTTTCGGCATATAGCCCTCATCAGGTTTGCAATGATGTGCACTCTACAAAGGAGCAGCAAATATACTGTGCTGTGCTGTGTTTGCGCCAAATGTGTCAGCTACAAAGGTGGCGAAAGGGATTGGTGATATATTAATATCCAGATACGATATATTCACAGTAGTGCCCAGCCAGCATTAGTGTTTACTTGCGGCCGCAAGTAACTTAGTTGCGGATTTCAACAGCTTCTCGCAGTTTTCTGCTTGCTCTGTCGCCTGCCCTTGCCAGGACTGACACAGCCGAGAACACACTATCCGCAGCAGCTATACTCTCGCCGGAATGTTTGTCGCGCACGTGGTCACCCCATGGCTTATCGAGAGTGCGACGGCGTGCCTCGCCATTGTGCTCCCGAATTCTTGTTTCCAAGGAGCGTTCCGTCTCCCCTACATACGTTTCCCGGCACCATTTGCATTGCAATTCGTAGACTACATTCTTTGTCATACATACTCGTTCGCCTCCAGACTGACAGGTAATGCAAGGCCCTAGTGGACGTCCTCTTCGTCTTTTTTCAGTAATGTTGGGCTCGTTTACGCACTTGGGTGGTAACAGCGCCGAACGGCACAGTTGACGCCTGAGGCTGCCCGAGTGCTCGTATACGACACGTACCGGCAACTTGTATTTCCGTATTGCTTTGTTCACATGGTGGTGTACTTCATCGGACTTGAACGGTAGTTTAAGGAAGGCAGAGCGGGGATTACCGCGTCGTCTACGCCGAGGTTTCCTGGCAGCTTCCCTTGCTTCCGATATGATACTGTCTGGGTAGTTATTTATGCGCAGTTGTTTGTGTAACAGACAATGCCAGACGGGTATTGGAACTGGGACCCGGTTTTGTACCGTCCACGGGCAAGTTAACCAGTCGTGAGAAATCAGAAGTGGTCACCTCCGTAGAACGGATGGCCTACACTTTGAGATGGCAGCAGGTGCGGCCTCAGGGTGTGGACCAGCCAGAGGACGACCACGATACCGGTACCGAGTGTGATCGCAGGCTGTGGAAGCTAAAGAAGCATGGCTTCAAGCAACCGCCCAGAATGAGCCAGGATGGGGAAAGAAAGATGGCCAACTTCAAGGACGAAGTTTTGGCAGCATAATGGCAAACAAAGACCTCCCAAGCATAATATGACGCAAGAGGAACGCGACGGACTGAGATAACTTCGTCATGACCCCAGTGTAGTGATAAAGCAATCCGACAAGAGCAAGAAGCTAGTAGCTATGAAACAGGAACTCTACCTGGAGAAGGCAGAGGCACTTCTGTCTGACAGCACTATGTACAGAAAAGTGGATCTAACTATCACTGCGTATGAGAAAGAGGTTAAATCCATACTGGAAGAGCAATGCACGAATATGGATCCTGATCTTCTGACTGCAATACTCCCTCATGACACAGGATTCCCGGAACTATACGGTCTTCCAAAGGACCACAAGCAAAATTTGCCCCTCCGACCTGTTGTCTCTGCTTGTGACAGTCCAGTCACAGGAATTTCGGTGGTTCTCGAACGCATATTGCATCAACTGCTTGCATTTGTCCCATCGCACCTCATCAACACCAAAGACGCGCTAGACAATATCCGCACCATATACCCTGGCCTTAAAGCACCTGCTGGAACGATTCTGGCTACGATGGATGTGGTGGGTTTGTATCCCAGCATACCGATCGAAGAGGGCGTGAATGCCGTTAGTGACGTGCTAGAGCAACACTATAACAGAGTTGATATGCTCGGGCTGAGCGTGACCCAAGTCAGGACACTACTGAAGTTTGTTCTGAGTCATAACTACTTCAGATTTGGCAGACAGATCTACCACCAGCTAGATGGGGTTGCTATGGGGAACAACCTGGCACCTCCATTTGCCATCCTGTTTATGCACACCATTGAGACACGACTTCTTCAGGACTCACCCTTCCAACCTATTCTGTTCAGACGATACATCGACGATATCATCATCCTATGGACACATGGCAGGCAGCGCCTTCTGGAGCTCATAGAAAGATTCAACGCCAGCCACGAACGTATCAAATTCACGCATGAATTAAGTTGTGACAGTGGCTGCATAGACTACATCATACATGGACGTAACGATCGCGGTTGGGCAAACCGGAGAGCTGTCATTCAAATTGTTCCAGAAGGCATGCAGTAGTGGCCTACTGGTGGATTATTCATCGGCAGTTCCTCACCACATCAAGTTAGCCGTCGCTCAATCTCAATTCCTAAGGGCACAGCGACTATCGTCTAAGGGCCTGGTCAGACTGCGGCAAAATCGAAATAATCCTAGGATTATAATCCGAATCTCCATAGTAACTTGCCGCCAGAGCGGCAAAAGCGAGAGTTGACGCTCCAAAAAAAAAGCAAGAACGGACCACGCTTTTCCGCTCCAAACAGGATTTGACGCTGATACGCCATTGACGCTGATAATCACTGATTTTTTCATCTCGATATCGAGGAGCTAATTGGCCACGGACAACAACAAAACTCATAAGGATTGTTGCAAGGATTGCACTGAAGGTGTTGGCGATCCCCAAGGTGAAGGAATTTGACGTCGTTCTTGGAAATTACCACTTGACGCTCGAAATGAAGTTTGAATTTTCACTCTCCCCACATGTGTAGTGTGATCGCGATTCAAATTCTGGACGCTGTTCTGTTTTCGTCAGGCAACCAAGATTTGCCGCAGTCTGACCAGGCCCTTACCCCATGATGCAAGCCGAGAGCGAACAAAAAATACACAAACAACTGCGCATAAATAACTACCCAGACAGTATCATATCGGAAGCAAGGGAAGCTGCCAGGAAACCTCGGCGTAGACGACGCGGTAATCCCCGCTCTGCCTTCCTTAAACTACCGTTCAAGTCCGATGAAGTACACCACCATGTGAACAAAGCAATACGGAAATACAAGTTGCCGGTACGTGTCGTATACGAGCACTCGGGCAGCCTCAGGCGTCAACTGTGCCGTTCGGCGCTGTTACCACCCAAGTGCGTAAACGAGCCCAACATTACTGAAAAAAGACGAAGAGGACGTCCACTAGGGCCTTGCATTACCTGTCAGTCTGGAGGCGAACGAGTATGTATGACAAAGAATGTAGTCTACGAATTGCAATGCAAATGGTGCCGGGAAACGTATGTAGGGGAGACGGAACGCTCCTTGGAAACAAGAATTCGGGAGCACAATGGCGAGGCACGCCGTCGCACTCTCGATAAGCCATGGGGTGACCACGTGCGCGACAAACATTCCGGCGAGAGTATAGCTGCTGCGGATAGTGTGTTCTCGGCTGTGTCAGTCCTGGCAAGGGCAGGCGACAGAGCAAGCAGAAAACTGCGAGAAGCTGTTGAAATCCGCAACTAAGTTACTTGCGGCCGCAAGTAAACACTAATGCTGGCTGGGCACTACTGTGAATATATCGTATCTGGATATTAATATATCACCAATCCCTTTCGCCACCTTTGTAGCTGACACATTTGGCGCAAACACAGCACAGCACAGTATATTTGCTGCTCCTTTGTAGAGTGCACATCATTGCAAACCTGATGAGGGCTATATGCCGAAACGTTGCTACGAAAATGTGTTCGAACGTTGCAGTGTAAATAGAAGGGAGCGAGTCCGCTCCATCTGTAATGCTGTATGAAACTGCAGGAGGCCTCACCGCTTCTAATTACTTACTTGCTGAAAAGGAGTATCAGTAAAAAAAAAGCCTGCACAGCGGTATGCCCGTACACCTGCTGTCATTCGTTCTGTGCTATCGTCCTCTGCTGGACTTGCTCAGGCGCGTTCACCGGGTCAAAAAGGTGGTTTCCAAAAATCCGCCGTCGACTTCGTGCACTGGTAATACAACTGGCCAAGGTGCTGGCCACTACATGCAGCTGCGAAGAGGACGCATGGCAGACAGAAGACAGAGTCCAGCTTCTTGGAGTAGGCAAGCCAAGTAAAACGATCTTGCCAGGACGGTTGTGGAACAAGTGTTCGACCGTGGCTCCTTATTCAATACTCGGACTGGATAAGGGAAGGACTTGGCGGGTGTCCAGTGTTGATTGGCGATCGCCACCTTTGTTTTGTAAGGGGCAGTGCGTGGACAGAGTTCCACCGACAATTCTCGCCATCATAGAGTGTGCCAACGTCGGAAAAGTCAAAATCTTCACCAAAAGTCAATCTTTTTGTAGCGGGCTCGTCAGCAGTTTCGTCCTCTATTGAGTATTGTGAAACTTGGCTCGTCACAGTCTTGAACTTCAACTTGGCCGCCGCCTTCAGCAATGCCGGCGCCGCTCCGTCAGAAATTTCACGTCGTTCCAAAGCACCCACCACTTCAGTTAGGGACGCCCTCCATGCCAAACACCCACAAGCGGAACCTATTCGTCCTGAGGCCCTAATCTCAGGCCCTCCGCCGCCTCAACCGCATCCTGTTATGTTTGACAACCTGTCCCGTGAGGCCATCCGAAAGGCTGCTTTGCACACTCATGCCGTCATGGAGCAGCCGGGCCTTCTGGTGTAGATGCAGATGATTGGCGGAGAATGGTCACTGCCTTTTCGGCACTCATCGGACACGCTGTGTGACTCCCTGGCTAGTTGCGGCGCACGTCGGTTGGCCACTACGTATGTGGACCCGCTATCACTCGAGGTGTTCACTGCCTGCCGCCTGATCCCGCTGGATAAACGCCGGCCAGGGCCCGGGGGTGCTCCCCATCGGCATTGGGGAAGTCGTCAGAAGAATCGTGGCCAAAGCCATACTGTCTGTAACAGGTAATCAGATCCAGGAGGCTGCTGGTACTCAGCAACTCTGCGCTGGACAAGCCGAGTGCGGTACCGACGGGTCTGCCTAAGGAACATTCGCCACCTTTGCCCATCCTGTCCCCCACTATCATCAATACGTACCGCCATCCCGCCAAGCTCTTTGTGGATGGTGAATGCTTGCTATCCTGTGAAGGCACTACCCAGGGTGATCCGGTGGCGATGCAGATGTACGCCCTTGGCATCGTACCCTTGGTCCAGGCAGTCAACTCACCCGGCATCACCCAGGTGTGGTACGCGGATGACTCTTCGGGCGGTGGAAGACTTCGAGCCCTCCGCACCTGGTGGGATGGGCTGACTGAGCAAGGAGATGCCTATGGATACCACCTCAACGCCAGCAAATCCTTGCTGCTGGTTAAGGAGCGCGCATTTGATGAGGCGGTTGCACTCTTTCCTGGCACGGGTGTCCAGATTGTCAGAGATGGCTGTCGTCACTTAGGAGCCGCTTTGGGCACCCCAGAGTTTGTCAGCAGAGTCAAAGGTCGCCGACTGGACACGTCAGGTGTCTCGGCTATAAGATTTTGCCCAGACCCAACCCCAGGCTGCCTACTCCGCATTTGTCCATGGTCTACAAGGCAAGTGGTCTTTCTTGTCCCGGACCTTGGAGATATCATCGGAGGAGTTGGGTGGTCTGGAAGCCGTCATCAGGGAGCGCCTCATCCCAGCCCTTACTGGTCGCCTCTCTCCGTCCAGTGTGGAGCGGCTTATGCTCTCGTTCCCTTGTCGGGATGGCGGTTTGGGTCTCTCGATTCCCACCGCCCAATCTCGCCACTATGCCCACTTCCGAGCTGTTACTAATGAGCTCAGGGAAATGATTGTTAAGGCAGATCCGTCGCTAGCTGGTGTGGCAGACGCTACCAAGACCGCCAAACGGCAAGTCCGCACTGCAGCTCGGGCATCACAGCAACAGCTAAAGGAGGGATTTGTGAGCGGTGAAGGTGCTGTACATGCGGCTCAGCTTGAGCTTGCTTCCGAGCGTAGTAGCTCTGCTTGGCTGACGTCACGTCCTCTATCCTGCCATGGCTTTCGTCTCTCTAAGTCTGAGTTTCGAGACGCTCTATGTTTGCGCTATGGCTGAGTGCCGGAGCGTTTACCGTCATCCTGCGTTTGTGGCAACGCGCGCTTCGACGTCTCCCACGCGTTATCCTGCCCGACCGGTGGATTTCCGTCTTTAAGACACAATGAAATCTGTGACGTCACCGCCGACCTCATTCGCCAGGTGGCTCACTCGGTATCCGTGGAACCTCCACTGCAACCGCTCTCTGGTGAGCAGTTCAGCCTCCGATCTGCGTCCGTAGAGGACAATGCTCGCCTCGACATCGCTGCCAGTGGGCTATGGGGTGGCCGGTTCGAACGCACAATGTTTGATATACGGGTGTTCAACCCCTATGCTGCTTCGAATCGTGCTGCCTCAACCCCCGCTGTGTATGCCCGTCATGAACGCGAGAAGAGGAGATATGAGGAGAGGACTCGGGAAGTCGAGAGGGCCTCCTTCGTGCCTGTCGTCATGTCGGCTAGTGGTGGTGCTGGGAAAGCCGCCACAGTTTTGTACAAGCGCTTGGCTGCTCTTATCTCTGAAAAGAGAAACGACCAGTATTCTGCCACCATGGCGTGGATTCGCACTCGGCTGTGCTTTGCGCTGGTGAGGTCGAGCATCATGTGTTTGCGTTGTGCCAGATCGTCCAAGTCCCGCTACCTCCAGCTAGATCCGGTTGCGGTTGTCGTTGCGGAGGCACGCCTGCGGAGGCACGCCTGCGGAGGCACGCCTGCGGAGGCACGCCTGCGGAGGCACGCCTGCGGAGGCACGCCTGCGGAGGCACGCCTGCGGAGGCACGCCTGCGGAGGCACGCCTGCGGAGGCACGCCTGCGGAGGCACGCCTGCGGAGGCACGCCTGCGGAGGCACGCCTGCGGAGGCACGCCTGCGGAGGCATGCCTGCGGAGGCATGCCTGCGGAGGCACGCCTGCGGAGGCACGCCTGCGGCCTGAGGCATCTGACTAGCTTTAAAACAACACACACATTTACAAAGTTGCTTGGACTGAATTTCACTTGTTTTATTAGTGTATTATAGTTACTGCGCAGTACTGTGCATGCTAGCTACATAATCATAATAACTATTAATTTTTTGGTTTTGCCCGTACAGATGAAAGCACTTGTTTCCACTTTGGACATATGCGACAGGCCTACTGTCCGCGCTTTGTCTTTGATGTCCTTGCACAAGCACAGACTGGGGTCAGTACACTGTACAGCGTGGTCGAGTCCAGCAAAAAATTATTTGCATCGCGCGTGAGTGGACATGTCACTATTATAGCGCCGGTATCGTAGAAGTCCGTAGTGGTAGAAGTCCCTAGTGGTAGAAGTCCCTAGTGGTAGAAGTCCGTAGTGGTAGTGCCTGAATGCAACATGACCGTATACGATAGCTACGTAGGTCGAGCGCCAGTCACGTACATGTAGATGACTGTAATGTGCACGTGCATGCATGATACTTGATAGTACTTATTGCACCATGTAGATCTACCAGTGCATGCAGTGGCCTGTGCGCTTCGCTTCCATCAACAGAGATGCAATAAGGAAGGCAGCCCTCCACACTCAGGGCTCAGCACTGCAGGGCCATCTGGCATGGATGGAGACGGATTTGCACCTCTTTCAGCAAATCGTCTGATGCTCTTTGCCATGCACTTGCCTCCACAGCCCGACGGATCGCTTTGTCATACATACGTAGACCCCGTAGCACTCGAGGCCTATGTTGCCTGCCGACTGATCGCATTGGATAAGCAGCCTGGAGTCCGACCTATTGGTGTTGGAGAGATTGTACACCGCAACATCGGAATGGCCATCCTCTCCACAGTTGGTGAGGCCATTGAGAATGCCGCGAGATGTCTCCAGGTGTGTGGAGGGCAAGAGTCAGGCATAGAGGCTGCCATCCACGCCATGCGAACTGCCTACGGCCAGAACGATGTGGAGGGAGTCCTGTTTGCAGACGCATCCAATGCGTTTAACTCGCTCAACAGACAGGTATGCCTCCAGAATATCCGTCATCTCTGTCCGGAAATCGCGCCGGCTCTCATCAACACGTATCGCTCACCGGCGGCTCTCTACGTGGATGGTGAGGCCATCATGTCAGTTGAAGGTACCACCCAGGGCGACCCATTGGCCATGGCAATGTACGCGTTGGGCACCATCCCGCTGATCCGAGTCGCTGCCGAGAGTGACGCCCTGCAAAGCTGGTATGCTGATGATGCCAACGCAGCAGGGAAGATCCCCCGCCTCCGAGCCTGGTGGGACATCATCGAGCGGAGAGGTCCAGAGTTTGGCTATTACCTTAACACAGCCAAGTCGGTTATTCTTGTTAAGCCCGAATACGCTGAAGCTGCACGGGCAATCTTCGCCGACACCGATATCGTCATCAAGAAGGATGGCAACCGACACCTTGGAGCCGCCCTTGGATCACCCGAGTATAGGGCCTCCTTTGCTTTGGCGAAGGTGAAGGCATGGCAAGAGGAGATCCGTGAGTTGTCCACCATGGCCTCCACCCAGCCACAAGCAGCTTATGCAGTGTACACCAACGTTCTCCGGCACAAGTGGTCATTCATCGCCCGCACAATGCCAGGCGTTGCCCTGCACCTCGAGCAGCTGGAGTCCACCATCTCCGAGTCGTTTATTCCCGCTCTTCTTGGTTGTCCCCAGTCCGGAGAGACGGAACGCCAAGTTCTCGCGCTCCCAAGCCGCTACGGAGGCATGGGGATTGTCTCCCCAGTATCCCTTGTGAACCAGTTTCCTTCCTCCCTTCCCATCACCGAGAGCTTAGTTCAGCGCATTTTGAGCCAGGATACACTGCCACAGGAGGAGGCGGACAACACCAGGGCAGCTAAAGCTAAAGCCAGGGCACACGCCAGAAAGACGGAGCAGCGTCATGCAAGTGGATGGAGACCTGCAGAGGTCCATGGATCTTGCGGCTGAAAGGGTGCGTCGAACTGGCTCACCTGTCGACCACTCAAGCATCACGGGTTCTCGCTACACAAGGGCGCGTTTCGAGATGCTGTCTGCCTCCGCAACGGGTGGACTCCGCCCCACCTCCCCCAGAGCTGTGCCTGTGGAGCTGCCTTCACTGTCTCGCACGCCTTGTCTTGCCCAGTAGGTGGCTATCCGTCTCTGCAGCACGAGCTGCGGGACTTGACCGCTACCATGCTCACATCAGCAGCTCATGATATCAGCATTGAGCCACGCCTCCAGCCGTTATCTGGTGAGAATTTTCATCACCGGACGGCTATCCGTGAGGATGGTGCCAGGCTGGATGTTGCTGCCAGCGGGGTATGGGGTGGCCGGTTTGAGCGAGCTTTCTTTGATATTCGGTGTTCAACCCTCATGCTCGCTCGAACTCAGTCCACTCCATCCCCGCCGCATACGCAAAACATGAGCGTGAGAAGTGTCGGCATTATGAGGAGCGTGTTCGCGAGGTGGAGCATGCCACCTTCGTTCCCCTCGTATTCAGTGCCATCGGAGGCCAAGGCAAGGCGGCAACTGCCCTTTACAAACGGCTCGGACTGATCATCAAGAATTGAACTACTGCAGCAAAGCCAGTAATTATATATTATTTACAAGGAGTTTAATAGCAGAGAAACCCAGGGTATGGGCTAAGAGAAAAAGTTAAATCAAAAATATGAGACAAGGCAATGCTTGAAGAGCAAAGCAGAGCCACTGAAATTTAATGACACAGGACGACTACCATGATGGCAGAACAGATGTGGAAGAGGTGCATCACCGTGCATGGTGACATACCGTACTCACTCGATTAGAAGCCGGGGGCTTCAATTTTTTTCAATACCAATTTCGAGGAGGCTTCTATTCAAGAGGGGCTTCTATTCGAGAGGGCTTTTATTGTTTCATTCCATACCAGTATTCCAATCGAATCTGTAAAACTTTCATATTCACAGCAACTCGGCCCCGAGTTAGTTTGCAAACACTACATCGACCAGGACATGTACCAATAGGAACATGCACGAGATGTTTTTTGCAGACTTGACCTTCATACATGGCACTACCTGGTCAACCCATGCTTTGCGAATAGTAGTCCGGGCTTCTATTCGAGAGGGGCTTGTATTTTTTCAAACAGTCCTTGTAGGTTTTAGGAAATTAGAGGCCACATGCCACGTACTGCTCTTTTCTCTCCGAAACTCTACACTTGCAAGCCAGATATGAAAGAAAGAAAAAATCATCAGTCACACCACCGGGACTCTAACCAGGGACCTTGCTATTCGCGAGCAATGCTCTAACCAACTGAGCTACAGCATGACTCTTATCCACAGTTTGTATTTGCTCGCAGCGGACATAGTTTGATGCGCTCCCCATGATATCAAGCGAATGGCCGAGGGCCCCCTTGATTGGTGTGAGTTGCCAGTATGTTGCAAGCCAGATATGGATTGATCGAAGAAGGATAGATTTACCATCACCGTGGATAAGAGTCATACTGTAGCTCAGTTGGTTAGAGCATTGCTCGCGAATAGCAAGGTCCCTGGTTCGAGTCCCGGTGGTGTGACTGATGATTTTTTCTTTCTTTCATATCTGGCTTGCAAGTGTAGAGTTTCGGAGAGAAAAGAGCAGTACGTGGCATGTGGCCTCTAATTTCCTAAAACTTTGAAATTCTCCGTGAAGTCTAAATTTGAAATTGCAGTCCTTGTAGGGGGGCTATTATTCAAGAGGGGCTTTTATTCGAGAGGGGCTTCTAATCAAGTGAGTACGGTAGTTCTGCCCAGCAGTGTGCAGGCGTGGAAAGCATGCAATTTACATGCGATCCACGGTGGTAATGCCCAGGAGGCTGAGGCCCTTGGCCATGACGCGAGCTGTTGCTTCACAGATGAGAATTCGAGACCAGTTGATCTTAAGTACCTCGCCAGTCTCGCGGTCCTTCTCCACGCAGTAGCAAGAGTCATAGAATTCAGTGAAGTGCGTGCTCAAATCATACAGGTACTCGCAGAGAACATGTGGGAGCAGGTCTTCGTGGATGCGCTGTATGACCTCGGCAAAGCGCAGCACGTGCTTCGCCAGCTTGACCTCGGCCGCCTCTCCAAGAACCAGCTCGGTGGTAGCGGCACGAGCTGTCAGCGCACCCGAGTCTGACTTCGCAAGTCGGATAATGGACCTAGATACAGGTGAACATCGACACGCACACACGCATGCACACACGCGTGCGCGCACACACAAGCAAGAATGAATGAAATCAGCAAACAATGGACACAAATTATCATAAGAAAGAAAAAGGACCAAGGAACTACAAGTTACGCTATGATGTCCACTAACACCACGAGTTACTAAACAATCATCTCATGCGATAACATGGCACGACACTGATCGACGATACTGACGTTCTACAACTAACTGTTCGCATAGATTCCCCTTTTATTGATCTTCGTATCTTTTGAGCCACACACGTTGTGTGGAATGTTGCTTTGCGTCCTTGAATCGTGGTTTGACCACATTGTCCAATGGTCTTGCCAGTATCGTCATCGACATGCATGAACATCCGCCAACGTCCTTCACAGCTGAGACTTTCAGCTCGTGCTTATCTTGGTTGCGCTCGCCTTCCCCTCCTTATGTTATTTCTATAACTTAGAACCTTGCAAGTTGGAAGGCTGTTGGAGAGCGCATCCAAGGTGTGCTAGAGCTGTTAGCCAGTTAGTTGCAGAATGATTAATCCTTGGCTCTCCATCTGAGTACAAATTATCATGACCCAGATTACCTAATCTGGACACCTACTTCAGTACTCACATAATTATGATCTCTTTGCTGCAGGAAAACTCTCTCTCGATATTGAATGACCAAATTTTCAGGCATGGCCCATCCTCAGGGCGAAAAAATAAAAAAGATATTTGAAGTAGATTACGACCAGCATTATTTAAAAACCTTTCCTTAAAACTCTCCAACTCCACTGTAGCGTCTTCTTTCCACTATCATCATTGCCCTTATGATGCCCAATGTGCAAAATATTGGCAGCAATTTATTCTTGTCGTGCACGTGAGAGCCTTTGCGGGAATGGAGGTGTTCACAGCTGGTAATAAAACCTTTTAGAATATTGGTTGAAGTAGCTGAGTGAGGAAGGTCAGAGAAGTAAGGTTTCTAACTTCCGCGTGTAAACTACATGTACATCACTTCATTGAAGCACTTGTCTAGAGAAAAGCCGAAGCCAATGACAATGAACACGTGGGGGTTGACTTTGACTAGTGGGGCAAAGCGACAACCGCCTCAAATTTCACGTTTCAAACTTCAGTGTGTGCGTGTGTGTGCGCGTGCACGTGTGTATTGTGTGAAAAGCATGATCATCCAAAGCCACACTCAATGAACACCATGGAGGAGTACTCACTGAATGCGAGTGTAGGCATACAATAAGTACACGGCCGTGTTGCCCTTGTCATCCAACATCTGCAAAACAAGCAACATTCATGGCACAACTCAACAAATAGCCTATCATACGGTCTCAGACACGCACACCCAACATCTAAATGGCGGTAAAATACTCAAACAAACTGAATGCATAGTATCAAACTCGTTTTATCTTACAACGTAGGGTCTGCTCTAACCTACTTCCTATGAATGAAGCTGCAGGAAGCCTCACCACTGCTACTAAACTGAATGCATGTTGAAGCCTTGAAGGTAAAGTCTATCACAGGCTGAGGACATCAATCCAGCTCTGTGTCACACGAGGCTCATGAGAAGGCCTGGCTACGTGGAAGCAAGCAAACAAGCTGTTGTTGCGGCCTTCTCACCTTATCAAAGGAGAAGACGTAGTCGTGCGTTCGCTGATGACACAGATCGGCATACTTGATGCATCCGTAAGCAACAGCGTCGCGAGCAGCTGCTAGCTCTTCAGGACTTAAGACCTGCATTGAAGCAAGAGCACACACACACCAATATATGTCATGTACAGGTAAGTTCGGGCAATATCGGCACCCGAAGCAGATGCATAGCTCCATAAACAAGCCCCACACATCGTCGAGCACAATGAGTTGGAGAAAGGTGCAAGACACTGACATAGAAAAAAAAGACACTGACATTCACAGGCTGTTTGAGTCCAGCTATACTGTATAGACTAGTCTAGCCAGTGGTGTTGACCTGGAGCACCTACTAGTAAGCACATTGTGTTAAATAATGCAACAGAAACGCATGCCGTGCCATACCTCATCACGGCCCCTCTCCTTCAGCTTCTCTGCTGATCTCTCCACGCCCTCGTCGAGGAGTTCCTTCAGCTTGACGGTGTCGCCCGATCGGGACTTCAACTTCTTCCTACACTAGGCTACAGTCAACAATCAAGGCAGAACAAAACATTATTGAAGATCAGATAGTCAAGATAACGTTCTACTAGTCAAGGAGAAGATACACCGGTACATGTACCGCCCTGCAGTGGGTAACTGCTATGGGCTGCTCCGAATGAGTACCTAGGCCAGAGTGAGCAACAGAGACAGTAACAAGGGAACGCATAATTCATTGTTTAGCCATTTTGACATCAACGTACGGTAAAACTGATACCACAGGTCGTACCGGATGCAGTGCAACAGAAGAATGGCGGATTGCAACTTCCAGGACTGGACAGCAATGATGCACATGAGGAATTCCGTGGTCCATGACCCATATTTAGGCATAAGCAAGGTTGCACAGTATGGATTATGTACTCAGGCTTGTAGGCTTAATTTGAAGTACATGTAGTTGAAACAGCTGAAGTGATAGCATGTGCACGTACAGAGCTAACAGTGTTGCAACATGGCTAGTGGAGGAAAGGATAGCATCAACGAATGCCTTCCAAATAACTTACTTGCCCTCTCCCAGTACAAGGCCAAAGCCAACATGCTCAATGCGGCAACTGTCATTCGAGTAGCCGGCAATCTTAGCGCCCTCAAAGATTTGCTGGAAGTGAAGACCCTGTGAAGAATAAGACAACAAACAAATGACAAACAAACAAATGACGGAAAATCATGAAGACGTGCACAACATGACCCTACCATGGTGTAGTATGGAGTCACGCTAACACAGGAATAAGAACTACTCAAGGTGCGGACAGAACTGGTCTGTCCTTTGTGGACTCGTCAGCGCAGCACAGAGAAAATGAGGCTGAACCTGATAGCAATGAAAAATGAGTAATAACCAATTAACCATCCACTCATACACATACGTAAGGCATGCAAGTAAACCCAGAGCCATATCTATACACTGTACACTAACCTGGCCAGCATCCACAACATAGACGAGCCAAGAGGCCTTCTCCTCCTGTAGGCGATGGCGCAGTGCGGCTACATCAGACGTGTCATACGTATATCCACCGACACTCTTCTCCAAGATCAAAGGCACCTTCTGCTTTTTCAAATGCAACACCTTGCATCCGTCCTCTTCTGATATTAAATCTGGAAATGACAAGAACAAAGTGATAAATTTGAAATGCAGTACATGACAAAAGTAGTACGAGACTCGGCAAAGGAAGGAGAAGCCCTGAATAAACACAGATCGATTCGGAATCAAACCAATTTTTTTCAAAGACTAGCAGACCATGAGAACTCACCTCTGCTCTTAAGGTCATGGATAACATCGTTCATGAGTGGCTGGTAAAACGATTCCCCTCGCTCAACCAGTTCCTTTCCAATACCAAGGCGAGAATATATCTGAGCAAATTCTGCAGGACACAAGGTGACAACAGCAAAAGAGGAACACGTAGGAGAAGAGAGTCAAACGTCACACCCGAGAATGGAAAGACTTGGAAATACAAAATATTTAAAAAATGAGAGCAACAGTTGGCTGTTTGCTCTGCCATGACCATGGAGCATGCTGTCCTATTGCAAGACAGAGAAAAAGGAGACAACAAACTGCTCAGCCTTAAAGGGGAAGTATACCCTTGTACTCTGCAGGCACGGTGACCAGGCGACTGGTGTACGCATGAGCACGTGACCGCTCACTCAACCGTGTTCGATTGGGAATAAGGGCCGAACGCTGCATCGCAGCCGTTTCGGACCAAAACCAGTCGACTCAGCGGCCAAATGACTACAACATACGGACAAATCGCGGTCATCCGTGCTTTTATAAGAACGAAATGGTGTTTTTAGTGACTTTTTCCATACAAATCCCTATCTAGTAGGGCGCAGTCACTCAGTTTCGGTGGAAGCGCGCGAGTTCGATTGGGAATAAAGGAGGAAGGGAGTGTCTCAGCTTCCTCGGACCAAGACCATTCGACTCAGCACCCCGAAGACTACAACTGGAGAAAATTTGATTTTAGGGTATACTTCCCCTTTAATGAATAGCAGCAAAAGGCGGCCAGAGGAACCTATTATGGGCTCCAAAAGGTAAACTGAATAGCAGCAAAAGGCTGCCAAACGCCAATCGTAAGCACAAGTCAGGAGCATCAAAGACTCCCGACTCTCCACTCCACATCTACACCTACATAGTACATACTGTACACGAGTATCATGTCTATCATAACAGCAGGGTATAACCGAGACATAGTACATACTGTACACGGATGTCTATCATAACAGCAGGGTATAACCGAGACATAGTACATACTGTACACGGATGTCTATCATAACAGCAGGGTATAACCGAGACATAGTACATACTGTACACGGATGTGTATCATAACAGCAGGGTATAACCGAGACATAGTATACAATGTGCTTTGTCTGACCGTGTCGTGAAATCTCACAGATGTGAGACCAGCCGGTACGAATCTTCTTGTCACCGCCTTGTAGGAGCACAACGTTCTTATAGGCACGTTTCTTGAAATCTTCTTCGCCATCGAAGCGAACCTTCGATTCCTTGTAGAAAGATTGCAGGTCACCAATTGGAGGAGACTCGCTCTCGAAGTTCGGAAACTTGTCTTCGAGATGTGCAATGAGCATGCCGAACTGTGTGCCCCAATCTCCGATGTGATTGAGTCTGCAGTAGATGTACAAATGCACCACAGCAAAAAGAGAATGTATATTACTGCTGCCGGGAGTGAACAATACGGCAAGCATTCCTGCAAATCACTCTCCAGCCCGCATCGCATCATGACATGGTGCAAGTGATGAACACACACCACAAGCTAAGTAAAGTGCACAGCTCGTCCAAAGAGAGCGCACACCCGAACAAGCGGGCACAGGACTCAGTAGAAAGAACCCAGTGAGCAAGTACCCAGGGTGCAGAAACAACAACACTTGTGGCAGTGTGCATGTTCACGTATTCGAACATCACGACATGATCTAAGGTCAACACCCAAGACATACAAAGCAGGTCTATACATGCTACACTTGAGAGCAGAGAGGACAACACTGAGCATTGTTTGTTTTCATTTTAGAAACGGACATGTTCATATCCAATATTATGAGAGGATTCAAGTATTAGTTGACAGTCACAAAGGATCCGGGGCCAAAGGTCACTATACTTTCTTTAACCCTTTATGTACGGTGTGTACGTGAATCGATCACATATGATCGATTCATGATCGATCCGTAAAACCTTCGTAACTCCATCATTTCTTGTCCGAATTCAACAATCGAAGGGTCTATTTGGTAGCGGAAACTCCAAGCTTTCCAATGCAACAATCGCGGAAGAGCTACGATGTACGAATCCAGAGATATCGTGCGCTGTATTCTTGTCTCGGCAAATTCAAATTTTTTATCAATCTCTTCGCCATTTTAGGGGAAAATCCCTTTTCGTGTGCTCTTTGACTAACTCAGCACATGATAATGACGTAGTTGGCTGAAGTTTGAATCGCCTCGAAAAGATGTGAGCGTTCTGCGATAGAGGAGAGTGGAATGGCGTTGATGGGGAAATTTGCTCGCATATTGGGCTTGGAGACGACTTTGCTGTGTCCCCGTGCCTGATTGGTGGTAGCTAGTTGATGAAGCCTGGTATCCTGGCATTGCTCTCTCCAGGAGCTTTCCAATGAGCCCAAGACTGTGGAAATGGAGCGAAGGAGGCCAAAGTTACAGCCTGTTGAAGGTGAAAATTGTGCTGAAAATTCAAATTCTGCTTCATTCTGTGCTGGAAATCAGTACATAAAGGGTTAATACATACTTGAAGAACACAGAACACAGAGACAGCACTAACCTAAGCACATCGTGTCCACAATACTCGATGATACAAGCCAGGCAGTCACCGATGACAGTGGAGCGCAAGTGACCAACATGCATCTGCTTGGCGATGTTTGGCAACGAGTAGTCAATCACCACCCGGCGCTTTTCACCCACATCCGGTGCACGCACGCCGTGGGTGAGAGGACAACACTGAGCATGGTTGTTTTCCAGAAACGGACATGTTCATATCCAATATCATGAGAGGAATCAAGTATTAGTTGACAGTCACAAAGGACCCGGGACCAAAGGTCACTGTGCTCAACAACAATTATAATTTCTTTAATCTATTTTAAGCTCGGAGTTGCACTGATGAGGCCTCATTGGCCGAAACAGACTGGCTGTCTGCATCATTGAGTAATTTGCTCCTCGATTTCGATCTTGTAGAGCACTCTCAATAGGACGCACTTACGCTGGTTAGCTTTATGCTTTGCCCGCTGCTTCTAGCAGTTTGAGCACTCTCAGCGCTAGTACATCGAGCTGTCCTAATGTCTGTGGTTCTCGTAGCCATGGCTGACAGTTCAATCCTATTTTAAGCTCGGAGTTGCACTGATGAGGCCTCATTGGCCGAAACAGACTGGCTGTCTGCATCATTGAGTAATTTGCTCCTCGATTTCGATCTTGTAGAGCACTCTCAATAGGACGCACTTACGCTGGTTAGCTTTATGCTTTGCCCGCTGCTTCTAGCAGTTTGAGCACTCTCAGCGCTAGTACATCGAGCTGTCCTAATGTCTGTGGTTCTCGTAGCCATGGCTGACAGTTCAATCCTATTTTAAGCTCGGAGTTGCACTGATGAGGCCTCATTGGCCGAAACAGTCTGGCTGTCTGCATCATTGAGTAATTTCTTTAATACATACTTGAAGAACACAGAACACAGAGACAGCACTAACCTAAGCACATCGTGTCCACAATACTCGATGATACGAGCCAGGCAGTCGCCGATGACAGTGGAGCGCAAGTGACCAACATGCATCTGCTTGGCGATGTTTGGCGACGAGTAGTCAATCACCACCCGGCGCTTTTCACCCACATCCGGTGCACGCACGCCGTGGGTGAGAACGTCGCTCAGCAGGCCAGACACGACCGACACCTTGATGTGGATGTTGATGAAGCCTGGGCCAGCAACTTCAAGCTGTGCAGGGTAAGAGGAAAGAATCGGGATTAGAAAACACAAGCAGCCCTACGGAAAAGAATACTATGATTGAATTAGGGGTGACGATCAGTAGGGCTACATGGGTGATACCAAGAGTATATAAGAGTACATGAGTCATGTACTCTCGGTGATACTAAGACTGCAAGAGTACACAAGCTCCCAAGAGTGTGCAACTCTGGATACCATTTCTATGGGGTCCGCCGAAAGCTCACATCACTTGGTGCAGTGTCATCGTTGTACATTTCCAGTCTGTTTCTAGCGAACAGTGGAGTAGTAAAAATAGCACTCCCTGGCAGAACCCCACTCAGCTTATTCGAGTCATCAACATAATCATGGCAGGCAACATTGGGCGCGTTTCATATAGGGGTAGAACGATTTGACGGAATGTTCGAGTGAAAAACCCCAGCTGGAAAATAGAAGTGAGACACAGCCACTCCTTGTGGGATGTGTGCACAGTGCACACCCTGGAATAGAAGCTTCTACATGCTCAGCCGACTTCTCCATCTCAATATCTCTGTCCACAGTGGTAACTGCTGTCTTGGTCGACTTCAAGTTAACGCCGAAGCCCGCCCATCGAGCCTTGCTGCTTAAAGAGAAGTAGTGGGTACTGGTTGAGGAACTACTAAAATGTGCTGAAGCCACTTGACAAGGAAATTGACAGTTTACATGGAATTTGAAGTTCTTCCAATCCTTTCAAAATTTAAAATATCAGACCTTAAAAAAAATGGGGTTTTGTTTGATCTCTTGAGTTCGTACCTTATCCACCAGGTCGCTGGGTGGACAGTTCTTGACAATTGCCTCAGCGATCTGCCGTGGGTTGGCATTGACACCCGTTGCTTTTAGCTCCTGCAACGTCAGCAATGAACAACAGAAAGGACCACACATACTGGTATCCATATACACACACACACACACGCACACACACACACGCACACACACACACGCACACACACACACTGTACTGTACTGTACTTGTACTTGCTCACTGCCAAAACTGGTCACGTGGGTCTCCCCGGGAGAGGGGAGAGAGACTCAAAAGGAATCTTGGAAAGATGACTCAATTGGCCATTGAACCACCCAACGGCCGACACCCCCTTTAATCCCCAAACTAGGGTGGACTTGAAATGATCCCACTTATGGGCTCACCACACCTCAGTAAGTGGGTGAGGACAAGGTGCAGAAAAAAGGATTGACGGCATCAGGGTATCCGTCCCGGGATCCAACTGCAGGTACCCCTGCCCCCAGTGAAGGTAATACTTGGTACTAGTGTGGGTGGCTAAATCAGAGTGGATCTGATATAAGCTTCACTTGCACCATTGATTACACAAGAGTTAATCTAGCCAGAAGCAGTCCATGGTTAAAACAGGTATGTATACTTCAAATAGAAAGTATATGAACCCTGAAACCAACAAAGGTGGTAGGTACAACAATACACCTTCAAGCAGCCGAGCCCGTTGGCAACAGGCCCAACACTATCTGGCATAAGTGTACCCACCAACCAAACTAGCTGGCACCCACACACACACACACACACACACACACACACACACACACACACACACACACACACACACACACACACACACACACACACACACACACACACACACACACACACACACACACACACACACACACACACACACACACACACACACACACACACACACACACACACACACACACACACACACACACACACACACACACACACACACACACACACACACACACACACACACACACACACACACACACACACACACACACACACACACACACACACACACACACACACACACACACACACACACACACACACACACACACACACACACACACACACACACACACACACACACACACACACACACACACACACACACACACACACACACACACACACACACACACACACACACACACACACACACACACACACACACACACACACACACACACACACACACACACACACACACACACACACACACACACACACACACACACACACACACACACACACACACACACACACACACACACACACACACACACACACACACACACACACACACACACACACACACACACACACACACACACACACACACACACACACACACACACACACACACACACACACACACACTACTACTACTACTACTAGCAGCATGACTGCCCAGAGGGGCAAGTGTCACCCCTATGGAAAGGGGACCAGAAAACGGGACACGGATCACAAGCAGGACCGCGAATGTCTGGCTAGGTCCTGCTGCCGGCGGAAATTGCGTTTACAACGTGGGCAGCTGAGGGGCAGAGCTGCTCTCTCAGCAGCAGATGGTCTCGCACCACGATTGCAGTTGTGACGCTTGAACCCGGCCGCAGAACGGAAGCATCGCTGACATGTTGGGCAGTGCTGCTGGCAACAAGCTGAAAGTGGCACAGACAGACTGACTGTTGGTGTAGGAGAACTCGTGACAGGCTGGCATCGATGAACAGAGTAGCCACCCTTGCTGCGGAACCACCTCTGGCAGTTCTGGCATTGCACTGATCCACGCTGGAGCTGGATGGGAAGCCGTCTCTGAGTGGTGCACTTGTGCCGCGTCCTATCTGAGACCCGTGAGAAGTTCCGGTCACACACTGCGCAATGCACAGACTTGGGCATGGTGGAGCTCGACTGAGGGGCAACCCGTACTTCCCTCCACTGTTGGCGGTCCTGAGCAAGGATGAACCACTGAGATGGCTGTTGCAGTGCAACCTTGAGGTCGGTCATCACCGTGTCTTTCCACCGTCGCCGGGGACCACAAAACGGCCGAGGCACAGGTAGCCACCCAAAGAGGAGTTGGAGGGGGGTGCGATCCTCATCCATACGCGCAACGTGCCCAGTCCATTCCAGACGCCGATTGCGGAGGCGTGTAGACATCAGTACTGGGTCTCCCCAACGGTTCCGCAGGTCTGTGGATGACAGCCGCTCGGACCACTGACGAGGCTTGGTGATGCTGAGGACAGTCCGGATGCATTGATGGTGGAATTTATCCAAACTTCTGATATCCCGTTGGAGTGGGGTCCAACACTCTCCGCCATACAGTAATATTGAGGAAACGCAGGCCATGTACAGGTGGCGTTTACTAGAGAGGGACAGAGATCTGTCAGTGAATACCTTCTGGAGGGCTCCGAAGGCCTTTGAGGCTTCGGCAATACGGCGCTTGATGTCGGATGAAGAACGACTGTCAGGGGTCACTATGGATCCTAGGTAGGTGAACTTCGGCACGGCTTCGATAGTGCCAAGGGGGAGAACGATGTCAGCCGAGTCTTCAGCAGAGACCCCATGGCCCGCCGTCATGATCTTCGTCTTGGCGATGCTCACAGTTAGTCCAAATTCTCGGGCAACACTACAGAAGAGCTCCACACCAAACTCAGCATCACTACGGCATTCAGACACGAGAACGGCATCATCAGCATACTCCAGGTCACTAACAGACAGTGACTCGCCAGCCCTGCGCGATGATGAGCGGGGGTAGAGTTGGCCATCGATGGAAAACTGGATGCTGACAGAGTGACTACGACCTGCATCCTTTAGCCGGGCACGCCATGTCTCAACAACCGCCCCGAAGTACAGGTTAAAGAGAACGGGTGCCATGACACATCCTTGTCGGAGACCATTAACCACAGGGAACTCATCAGAGGTGGAGTTGCCAACTCGGACCGAGGCAGAGGTAGAGGTGTGGAAAGCCTTAATCAGGGCCACTAGCTGTTGCGGGACCCCAAGTCGGCCCAAGGCCACCCAGAGAGCAGCGCGTGGTACAGAATCGTACGCCTTTTTCAAATCCACAAACACACAGAAGAGCTGCTGACGATGTTCGTATGCTTTCTCGATTAGCTGGCGGAGCGAGAAGATGGCATCAACACAGCCCCTGCCTGGCCGAAAGCCGCTCTGGGACTCTGGGAGTTCCGACTCAGCCAACAACTGCAGGCGATCTTGAATCATGCGGCCACACACCTTGCCAACAACATCAAGAAGGGCAATACCCCGCCAATTATCACATTTGGACAGGTCGCCCTTCTTGGGAACAGGAACCAACTCGGCATCGCGCCATTCCTGCGGAACAGTGGCCGTCGTCCAAGCAAGTTGGACGAGATCCAGCAATGCGTCCAGGGAATCATGGCCACCTGCTTTCACAAGCTCGGGGACTATACGCGAGGAACCTCCAGCTTTGCCATTTGCAAGGTGTCTGATGGCGACGACAAGGTCTTCCATTGTTGGTGTGACTGCCAGAGACTCGTCAGGCTCACGTTGAGGGATGTTAGCAACGGTGGAGGCATTGAAGGTACTGGGGACATTGAGCAAGTTCGAGAAGTGAGTGGACCAGCAGTCTTCCTGCTCCTCCAAAGACGTGCAAACTATGCCCTCAGCATTACGGACCGGATGGATGGTGACGGATCGGAGTCCTGAATAGCACCGTTGAATGTCTCGGATGGCGGACCAAACGTGCTTACCACTAAATTTGCCACGCTCCACAGTGCTAGCTCTCTGCTCCAACCATGCACTCTTCGCTGCACCAACTGCGGTACGACATCTACCTCGGACATCAAGGAAGCGGCGGTGGTCCGCTGGCAGCTCTGATTGACGCCACTGTTGATGGAGGCGTGTGCGCTCAGCAAAAAGAGGTTGGAGGATGTCTGCTGCTGCTAGGAACCAGTCTGGTTGTAGTCGAACGGGTTTGCCCAGGTGTGCCTCAGCGCTGGAGGTCAAGGCAGATTTGTATGCCGACCACTTGGCATCAACGGTATCAGCTGGCCCAGACGATTGCAGATGGTGTTGCACACCGGAGGCGAATTGGAGCCGAGTAGCCTGCACGGCATTAGATTGTTCGTCGGTCATACCAGGGCGGGTCATGAGAGCTTGGATATTAAAGCGTGAACGCCGTGCTACTCCGGTGCGAAAGTTGACGGTGTACGACAGACAGAACGATAAGCATACAAGATTGTGGTCGGTACTACACTCCGCACTACGGATAACGCGGCAGTCTGTGCAGGCTAGCAGATCTTGCCGCCTGACAATGGCATAATCGATACAGTGCCACTTCTTCGACCGTGGGTGCTGCCATGTATACTTGTGGATACGCTTCTTGGCAAACCAGGTGTTGCACACAGTGAGGCTGTTGCATGTCAAGAACTGGAGCAGTTCCAGTCCAGCGTGGTTCGTTTCCCCTATCCCATTATCTCCACAAGTCCCATACCATGGATCAGCACTCTGGATGAGACCAACCCGTGCATTGAAGTCGCCAAGGATAATCAATTGTTGACTTGGTGGCACTGAGTTTACGCTCGCTTGCAGGGATGCAAAAAATTCATTTTTGGACTCCCTACTTGATCTGAAAGTTGGAGCGTAGCATGCAATCACATTGATCCAGGTGTTTTTGTTTCCGTGGTGGACGAACTTCAACTTGCATTGTGCAATTCTCGACGATACCGCCGTCCATTGGTTTCCTCCTGCCGAGAAAGCGTTTCGTGCACGGCCTCTCAGGACGATGCAGACTCCTTCTCCGCGTTTGAAATTTTCAGATGGTACGGGACGTCCAGACGACAACACGATCGAATCCGCGACATTGTAGATCTCAGCTCCAAACCACTTCGATTCCTGAAGACACACACACACACACACACACACACACACACACACACACACACACACACACACACACACACACACACACACACACACACACACACACACACACACACACACACACACACACACACACACACACACACACACACACACACACACACACACACACACACACACACACACACACACACACACACACACACACACACACACACACACACACACACACACACACACACACAAACTACGGACAGCTAGCTGTTTCGACCTTGTAAGGTCTCATCCGCTGAACTCAGAGTGATTGGCCAAACCGATCACAAAGAAGTAAAGAGAACAAGGCATGTTTAAACCGGCTCAGCGTCAGAGTGATCTACCTATGAGAAACACCGCGCAGACTTCGCAAGGGTAGCCAACGTTGGTGCTAACCAGAAATATAGTGCTCGACCAAGCCGAGGTGAGGGAGCGAAATAACTGGTACTGTACTGGTGTATACATGCATCTCCCTTCATGACAGTACTTGCAAGTAGATCCTAGTGCTACACAATATGATATGACGCTGTGCTATGCTGCGCACTAGTACATACACCATTGGCCATAGACAGCCAGGGTAAATTCAAGACATGCGCACACATACACACAGGCACATACATACCAGCCAACTCAGTTTAAACTGAACCGCATCTGATAACAACACACAAGACAAAATAAATACCGGTACTACGAAACAAAAAAAATTAAATACATGTACATGCACATGTAAGCCAATTCGCACAAAAAAGTTCAAGAATGATTTACATTTCACTTGCTACTAACACCATACATAAGCCGAGAAGATGAATACAGGAGACGAGACGCTTTGTGTGTGTGTGTGTGTGTGTGTGTGTGTGTGTGTGTGTGTGTATGGTACATGGTGTGTGTGTGCGCGCGGCGCGCGTGCATGTTTGTGTGTGTGTGTGCACACACGTGCAACTTTGCAACATTCGCACACTATGTGATCACTAGACAGCATGTTTCACGCTGTCCGCAACGCCCAGTACGCGGAATTAGAAGTTACAGCACAAACTGCCTCTCTCATCTTCTGTATCGGTGTACATGTATACTGTTCTGCACTCCTTCGAGCTGCCGCAACTGGCTCTGATCGTAAATCGAGAACAGCAAGTACAAAGCAAAAGCTGACAGGTGGTCAAGCAACAACCGAGCAAATCCTACTCCCACTTACTTTCGTCAAGCTCATGGCGCTATTGACCTGGTAATCTACACCCTTCTTGCCCAGAGCGATCAGAGCAGACGGCTTCTGGATCTGCGGATACGCTGCCGTAATGGCACTGTTGAATAGCTGACGCAAGTGCGATACAATGTCGGTCATGTGACTGGCACTCCTCACTGCGCCGGCACAGCCGCATTTCTTCTCAGCCGCGATGCTCTGCACGGATCAGGGTGCACACGGCATTATGCACACACACACACACACACACACACACACACACACACACACACACACACACACACACACACACACACACACACACACACATGCACACATGGGGCACAGATACATGCACAGACAGTGGTTGCACACAAAATCCAGCCTCGTGATTATAACTCCAAGGACTGCGAGGGCCTAGACTAACACTAAGAACATTAGGATGCGCAGTGAATGTTATATTCAAGTCGTTGGATTTCACTTGCCAACACTGTGCGTACAAAGTGTGTGTGTTGACGACCGGATGCAAAGCCGTAAGTTCAAACTTGTTTTTGTTTTTCAGAACACATCTGCTCTACTAGTCCATGAAAAAATGCGGAGGGTCAGCCTCAGGTGTAGGTCAACTCAGCAACGCTTCGTGCAACTATGCCAACTACATTGTACATCTAAGGAGCCTGCTGGGTGTCCACTGTCCAGACCAGTTACTAGTAATATATTCATGATATCACGCAAACACGAAAACTTATTCGTCTCTTATTGTATCTACTGCAATTTGTCTTTTTTTTGTATAATACGAATTCCCCCTTTTACCTGTACAGGCAGGTTCACCACTACTTCCGTCAGTCAACCCGTTCTTGACAAAGACACCTCTAAATACTGAGTGATGTGCAAGTCACAATCAATAATCCACTCAGTGTGGTCGACTCTCCTGCCTTCATCGGGTTAGTTTGGATATTGTCGTCAGAGCCCTGAGCAAAAGGCCACCACTTCAATGAATCGGACCCAATGCCACCACCCACAAACGCTAAATTACCGGTGCAACGGCAGCGGCACCTGCGCTCGGTGCGAATGCATGAAGGAGGGTCGAGAGTGTCGGAATTGTCTCCCCCTGAAGAAAAATAGATGCCTAAACAGCTCCCCGACATCCCAACCGTCTTCTCAACCGACGACTACAGGTACCGTACCCGTACCCTTAGCAGTCTCTGAACCAACGGATATTTCAGCAGTAGGCGAAGCTTCACCACGCTGCCAGCTCCAGCAACCACAACCGTCAACACCTCTGTCGTACTCGACTGTTGTCAAGACACCTTCGAGTTCTACCCAGCCCGCGGACCAAGCAAGGTCAGCTACAGCGGTAGGCATAGGAGGTAGTGCCACCGCGGTTCACACCACTGTGGAGCTGGAGCAACATTCTACACCGGACGGAGCACCAGACTCCCAAGCTCCCGCCACCACCAGTACACCTACCCACAGTCACGGGAACACCAACCACAACCATCTGCACGAGTCAGCAAATGAGGACAGCCAGGCCGATTCAATCCCCGAGCGTCCACCACCAACGCCCCAGAGTGCAGAGATCCAATCATGCAACACACAACACACCCAGTGTTCCCCAGCAGCTGCGCAGCCTACATGTCTCCTGATCAATGCAGCTCGAGCCCACCGCATACTCACTGAGGTGACTGAGGCCGCACACAGCACACAGGCTGCTCACCCCACTGTAATGTCCAGTCAAACCCTGGATGTTGAGTTGCTAGTCACTTTGGATGAGAGCGATGTAGGGCACTCAAACAACGCCAGTGGAGCCACTCCAGACATTAACACTAGGGCCCATGAACTCCCATAGTATACACCTGCCAACCGTGACCTGAAATTGGGGAACCTTTCCGTAGCGGACACCCAGCAAATACTCTCCGCCGCATATGAAGAGGTAGTGCATTTCCACCCAAACCTGTTCCTCGTGCCCTCCGGAGCCGTCGGAGCGCAGTTTGTGTCACTGTAAAGCGGGATTCACAGAAGCTCTTTTGCGATGCGACACGCGATGCGACAGCCGCGAAACCGGGAAATCCCCAAATCGCACCCCACGCAACTGACGCAACTGGGCCATCGCAGACGTTGAGCTTGGCTCAACTTTTGCGATGCGACAAGCGATTTGGCGTACGAATTTGACCTTTTCTACAGCAAAGTTGTACAAAGGTTCAAGAGTTGCCAATAAATTTGTGCAAGTTGTACCAAACCACGCGAATACCACGGTGACGCACCCACGGCACCTGCATTGAATTTCGCGCCAAATCAGCAGGTCGTGGTCGCATCGCTGACTTCTTCTGTGAATGGTATTTCGCGAGTTCGCATCGCACGCGTCCGTCGCAGATCACGTCGCATCGCGTGTCGCATCGCAAAAAAGCTTCTGTGAATCCCGCTTTAGTCCAACTTTTCAGGCGCTTCGGGCAAGAGGGTGCAGGTGAAGGCTATGCCATCAAGGCAGCCATGACAGCCACGCAACTAATCTTGCAGAAGCCATACGGAGCCAACAGCCGGCAAGAACACCTGGACTGTCTCAACCGCCGATTGCCACTGTGGAATGCCGGAAACGTGGACGAGCTAGTACGGGAAGCCCGAACAATTCAGGAGCAACTTGACGCCGGTAAATCCTCCACCCGTCCCACCCCAGCTAGTCAGGGAAATGACGCACGCAACTTTGCATAAGACCGGAGCAGCGGTTCGAATGCTTTCCCAAGAATCATCCACGGGCTCGCACTCCTTGAACGACATCATTGACGGTCAATCAGTCCGAGAGGTCCTCATCTCCCAGCACCCTCCGGGTGAGCCACTCCATGAGGCAGTGCTTATACCGGGAATACCTCCCGAACAACCACATGCCATCATGTTCTCAGCCATCACGAGAGAGGCCATCATGAAATCAGTTCTCAATACCAACGGCGCGGCCGGACCCTCAGGCATGGACGCCAATGGCTGGCGAAGAATCTGTTCGTCCTTCCATAGTGCCTCTGATGCTCTCTGCGATGCGCTCGCCCCGTGTGCCCGTCTCTGATGCTCTCTGCGATGCGCTCGCCCCGTGTGCCCGTCGCATAGCGACCACTGCCATCGACCCTTCCTCCCTTGAGGCCTATACCGCTTGCAGGCTGATCCCTTTAGACAAGCAACCCGGAGTTCGGCCCATCTGAATTGGTGAGGTCGTCCGACGTGATATCGGCAAGGCCATATTGATGGTAGTAGGCCTGGCAATTTAGCAAGCCACAGGGTGCCTCCAACTGTGTGCAGGCCAACAGAGCGGCATCGAAGCAGCCATCCACGCTATGCGGTCCGCATTCGCGCAAGACAACACTGAGGCCGTGCTCCTAGCCGATGCATCAAATGCGTTCAATCGTATCAACCGCAACGTATGCATTCGCAACATCCAGCATCTGTGCCCAGAATTCTCCACCACCATCGTCAACACGTACCGGTCCCTATCCCGGCTGTTCGTCGGTGGCGAGACCATTCTCTCCTGTGAAGGAACTACGCAAGGCGATCCGCTCGCAATGGCGATGTATGCGTTGGGCACCGTGCCTCTCATCCGTCGTGCAGCCTCTAGCAAGGCCGTACAAGCGTGGTACGCGGATGATTCCACAGAAGCAAGCACTCTCACCAAGCTTCATAAGTGGTGGAAAAAGTCTATACTCTTGGTGAAGCCTGAGTGCTTAGATCGAGCCAGGGAAATCTTCCAGGATTCCAGCATAGACATCCGGTCGGATGGGTGTCGCTACCTAGGTGCCGTCCTCGGATCACCAACATTCTGTTCGGCATATGTGTCAGACAAGGTGGATGAGTGGTGTCGCGAAGTTGATGTTCAGGCTGAGTTCGCCCGCACCCAACCACAAGCGGCATTTGCTGCCTTCGGCCAGGGAGTTCGCCACAAGTGTTCCTTTGTCACCCGGACAGTGCCAAATACGGCCGACCTGCTTGCACCCTTGGAGGAAAGAATCTGTAGCAAATTCATCCCTGCCATCATCAACCGCGTCTCACCAGGAGACATCGAGCGTGCCATGCTGGCCCTACCGTGCAGGGGACGAAGGGCTGGGGATCGTCAACCCATCCTCCCTTGCCTCCCAGTTCCAGGACTCCGTGCATATTACCAAGTCTCTCGTGCAGAAGATCCTCCAACAAGATCAGTGAGCAGAAGGCGTCCCGGCTGCCACCATCACAGCAAAGGCAGAGATTGTTTCCCAGTCCCGGCGCCTGGCGAAGGAAGCTGTTGCCTCGGTCATTGCCACCTCCACCAGCACCGCAGAGCGCACCCTGAATCTTGCTGCTGAAAAGGGCGCCTCCAGCTGGTTGACCTGTCGGCCCCTTCGTCAGTATGGTTTCAACCTACACAAGCAGGCGTTCTGGGACGCTCTCTGCCTACGGTATGGTTGGACCCCTCCAGGCCTGCCAACAGAATGTGTGTGCGGCAAAGCGTTTTCACCGGAACACGCGCTGTCTTGCCCAACTGGTGGCTACCCCGCCATGCGGCATAATGACCTACGGGATCTCACCGCATCTCTCCTGCGTGAAGTGGCCCATGATGTCCAGGTCGAGCCACATCTCCAGCCGCTAACCGGTGAGACTTTCCGTCACCGCTCCGCCATCTCCGAGGATGGTGCCCGCCTGATGTGGCCGCATCGGGTGTCTGGGGTGGACGTTTCGAACGGGCACTACTGGACATCCGGGTGTTCAAACCGCACGCCCGCTCCAACCGCCAGCAGTCCATCACGGCCACCTACTGGAAGCATGAGGCCGAGAAAAGGCGCGCGTACGAAGAACGCGTCCGGGAAGTTGAACACACATCTTCTCCCATTGTGTTCAGCGCTTCCGGCGGCTACGGCAAGTCCGCCTCCGCTTTTTTCAAGCGTGTCGCCTCTATGCTCGCCGACAAGAGAAAGGAGCCCTTCTCCTCACGTCTTGCCTTTATAAGGCCAAGGGTTTCCCTTTCTCTTGTTCGTGCCTCCCATGCCAGCCTCCGGTGGTCACCGCAGGCCACGGTCTCAAGATGCCCGCCAGAGAGTCATTGACTCTGATGCTTCTGTGGTCCTTGCTGCTGCAGAGGGCTTTCGGTAGCTATCCGTGGTGTGTTTGGCTACTGTTCTGCTTCATCCCCCCCCCCCTTTTTTCATGATTTTGTATGTTATTATTTTCTCGGATTCCGGTTTTCCACTCTGTTATGTTCGAATCCATAGTCTGTCTGTACATGATCTGTACGCAACTTCTCATTGTTTTTTGTTTGTTTTTTACCAGGCGTGGGCCATCCCCTGATTTCATAGGTGCCAAACATTTTACGTTTTTCATTCGTTTGAATGAAGTCGAATCCAGCTTTAAAAATAAAAATAAAAAACGCTAAAAGAGCAATCCTACCTCTAGAGATGATACCAGTTCCCCATCCTCCTGGTCCATACTCGGTCAGGCAATACAGATACTTTGTTGAACTGGTACTTTGTTGAAATCCTTGTACATGTACTTGTCTCAATTTCTCTGCAAAATTAGAAGTCGTATTTTCATAAAATGTACAGTCAAAATTAATGATGCAGCACATTTTTTGTGTAAAATGTGTGATCAATTTTTTGGTTCAGAGTTTGGCGCCATTTTATGGAAGTAGGGGCATGCGCATGACGACATTCTTTGCGAGGTTTTGGTCCCCGAGTTGACCTGTACATCAACTGTACTGGTTGCGAGGGAGAAATCATCAACTGCATATTTCTTACAACTGTAAAGGAGGCTGGTCGGTGTGCTGTTTGTGGAGATGTTCTCCACCCGGGTCAGCGCGGTTGGCCTCGCCAGAGGTCTACAGGTCACTATTCCACACACTGCTCCTGTAGATGGAGTTACTCCGTACCTTGCTGAAAAGCAATATCTCAAAAAGCCTGCTCAGCGGTATGCCCGTACACCTGCTGTCATTCGTTCTGTGCTATCGTCCTCTGCTGGACTTGCTGCAACAGTGAATGCTTTCGGTGAGTTACAGGCGGTTACTGGCTTGTCCTTCATGATGTCAGTGATTTGAAATGGGGGGTGTACTACTGTTGTTGATGTGTAGGTAATACTCAAGTGAGATATGCACACACTGATGTGTCGTGTCCTGATTTCACTCCACACCGAAGAGAGTCTACATTGAACCCACACGCACCAGCATCGGAATCAAAGTACCAGCGTAGAACTGTTACCTATGGTTTATCTGCCCTGGCCACCATACCGGGCCTCTATCTCGGAAAAGAATCAGTGAAGGGATACCTGCATTTATTTGCACCTGACCGGTTTTCAAAAGTCACTGCCAAAATTGAGGTCGATCTCAGTGGTGTTCAGCGAGGGTTTGGCATGACTGTTATGTGGCAAGGAAAACCAGTCTTCATTCGCCATCGTACTGCTGAGGAAATCGCAGAACTCAACGAAACAAGCATGGGCGATCTTCGAGACCCTCAGGTAAGCATTCCAAAGTATTTTACTTTAATTAAAATAATGTTTTTTGTCAAAAATGTGCCATGCATTATAATTGTAGCCATCGTCAAATGTGTATTGTTCTATGCTGCACTTGGGGTTACCTTTATTGACACATATTATGTACATTAGGACATGCGTCGGTTCCCCACCGTGCGTTCATATACACCCTGAAGTCACTTCACGGGTTGAAATTTGACAAGGGGCAGATCAACGGTGCTTCACGGTAAATTCACGTCTTATTTTAAAGCCTAGTTCACATTCGACGCAACGCTGACGGTACGGGACGTAAGGGCCTGTCGGAACGGCTGGGGCGAGCTGTAAAATATTGTACTGTTCGTATGACACGACATGCTGCAGTCGTTGCGTCGTTCAACAGCGAACGGCATAAGTCGTAAGGCACGGTCCATGACGGCCGTCGATGGGGTGACTTTCGGACCTAATTTCTTATTTTTCGGGACTTCTTTTCAATTATTTCTCCTTGAATGAAGCTGAATTAAGTTCACAATACCAGTTTTTCGTGATGACAGTTCGTCTGTCACGCTCCTGAACTATCCCTAAATACCATCAGTGACGTTAGATCTTATCTTTGCTAAAATTCAACTCGAGTTGTTTTAGCCATTCTGCGAGTTATCATGGGAAGCGCGTGTTCGAAATGCCAAAAATTCCAGGTACGAATCGGGAGTAGTCGGCGCACGGTGCCGTCTCTTGTTCACACTCAAAATACAACCGTTTTGTACGCTTGCGTCCCCGTCTACGGTATGAAAAGTTGAACTGATCCAACTCTTCCCGTCGCTTCCCAATCCGTACGGTTACGTCCCCGTTCCTGGTGTTCACATTGGACGTCGTCAGACCGTCCCGTTGCTTCCCGTCGATCCTTACGTCGCGTCCCTTTGCGCCCTGTCGAATGTGAGCTAGGCTTTAACTGAGAACGCTGTTCGTGGATTTTTCGTAAAATGTCTCTGACGTTCATAACGTATTAGTTTCCAGAGTGGCGTGTTCTTCAGTACCCGATGCTGATCATGTGCGGTTTCTACACCGCAACACTGCACATGCATAATATTGGCTACTTCTGAAATAATGCGGGCCAGCTGTTTTGAGTCTTTTGACCTTAGTCGATTGTGCAGATGTACGGAATCCTGTGCAGTAGAATGCTGGTTATACAAAGCATAGTTCACAATATCACTCTTTGCGACGAGACGCTTGCACCAAGAAAATGCCTCAGAAGTCACCCACTTAATCTAAAAGAGTAGCAATTCCTCTGTGGTGCATAAGTATGGGTATTTCAGTGATTTTGTCACATGCACGGTGGAGTCATGCGGATGAACAACTTGGTGAGATGTACTTCTGTACAACTCGAACAACTTGTGCATTTGATCCACCCCTGTCGACCCCTACCTGTGACCGTATATGTAATACCGAAGCATGTACTGCTGTACACAATGCAGTTCTGAGGACGAAACTGCATGACTATACAGATACTGTGTACATGCAAGCAGCGTTCTCATCCGTCTGTACAGTCAATTAGTTTACTGTTAGGCCAAGTAAAAAAAAAAGCTAGATGATCGTCCCCGTCCGCCCCAGTTTTTGTCAGCGCCCCAAGAAATATTTTATTTTTTAAATCGTGAGTTTTACTATATGGACCACATACTACTAGTATATCACAACGTCAGTATCGATCTGCTGAAGAAAGAAAAAGAAAAAAAGAAAAAAAAAGAAAAAAAGAGAAAAAACCTTGATGTTGTTGTGTACACTGTGTGCATGAGAGGGTAAAAAGTAAAAAAATAAAAATAAAATCCTCCCGCCCTCCCCGATTTTTCCAAAAAAAAGGACGATCATCTAGTAATTTTTTTTACTCGGCCTTACAGCAGATTTCTCAAAGTGCAAAAACTCCACTGCAGCCATCCACTATACCCATACATCTTCACAACACTCTCCAAACGGTCTCTGGGCTACACCAGTCACTAAAAGAAAAAGAGATAATCATTCAAATTTTTCGGGGAAGTCCCATCTTCAGGAATTCTTTATATTTATTTCACTCCACTCGTGGTCCATGATCAATTGGCACACGAAGTGCGAGAGAGGGGTGATAGCCAACCACGGCAAGAAAAGAAAGAAGGATAGACAAGCAGCCAGCAAGGAGAGATCCTATTGTACTGCATTATGTGATCGGAGGGCATTTTTAAGCTGGGAAGACATTTTGATATCTTAACTTACTGAGGAAGTTGCAGCCAAAGGTGTTGGACAAGACCTGGTCCAGAGGAGAGTTGGTAAATGTGGCTGAATTAGCATGAGGAAGTGAGAGACTATTACGAGTGGACCCGGACAGAGAAAACCAATTGAATATGGAGAGATGATTGGGAATTTTACGTAGGCGAATTCTGTGGATCAAAATGCAAAGCTGCTGTTTGCGATCATCTTGCAGTGGCTGAGTATTGCTGATACAATAGAGCTCAAGACTAGGAAATATATGCTGCTTGTTACTGTATAAGTAGTGCTGAAACGATTATATCGATTACTCGTTACTTACTCGATAAGAAATAGATCGAGCGGTTATTTCGATTTTATCGGCTAAACGAGTACAATGGTACTGACGCTCGGTACAGGATTTCCCCCCTTTTGGGGTCGCACAAAGTGTGCATGCACCGAAAGTAGTGTGAGTACGACACGAATATGTACATGACTGTAAACTTGCAACATCGATGTACGTGTAAAAGTACAAGCACGATCTGAGAAACATCGACGCGATCACCGTCGCCGTCTTTTCAGCTGACTACTTTTCTTACATACAGCATGCAGGGCTGGCAGCCTCAATATGTGGCTACACTAGCTGCAGGGGCTGGAGTTCCCTCCACGTGCGGGTAGTCTTCAGCTAAAGACAGTAAAGTGGTCTTCAGTTTCGTGTTTTCCGTTCTGTCGACAGTTCCCGAACCAGTTTGCTCGACGACGAGCTAGGCCTGGCGTCGGGGCCTATGTTGAGCATAGACAGGAAACGCAACTAGTTACTTGTTGACGTGCCTCAAGTCAGCTCATCTGTCGAAATCTGCCGATCTGCACCCCTGGCCGGCTTCTCTGACTTCATCGTCGGAGTCAGCGAAGTCACAGGCGAAGGGCACCATCAGCTCTTGGGTTGCAACTAGTGCGTCGCCTCTGTCTTGTCTGTATCCGTCTGGTCAGTCCGAACAGCTGACAGACTTGCTGCGGGATCATCGGATCTATGCGCCCGCTTTCCGTCGTTGGCAATGCTGGACTCGCATTTTTTTTGAAATTCACAGAACGTACATTTTACTGATGTAGTTACAATAACAATCGTTAAGCCGATAAGCCGATCGTTATGGTATCAGCTTAGCCACTAAGGAAAAAACGTAATCGTTTCAGCACTATGTATAAGTACACATTTTCGTTCACGAAATCTTTCATTAGATCACTCCACCAGCAGGCTTGTTACGTTCTAAATTTCGTTTTTGGTTGAGGTCTGTCACCCCCAACTTTCAGAAGAAAAAAACTTTAGTTTGCTACAAACTTTAGTTACTTCGTGCCCCCTAACGAATATAGCGAAAGTTAATTCCAAACGAAAATGTGTACTTAAATTTGTTTGAATCCATATTTTTTCTCGACGCCATTTCTTCATATTTTCATCGTTTTATTGCACATCGTCTCCAAAGTACACAAATGTCAGTTCAGCTCGTTTTATTGATTGCGGCTATCAAATTATTGTCTCCTCGCCGTTTGTTTAAATGTACTTATACAGTAAACAATTATTAACCCTTTACCATCCGACCAAAATTCCCCAGCAGCCCCAAAAGCAATAATTCTCACCTTATTCTGAGAATATCTTCGGTTCTAATCAACCGATTTTCACAATCTTGTGCATTCTGGAAAGCTCTCCACGAGCTGCGTACATAGAGCTCAAATAGGACACTACAGAAATCACATATTCAGCGCCAGGGAGCTTCAAATACACCCCATCGCTGGACATACGAGGAAATTCTCTCCTCACCAGCCATTTCTCGCTCCTTCATCGTAAACATTCCAAGTTTTTTGCTTGAGGTTCTTTTCATCCTACCCACGCGCTCGAAGCATGCCAAAGTGACTCAGCATGTCAGGAGAGGGGAAAATCCCCGCTCAAGGTCAGTCACTCTGAAAGAAATTCGACTTTTGCCGTGGATGAAATGTCGAGCATAATATCTTTGGAATGCGACATCGCCTCACTTCACCGATTGCAATGGAAAGCTGAGCTCTTCGGCTTCTTCCTAGATACTTAGTTTGTTTCATTTCCGACTCCACTGCTCGCTAAAGACAGGCGGAGAACGTACAACGCGAACACGGCAAAGTGCTTTGACAACTCTTCTCTTCAGAGAGCAGAGTCCTCCAGTTCGATAGAGTGCTCAATGTTGACAAAAGCAGAGCTATATTACACATGCCTATCCCGACATGTTTTCATCATTTCTCATTCTCTTCAGCGGTATTACAGGAATTACGGACACACACCAGCTCCTCAAAATGACACGTTGGGGACTCATTTTGACGCCAACCTGTTGCCATATATCCTGTGCACTAGTTGACTGGCGCTTTGGGTGGAGAAAATCAGTAAAAAACTCAGTTTTTTATCGTAAAATAGAGAGAATTAATGCTTAACCCTTCTAAATACCATCCGTGCGTACTTGAATCGATCTCTAGAGATAGATGGACATGCATACACTAAAACTTCCGTAACTCGGTCGATTCTTGTCGGAATTTAAAGAACTAACTATCTAGGAAGAAGCCAAAGAGCTGAGCTTTCCATTGCATCAATCGGTAAAGAGCTGCGATGTCGCATTCCAAAGATATTATGCTCGACATTTCAGCTCCGGCAAAAGTCGAATTTCTTTCCGAGTGACTAACCTTGAGCGGGGATTTTCCCCTCTCCTGACATGCTGAGTCACTTTGGCATGCTTTGAGCGCGCGGGCAGCATGAAAAGAAACTCAAGCAAAAAAAATTGGAATGTTTACGATGAAGGAGCGAGAAATGGCTGGCGAGGAGAGAATTTCCTCGTATATCCAGCGATAGGGTGTATTTGAAGCTCCTTGGCACTGGATATGTGATCTTGGTAGTGTCCTGTTTGAGCTCAATGTACGCAGCTTGTGGAGAGCTTTCCAGAATGCACAAGATTGTGAAAATTGGTTGATTGGAACCGAAGATATTCTCACTGCTGGGGAAATTTGGTCGGATGGTAAAGGGTTAAAGTGCGCACGCATTAGTAAACGCTTTACCAACAGCCACAAAGGGATATGCGTCTTATATTTTAGACTCGTGCTTTTTTCTATATACAGTCGACTTCGCTAATAACGACTGCGGATATAACGACAATTCGCGAATAACGACAGAATTTCCATGCCCAGAGCAAAGTTCCTTCCAACTGTAATACACATAATGATACTTCGGGTATAACGACACTTCGTGAATAAGGACACTTTTTGATGCCCCGCCGAATGTCGTTATAAGCGAAGTTGACTGTAGGTTTCCTTTGTCTTTGAGAATCAACTAGGGACGAACCTGGTTTCGCTGAGACAGATTTTCTGTGAATTTGGCTGTCGGTGTGGAATGCGTTCTGTGAACAGTCTGTATCCCCTGAAATGAACACAATATATTTCATACTCTATACTCTCCCGGAATGAGCGCGGATTGCTCTTCTAGAATTACTGCTGGCTGACGCAGATTGCCTGCATGTACAGTGTCTGTCGACTTGCGATTCTAGTTTCAGGGACGTCTAACACCGACAGTAGTGTTGGAGCACTCAGGAAATTCTTATAAGTACTCTATTGAAAAGTCGACGAAGAGACAAATATCGTACAATAGAGAGAAGTAATGCTGAACCCATTGAACGCTGATGACGTCTATAAACGTCATTGAAAATGCCCCCCATGCGCGGGATGACGTCTATAGACGTCATGGGATATATAGTGATTTCTGGCATTGTCTGGTGTGTAAAAGCACTGTTAGGGGCCATCCGTGAATATCGTACTTTTTTCACCAAACGAATTATTTTAGTTTGGACCCAACTCCTCCCTCCCTCCCCCTCAGAACGTAAAAAATGTTGACCTAAAACATGCAAAAGTCACTGCTCCTATGGCCGTGTACATGTATCAATGTTTTCGAAAACGAAATTGGTGAACCCCTCCCACCCCATAACGAAATTATTTCGTTTTTTGAAGAAAAAAACTTCGATATTTATGGACGACCCCTTAGGGCATGTTCGATTGGTAGGATCGGGATCTGGATCCACTGGATTCGCACCCTTTCGATTGGTCGAATCCGGATCCTTGACCCCTTAGGGCATGTTCGATTGGTAGGATCGGGATCTGGATCCACCTGGATTCGCACCCTTTCGATTGGTCGAATCCGGATCCTTCGAATTTGGATCCGGTCAACCCACCTCGGGGAGCAGGGTTGACCGGATCCAACGGATCCAAATGTGACCTTTGTGCGTATATGGCAGGTAAAAATCATTTTTGTACACATTGTGGTACGCACACGTGTATGGAGATACTAGTAGAGCTTGTTGACTTTTTGTACGACGCACACGATGAGTACGACGTTCACCCTTTTGGGTGACTTGTGAGCGCCATTGTCAACATTGTAGCAGTCAATGTCCAAAATAAAGTGTTCAGTTGAATCTGATGGATCTGAGATCTGGATCCCGATCCCGATCCTTACCAATCGAACATGCCCTTAAGCGGGATTCACAGAAGCTTTTTTGCGATGCGACGTGATCTACGGCGGATGCGGGCGATGCGAACTCGCGAAATACCATAGACAGAAGAAGTCAGCGATGCGACAACGTCTTGCTGATTTGGGTACGTCACCATGATATTCGCGCGGTTTGCTACAACTTGTGCAAATTATAGGCAACTCTTGAACCTTTGTACAACTTTGCTGTAGAAAAGGTCAAAATCGTACGCCAAATCGCTTGTCGCATCGCAAAGTTGAGCCAAGCTCAACTTCTGCGATTTGGGGGTTTCGCGGCAGTCGCATCGCAAAAAAGCTGTGAATCCCGCTTTAGTCAGTTGGATCATGATCCTGTCTCTTGTACGATCGGTCGTGGGTACGAATACCGCTTGGTAACACTGTGCGTCTTTTTTTTCTTCTTCTCTTTTCAGCGATCTTTCTGCTGCAATTGCACGGATTTTAGCATATTTCACGCAATTTGAGCAAACTTGCGTCCCCTATTGTGAAGCGTTATTCTTTTTTTGGGGACTGTATCGATTCTGTTACCCTGTGGTTGATAGTCTTGGCACTCATTTCCAAAATATTTGAGGACCCCAGTTGTCAGAACCCTGGAGTTTAGAACTTTCTATTTGCCTTGTTTTTAGAATTTATATGCAGAGTACCATAGGCAAGGCCCAGTAGCGCTGAATGGGTTAAAGTGCGCACTCATCAGTAGACGCTTTGCCAACAGCCACGATGGGGCAGGAGTCTTAACCTTTTGAGCACGACGCTACATGAATGCCGCCCCACGTCAACACCTGCAAAAATCACGTTTTTCCTATGAAAGTAGTAGCTGTTCAAGGATCGATAACTTTACCTTTCTTTGGACGAATTCCTGCAAAGGTCTTGAGGCGAGGAACAAAATAGTTCCAAGCTCAGCTCGGAGCGACACCAAAAGCCCATGCTACAGTCTGGCAAACTTCACGCGCGCGCTCGACTGACTTAAGCACGGCCAGGAGATCAAATCCTCAGCTGCCATTTCACTCTCCTTGCTCGTATCGAGCTCAAATTTTTTTGAGGACTCCCCAGATCCGCTCCCATCATTTGAATCTAGTTTCCATGGCAGCAGATAGCGCGAAAATGGAAAATACGCGTTCTGCAGAGTTCGCAAAAAATCGATTTGAATTTGCCGTGTCGAGTCGCATATCTCAACAACCCGGGGTCGTATCGCTCCGGCGATTGTTTCTATCGCAAGCTGAGAGTTTTCTCTTGCAGATACATATTTCGATCGTGAGAATCGGCCAAGAATTGACCGAGTTACGATAGTTTGAACTCACGCGGTTCATGCAAATCGCGTTTGTACGCTATGTACACTCACGACGTAATAATACGTCATGCGTGGGTGCAGTGACACTGTACGTGACGTATTAATACGTCATGCGTGCTCAAAGGGTTTTAATGTTTTAGATTCGTGAGCTTTCTTTCTATATAGGTTTCCTTTGTCTTTCAGAATCAACTGGGGACGATACTTTCCACTGGTGATTGTCACATGAAAACGTTCCTTATGGAAAATATGCATATACATAACCTACTGTGTCCCTTTATGGCTTTTGCTATAGCGTCTACTAAATGGGCCGTTCGTAATTATCGATCTTGTTCACGAAGAGAACAAGTTTCGTTTATGGGTGGGTGTGTTGAGGAGAGTTTCGTTTTGGAAATTATTGATGACTGAAACATCAATCCATTCTAGCTGTGAAGTCATATATTTTTCGTTGAAGGGGGCGGGTGGGTGGGGGAGGGTCAAAGCTAAACTTTTCGTTCCGTAAAAAATATCGATAATGCCGGATGGCCCCTTATAAATGACTTTTCAGTGACACTGAGCATTATTTATCTCTATCTTAGGGTGCGTTTGGTTGGTACGATCTAGAACAGGATCGAACAGCTGGTGCACATGGAGCAGCCTCATGCCAACCAAACGGTACTCCAGAAACAGAGCACATTTTCGTGGAAAAATGTGTGAAACTTGAAAATGTGTATGGGTCACCATGGTCACTTTATACGGTACAACGAGTCCAACCCAAAAGCGTATGCACGTGATCATTTGGGACCAAAATCGATGTTCCCGCCAGGTTTCACTGTGAAAAAGTGAAACTGCTCGGTCTGCTCCGGCCTCGAGGCCGGAGCAAGCAGAACATGTTCTGGCCGACCCAGAACAGGTGCAGTCCCAACCAAACGCGCTGTTCTGGTGAATCCTGTTCAAGTTCGTACCAACCAAACGCGCCCTTATTCGATTCCTGTTATTTCCTCTGAGTTGTGTTGCCCTTGCATGTGCACTTTTTGTGTTGGCTGTGCAGCAAGACGTTGATCGGTTTGTCGACCAAGATTGGACTATCGTCGTGGGCATCTGCACCCATATGGGCTGTGTGCCTATCAGCCATGCTGGTGACTTCAATGGCTACTACTGCCCGTGCCACTCCAGCCATTACGACATCGGCGGCAGAATCCGAAAGGGCCCCGCACCTGAGAACTTAATGGTACCCAACCATGTCTTCCAGGACGATATTGTTGTTGTAGGATAAATCTTTAGAATTTCATGTCCAATCATCCTCTGCGTGTATTTATATGGCACAAAATATTTTTTTGGCAGAAAACGCATAGCTTTCTGTTATGGCTGAGCTAATGTGCATGGGTCATCTTGCTCCATGCATATGATATGTATGCCGCATTTTTTCATGGCTGCAAAGACAATTTTAGTCCCGATGAGTCATTTGTTTTGAATTCTGCGCAGAGTGTGTGCACGACACCGTGTACTGTGTGATTCGCCCGGCAAGTTCTGCTGCGAAACATTCCTGCCAGTCTCTCTCATTTACGTATACACGTGCACGTGTAGGACTCTAACAATGTTTTGCTGCTGTAATCACCTGCAGTCGTGTACAGTAGAGTCACGCGCCGAAGAACGTTGGGCCCAAGAACGCCCAGCCTGAAATGCTAAGAACGGCGGTATTGGTTTTCCGGCAGCTTTTGAGATAGATACCGGTATAATCCGGTACGAATTGTTTCTAAGAACGAAGCCAGATTGCTTTAAAGGTGGCTGGGGCGGTGCAACTTTTTAGGGGTGATTTTGGCTGCAATTTTGAGTTTATCGGCAAAGTGGAGATGAAATTTAAAGATGTTTTTCGGTGAATCTCTGGAGAAGAGCCTTCTACTTGTACGGTAATTCTCTAGCCGCCGCGCCTATATATGGCCTACAGTTTTATTTTTACTTTTGAAAACGTTTTATGAATGGTCTGTGTTCTTTTTCCACGGACCTTTCATAAAACGTTTTCAAATTTTGTCCAAAAGTAAAAATAAAACTATAGCAGGGCTAGGGAACCCTACACGTGCATGTACCGTCAAGAGTGCATCATGTTTATGGACTCTTGATACCGTATGTGTAGGGCTCCCTGAACTATAGCCTAGGAGGCTAGAGAAGGCTCTTCTCCAGAGATAAACCGAAAAACAATTTCAAATTTCATCTCCACCTTGCCGATAAACTCAAAAATGCAGCCAAAATTTGGTTGGTCAGGTCATCGCCGTTCCAATTTGTTGCCCACTAAGTTGCACTAACGCATGTTTACTGCTGAGGTTATTACAAATGTACCTGCTACCGGTATGCCATACACAAGTTATGAAAGGCTATGGGCGTATGGTATGGCCGACACACGTATTTTAGGACACCAAGATCTCATGAGCAGTTGTGCAAAACCTCTCAGAAAATGTCCGCTTGGAACTTGACAGGAAGTTAGTTCCAGGCTGCAGTGGCATTGTGGAAATGTTTGAGCACTGCATGCTACATGCATGTGCTAGGATTTGCTGCAACCATTTCTAATTTGCAATGACACAGGGTGGCGGTGGGGGTATGCAGCAAGGCCATGGTTTTAAACGCCTATCGAAAACTACTGTTTCCTACAACCCGACCAAGAGCAGTCCTACTTTTTATTTGAATAAATCACGCGTGAACTGTGTGTCCTCGCCTTGTGACATGGTGTCGAAATCGAATACAATAATTGTACTACTCCCTGGAAAAAAAGTCCTGCTTGCATGCACTGCATAGCTAGCAGATAAAGCAATTTTAAAAACAATAATAGACACAAACACAATAGAAGTAGACTTAGAAGAGAATATCTCAAGAAAAACCTCACTCTACAATGCTATATACAAGTACATGCAACTCAAGTGGCTTTCATCTTTACTTCATCTGACAGATGCAAGTTAGAGGAAAGAGTATGGTCACATAGATAAAACGATAAATGCCAGCACGGATGAATCTGCTCAACTATGACACAGCAAGGCAGTTCTACAGTGCTATGTGTGTATCTGTACCTACAATTGACAGAAGTACAACAAAATTAAAAAGAACTATCTGTACAGGAGCTCGTACATTCAAGTTTCTTCTGCCAGCAGAAGATCTTCAAACTCATAGCGCAAGTCCTGCAAGGTGTCTGCAATCTCCTGTGTAGTCTCTCCCAGTCTGGGCACATGAACACAACACATCAACCCTATCATCCAACACTTAACTTACTACGCAATAGGACGTGACCATGCAAACTGCACACGTTCTTGATGCTTCTTGCCTGTTTCATTAGAATAGACCCTTATTTCTACTTGCAAGTGATGAGGAATAGACACGTGAATAACATCACAGTCCTCGTTCCTGGTGCTCCTGACGCTTTATGCATTGCCATCAATAATAATTCGTTTCTCTTGTCAATCATTCTTCAATAGAGCAAACATGAGGCGTTCTACTCTCATTGTCGTCTGCAGGGAGCGACTTGCGCGGCAACAATCCAACAAAAGTTTCTCTTGGGAAAAATACATAAGGGAAAATAGTTCAAAATACTAGAATGTTGATTCACAGCTTTGACATCTGCCACCCGAAACAGTAACAGGAAAAAGCACATGTGTACATGTACAGTATAATACCGGATCCACCTCCACACTGTGTCGCCTTCCAGCTGGATTTTCAGCAGGGGACGGGATTAGATCAAGACAGCCAAGTCAAGAAAAGTTAGTAGTTATCTTTTGTGTAGTTGTAGATCAGACTTGCCGTGCTGGAAAGTGCACATTTTTCAATTTTCATCCATAGACGTACTGCATTGGCATGTATTACGTACAACAGTGAATGCGTTAGTTCAACACCGTATATTGACGTACACACTGAAGTCGCTTCACAGGCAGAGATTCGACAGAGGGCGGATCAACGGTACTTTCCGGTACCTGGATTCTAGGAAATTTTAATGAAAACTGGTGTGAAAGGGCGGAAAGGGGCCCCGAAGAACAACCTCCGAGGTCAATATAGTTCATGCCACACACTAAAGTTTGGTCACGACTCACGAGTCCATGGCTAGCTCCCCTCTCAACTAGTGAGAAATTCGAAGTAAGAATGTTGCATTGCACGAAAGGAATACCTGACAACACCCGGTTGCCATTGACCGAAGACATACCAACAATCATTACCTTTGTTTGGCTTCACGCTCAGCATTGTTTGCCTTCAGTAGTTCTGCACGCTCATCAGCATCGTCGCCGTCTCGGACATTCTCCACTATGCGACGTGCATCCACCACATCCTTGTGTCGCAACTGCCATTCAACAGTCTGGAATGCACACACACACACACACACACACACACACACACACACACACACACACACACACACACACACACACACACATGCACGCACACACACACACACACACACACACACACACATTATTCTGTGTACTCGGACACGGTGCTACTTTACTCATGAGGTCGCATTTACCAGTACAATACTCTGCACATGTTCTGTAAACTACTAACTTTGGGAAGTGATTTTTTGGTTATAACTCAAATTCCGAATATTCGTTAGTAACTTTATTATTGCGATGAATAGTATCAGTGAGGCGGTGGGCATTGCGAAAACGAAGAAGAGAATAAATATGGTGAAAGTCTCCAGTCGTCAAGTACAAATTAAGATGCGTGCCCACAACTGCGCAACAAAGTGTGGGATGATCCAACTTAGCCATCGAGCAATAAGTGTGTTGTGACCCTGGTGCTTCCACACTCATCAGACAAGACAATGTCCCCCATCCAAGCCAAGGTTCGGCCATCAACTCATACATGTACTCCTCGGGCGCACCAATAACCCAGAGGTATGCTTGCTTTCGCCCTTGGCCAGAAAAAGAACGCAGTAAAAAAAGCATGCCGTGACCAGATACCAATAAGACAGAGACAGACAGACACACACGTTTACGTGGTCACTTGGCGGTTACGTGTGACACCTAACTCACATGACGAGAGCATTGCATTTACATTGTGTTTCTTCTAGTGTTGGTGAACACAGCCCCATGCGGTGTGAACAGTCATGTTCAGCAGGAAAACCGAACTCACTTGAGAGAGCTTGTTCTTCTCTTGGTCTTGCAGCTGGGTAACCAAGCGCAGAGCTGCTTGAGCCGTTCTCAACAGCTCAAGCTCTCCTAGAGCATCCCGCACGCCACCAGAGATACGCTGAAAGCAGTCCGTGGCTGTCTTCACATTATTCCGATATTGGACAAAATTGTAGTCAGGCCCAGAGGCAATGTATTGCTCATAGCAGCTGGAGTGACAAAAGCCAAATATAATTTCCGATAATTATCGAATATGCCGAGTATTTGTTCCTTCTATAGTAGAGTTACAACACCAATTCAAATATTCATAATGCTGAATGGGCATGTATTGCATGTGTGCAAGTGAATCTTGGGCATGACCTACCATCGGTTGCAAGCCAAATGAGATTTTAGTTCCAGTTTTTTTCAGTGGCAGTGTTCAATGTTCTATTCCGTGAAATAAATACTTTCATTCAAAAGAATACATCAGTAATGGACTAATGGTCCTATGCTGCGTTCGTCTGATCTGAAACTCTTCCAGAGGCTTCAAGACCTGTTCTCAGCCAACTGGTACATAGGTAGATTGTATAGAATGTTCGTTGGTTTGATAAATAGAATATTCAAATGGAAGGGTTTTGGTGTTCATTCCACAGCTACCTCTGTTTCACCTTGAACAGCAACATTGCATGGGAAGATATGCCATGGTGAATTGGTGATGCAGTAGTCTGGAATATGCCAGCATGGGGTGAGGTGAGGGGTCGTCCTTTCATACAACTATTTAGGGCATGCTGGTACAGTGTCATATACGGCATGCTTCGGCGTACACCACACCAAACTCGCAGTCAGTTCAACCACAATGCCATACTCTTACGGTCTGTGACGTAATCACTGTCCAGCCCTATTGCACTGGTGTGTTTTCAATCGAAACTTCATTGCAAGTTCTTACATGATCCGATAACATTGTGCAAGGCCATTGAGTCCTGCCAATAGGCGAGCGGATAGTTTGGGATCATCTCCAAATTGGGAAAATACGTGCACACCAGAATGGGTACTTGCTGGTACACTAAGTGACTTATACCTCGTTTATCCGGGCAGTCCGGGTCCGGGCACTGCTCGTAGCTTTGAAATATCCGTCACTCTGAATCACATACATACTGATGCGGAAAGACCATAGATATGGCATGTGATGCCACTATTTCCACAGAAAGTGACAGAACAGTACTTCAAAGTAGTAATATTTCCACTGAAACTCACCCGAAGGGTGCCCGGTAGACCGAAATGCCCGTAACTACTACTTTGGGGTCTGGATAACCGAGGTATGAGTGTACGACCGTACATCGTATCACCAGTGGCATTTACAGTTTACACAGTATTCACTTAGGGCCTGTCCAGACTAGGTAGAAAACCGCGTAAACACGCCGTAAACATGCTTGTTGCCAAGGTGAGTGACGAAAAATGGCCGAAAACGGGGAACATGGGATTCACGCAAAACGTGAGTCGCGGACCCCTGTACAAAGCACGTTTCTCATCTACGTGCCGTTTTCGCAGTGTTTGTTGTGTGGAAGTCGATGGAGTTTGCGGATCGCAGTTTTTTCTTGCTGTTTCCAGCGGCCGCTTGTTTTCGCTTTGGAGTTGCCACATGTCCGTTTCAGCGACCACTCGGAGGCGACATTGATACAGTCATGGCTGGACATGCAGAGAAATCCCGGGGTCTGATGAAGAGGAAGGTGTAGTAGCGAGACTCGGAGAATTCACTGAAAATTTGATCGAGTACTGATTTGAAAGAATTGTTTGGAGAGGAAGCAGAACCCTGTTGTGACCAAAATTGACAACATGAAGGCCAAAGCCAGGGACTTGTACTGGAAATACACGGCGGCCACCAACACTGGTTCATCAAGCGATGCTACAGCCGGCCTCGACCTTGGCGCTGCGCTGCCGCGAGAGTCACACGGTGGCCAAATTACCGCACCTAGAACAGAGTTTAGGGTGATATTCCTTGAGCTCGGCGTCAGTGCTACCATCGCTGGGCTGCCACTTGTTTTGTAACTATCTGGGTAGGTCTAGACCAAGCCAGGGAGTCCTTTCCTGGTCTACGCGCTACAAACCTTGTGCAATCGCGGCATCTAGAGAACAGGTAGATCTACACGACGTAGTTACGCCAGACTGCAGTGTGGACAGAGCATCGCGTGTACGTCACGTACTCTGAAACGGCACGCCGTTTTTATTACATAGTGTGGATAGGCCCTTAGGCTGTGTTTACATGAGAAATTTCAACCCGGGTCGAGTTCAGCCCGGGTTGAAAGTCTGTACGATAGACAAAAGAGGTGAGCGTTTACATGAAGACAGTTGACCCGGGTCAAATACTGATATGCCGCCAAAAGTCCACTTCTACAGTCCTGTATGGTCACGTGAATCCGTTCACGCGAAATTTGCATCTGCAGTGCCGTTCAAACCTGGCGCGAGAGATACGCACAGAAGTACGTTTGTACGATTTTCTTGACCCGGGTTGATTTCAACCCTCCCCTTGGGGGAGGGTTGAAATCAACCCGGGGCGAAATTTCAACCCGGGTCAAGCGCAATGCGTCATGTAAACGCGCCATTCATTTTGTGTTCATGGCGGGTTGAAATCTGACCCGGGTTGAAACGCTTCATGTAAACACAGCCCAAGCTTCCATCTTGACAAACCCGTGTACCTCAGTCACCAACTTACTCGTGAAATACATTGTATGCCTGCACACGCTCACTCTGCAACGAGAAGAGTGTGTTGACTGGGGCCTTGCGCGTCGCAACGTCAAACACCTCGCCACCATTGGCTGCAGCCTTTTCAGCACATCAGGAAAAAAAAGAAGAGCAAATGTCAAGTAAACATACTTGAAGTACTCGACTGCACGTAAAAGAAACTTGTGCTGAGTATTAAACCACATCCATTTTGTGAACAGCAGATTGATCTTCTACATAGCCTCTAGCGGAATGTTGGAGAATGAGCTAAGTCCATGGTAGGTCGTATTCGCTATGCAGTAAGGGTAGCTAACACCAGCTTACCATTGTGAGGAGAGACAGAGTTCTTTATGCCTGGTCTGGATGTCCCAATGGTATACAGGTCATTCGAATTTGTTACACGAACAAGATTCACTCAAACGATCCAACAAAGTTTGAAACTAGTTTCACGCTGCACACGATGTTTCGGCGCATCGACTAGCTGGTAATGAAGCCCTAAACGAACGTGAACATGGTGAAGAAGACAACTACTCTCCTGATCCGAGGCTGTCCCAAAACGACTCACTCCACAGGACTGATGCCCCTGGTTGACCTTTTCATGGAGTGAAAGTAATTCAAATTATTTCGAAATTCAGATGCTGTAGATTACGTAACTATCACGTCAACTGCGTCACGTGCATGCAACTATTTTTTTAAATATTTTTTATAGAACAAGAAAGTACAGTGCAGTACTAGTGTATCATAGCAACGGTGAGATGTGCGTCGTCCGGATATCATGGATATCGCGCGGAGTCGAGCTGAAGGAGTGAAGCGCTGCCACTGACAGTCTAGTCTGTACTGCCACTGAAACAACAAGCACATTCTCGTGATGTATCTCACAACACTCTGAGATCGAGAGTGACCTGGTGACTGAGTTCAGCATACCAGGCCAGGGGTGCTTCACAACCATTCGCTTCCCATAAAAGTAAGTTACTTTACAAGACTTAGTACTTGTTTGAGTTGCCGAGAAGAATCTGATTGTCTGAAGGTAGCATCCACTCGGTGAAGGCCGTCAGACTCGCTATAGTCCATTGTGATCGGTTGCTGTGGCTCGAGCTGACGCTGCTATGCCAGGTGAGCCAGATCAGAGCTAGAGCAGGCTGATACGTGTAGTTCAAGTAGTAATGTCAGTGAGCGTACACAGAACAACCACTGAGGGCAGAGGGCTAGATCGTCCGTATCAATGTATCAGTCTGGAATAAAGGCAGCGTCACGTGGTAATGTAGTGTACTGCACTACCAGCATGGCTATAATACCAAGAGTTCATAACCTCCAAGTGTGCAGCTCCTGATCAGTCCCTGTATGGAAGCCTGCTTGGCGGAATTCCTTCATTGCGTCGTTTTTGGTGCAGTGGGATGAGTCATGCCGATGGATATGAACTCTTGGTAATACCGAGCGGGATCCATGACTTGGATATGCCACACAACGGCGAACCCACTCATGACAAGGGCTGCATCATCCACCCAGGAGTAGTGCCTCAAAACTTACGGCAACATCAATGAAGCCAATTGAGTATAAATGGCATTACCGTGTGTGCAAGAATGGTACATAGCCACTAGTACTCTATCATCATAAATAATTACTTTCGATACCCGACCGAAAACACACTGGAGCAAGGCGTCGTAAAATAGCGGTATTTTACGACTCCGTGCACTGCCAACGGAAGTGTGTTTCGTGTTCGGTCCTATCACATGCTTAGCAGACCTGTATAGACAATAGGTCGTGTTTAGACAACAGGTCGGATAGAAAGTTGCCGTATTTGCCGGAGTACAACGCGCACCTGAGTATAATGCGCACCCCCATTTTTAAGCAATGTTCTGGCAATTCAAGGTATATGCTGAGTATAATGCGCAGCCTAGATTTGAGAGCATTTTTAATCATAAAGACAGTACTATAGTGCGACCATTGTCATAAAACGTGCATTCAGATGGCTTGCGCAGGGTCAGAGGTGGCACACTTCGTAGCAGTTTGATGCATTGCACTACTTTTCGAAGTACATGTTCAATTTGTTTCGTATTCGGAGCATAGTGCGCACCAGCGATTTGGGGCCAGAAGTAGTGCCTCCAAAGTGCGCACTATACTCTGGCAAATACGGTAATGTGATGGTACCGAACCTGGAAACACACGTCAACAGTGTTTTCGTTTTTCCTGGAAACACATTTTCATTGTGTTCGGGTGGACATTCAAAATGGACTGAAGACGTTTTTGAAACGCTGCAACACGTTTCACAGAATGATGCTACGCTGTCGTACGATGACATCATCAGGATTTCCTGGCAAGACATTTCCATTAGGCGCCCTCTCCCAGCTCTCTATAGGGCTTGAAAGTGATTACGTCAAAAACTGCCAGGGAGTACAGTCGTCCCTCTCTAATCCGGCACTTGTTTATCCAACACCCTTGCAAACCAGCACACTTTCTGGCAAAACGGATTTTTTCAGTTCCTTTTCTACGCTTTAATCCGGCACTTGAATTCCGCCTCCAGCAGCGATTTTCTGCAACAAATCACTCAAACTGTACACAATTCGATTTTCTAATCCAGCAGTTGTACATCGCATACCGTCAGGGAGCATTGTAACATACACAACACATGTAACATACACTTGGGAATATCCTATGCACTCGTATTCCCAAGTGTATGTTATAGATATGCATTCCACGAAGTACTTGGATTGACGCAGAAAATCCCTACGTTTTGACGTACGACACAAACATGTACGTTAATAGGTGGGCCGGGTTGGAGGGCAGGATTTTATAATCCAGCACCCTTGTTTATCCAGCAGAAAATGCCGTTGCAAAAGGTGCCGGATTAGAGAGGGACGACTGTAGTAAGTTGACATCAGATTTCTATGTTGGATCCACTAAGGTGTGACTCTGATTGCCTCAGTATGTGGGTGCATAGCAAGCAACCCGCTCATGTTGTATGTAGGTGTGACGTTTACTTCGTCACCAGTTGTCACCCCACCCCCATTAGCCAAATCAGTCAGTTTCACTGGTTACATCACCTTGCTGAGAGTAAGACGGCTTGAAATGTGCTTGGATCCATACAAAAACTGGATCCAAGTGGATCCAGTTTTTTGAATTTTTGAAACTGTTGCTATGCTGTGACGTAGCACTTTCAAGCCCTATAGAGTTGTTTCACATCTATCACATGACCATACAGGGCAGCCATGTTGGTTCCAACTCCACTCAACTCCGGCATCTATGTGTTGGTCATGTGATGTGGGCCATGTTGGCTCCACTGTCCACATGACCTGATCACTTTTGTACACAAATTTAGTCACATGACAAAATTAATATGTGAACCACTCTATCACTGTGTGATGGCCTCTTCTTTCTTTTGTTCTGCTTGCATGTGCTCAGGCAAGGCTAAATCTCGCGGCAAATCTACTCTGGCACGGCAGGATGAGCCCGAGCCAGGTATGTGATCCAGCACTAGCTGATCAAACCATGTGACGGAGTATGGTATTCACTATTCACAGTATTCAGTGGAGCTACATGCTATAGCAAGAATAAAATTGCTCCCGAGAGTGTGCAACTATGCATGTAGAACTCAGTATAGAGTCTATGCACTATATGATGTCCTGCACCCTATATAGAGTCCATTGGTCCAAAATCCACTATACAGAGTCCAGGAGTCCACTCAGTTTTGATCAGCTTCATCCTGCCGCGCAATCCCCTATAAGGAGTACACTTTTTCTACAAGTCCCCTATTCACGGTCCAGGAGTCCAGTTTATCCAGTCACGCCGTCCTGTACTGTGTGTTGTGCCCGAAAGAGAACAAACACCTTTTCAGTTTTGCTTGCCTCGTGGCAGCACATTCCTTTCTTCACTTCAGCCATGGCTGTCAGTTCTGCTGTGCAGTTGCTGACAGTAATCTGTCTCGAGGTAACCAAGGAGGATAAGGAGACGTTCAAAATCAAATCTGGAAAGCGTCTTGTGGTTCTCTGAAGACGTTTCATCAGTGCGCGGGATGAAAGCAGAAATTGCAGAACGAGAAAAGTTCAGCACAGTTCAAATCTGACGAGTCAGGTACACTGACACTCTCTTTCGTTCGACGCCACAAAGATCCCCTGTTTGGCTGGCCATTGCTGCCAGTAAGACATTTGAACGGTTTCATCAGAGCGAGGGATGAAAGCAGAAAGCGGAGAACGAGAAAAGTTCAGCACAGTTCCAATCTGACGAGTCAGATACACTGACACTCTCTTTCGTTCGACGCCACAAGGATACCCTGTTCGACTGGACAAGAGCTGCCTGTACCACCGTGTCAAAAGGCTGTCCAACTACATGGCAGGACGATGACTGAGGTAAGGAAGCTTTTACTCGTTTCGATTGGTCTGCTGTTCTGTCGTTATGCTTGAATTTGTTTCCATTTTCAAGGAGCGTATCGCGTTTGTTTGATGTTGCTTGAATGAATGCGCTAAAAGTAATCAACCACTTCGTAATAATCCTCAAGGACTGCAAGGACTTTGCATCAATCGTATACGATCGTCAGCTATCATCAATTATTATTTTATTTCATGAGAAATGTATTTTTATCCCTGTGATAATTATGTAACTCCATGACACTCTTCCTCTACTAGGCTCTAGTATGATGTCAAATACAATGGGATCCACAAACGCAGTGCCAGTGTACAAGTAGTAGTAGGAGGAGGATTTCTTGTATGCCGATGCATGACAAGAAAAAGCTTCTCAAGCTAATACATGTACTCGTATTCCATGAAGTAACCATTTTGATGTCACAAACATGACATTGTGTCAGTGAAACTGCCTCGTGACAACAAATCATTGCATTTCCATCTTGGGGAAGACTGACTGACGGCAACGCTGTACAGATTGTTCAAATCATCTCATTTCAATTTAGTTACAGTGAAGTGAAACACTGTGTACACTACATGTATGGTGGTGTGTGTCTGTGCGTCTTGAGTGTGCACAAACGACCTTATTCCTCGTATTACTAATAGATTATTGTCCCCACCGTCACCTGTTCACAGGTCTTTGCGTGGATGGATTTTCATTGAGCATCATATTCGTTGAGAACTTGGTAGTTGTGTGCTTTTTTATTTTTATATTTTATATACTATGTGCACATCCCTACAAAGTAATAGGGGTAATAAAAGAGACAAAGACAACAAAGGAGTAGTAGGTGCTACAAGAGCTGTGCTCCCATGCATCATTACGGTAATAAGCGTATCCTTGTGCTATCTATTTGTTGCAGGTGTGCTGATCTTCAGAAGCTTGCGGAACTGAGTGCTGCTGAACATTTGCATGGCCATGAGCAATGGTGAAGCTTGCTATTGCACTCTCAGCATGTGCTAGTATTATGCTGACTACTGCACTATGTTACTCTCTTACACTACTACATGTATGTAAACGTGCATGCATCCGCCCACGTATGCATTCGTTTCGTATAATTATTTGTTATCCCTCTTGACTTTACGTGTAAATAGGTGGACGTTTGCATGGCTGTTGGAGTTGCGTGTGTATTGTGTCTCTACTCTTTTCTTGGTGTTTTCTTGGCGTTGTATAAGTTTGTGTGTGTGTGTGCGCACGCACAATAATAATATTATTTGAAAAAAATCACGGTTCGCGTGAGACTCGGCTGGAAGCCGGGCTTTCCGCATTCCGCATAATTTGAAAACAAATAATTAATCCTTGGCTCTCCATTATTTTCTTTCAATTCTTGGTTTTTTTCTAGGCATTTTCTTGGCGTTGTGTGGGTGTGTGCATGTGTGTGTGCGTGCACAATACTTTGGCAACACTACATGATTGAGATATTGTATTTTGCAGCGTCTGCGACGAGACCACTTGATTTGAGGATGGTGTTTGTAGGGTTTTTCATGTAATGAAGTGGCTGCAGTGGCGCCTCAATACTTATTTTTTATCTTGAGAAGTGAATGATGTAAAGGATTAAAGGGAGAGGCCGTTTTCTGGTTAATATTCACTGCTTACAGCAGATCCTATGTCTAATTTCGAACTCTGGATAGGGGATGCCTAATTGGCTGGACTTTATACAGGGAGTGTTGTCCACATAAAGACTCTTTATAGTTGATTTCAAAGTTTGGACTCCGTACAGTTGATTTTGGACCAATGGACTCTATATAGGGGTGAAGCAAATTGGCTGGACTCTATACAGGGAGTGATGTCCATCTAAACTTTGAGCTCACAGTTGATTCCAAGTTTGGACTCTGTACAGTGGATTTTGGACCAATGGACTCTATATAGGGGTTGGACATCATATAGGGGCTGGACGCTCTACTGAGTCCAACATGCATACAGGGTCCCCGGCGGAGAAAATTCACACTATGTGTTCAAAGTACGATTTGCACTACGTACGCAAGAGGAACACAAAAGGAAGTAAATAGGGCTGTTTCTTTTTGTTACTGAGAGTTTCATGGCAGTGTGTACAACGAAGGCTAGCATGCGCATAATCCGAAACTGCCATGATCAAACTGGTCAGGGAGTGCTATTTTCTCGACTCAATCGGTCACTAAAAGCGGGCTGGGAACGTACAACAGGAACACTAGACCACGTGATGTGAGTTCTCGCCGTCGGCAGACCCCATAGAAAGGGTACTGGTCCAGAGTGGCAAAAGAAATATTGTGCCAGTGTGTAATAATAATAATAATAATAATACCACAGCACGCGTAATAATATAATTATGTGGGTATAATTATACGTTCCGCTTCTGTCCTATCTCCTATGATCAAATTCCATTATCAAGGTAATTATTAACACGGCGCACTGATGACCTGTGACGCCAGATCATGGATTGTCGGCCAGATTTCTCCATGTAGGCTTGTCCAGAGCGATGGCCCTCACATTCCCCAGCTGACTGCTGCGCTTCAAGTCGATGTTCCTCCTCTGTAAGTCGCTTGTGATGCGCGTCGCAATGGATGTCCTTGGACGTCCACGCCCAGCCTTGGCATCTCTCGCAAAATAGCCCGTCAGCGCGATCCATGGCGGCGCATCCCTGTCCATACGGAGAATATGGCCGGTTAGCTGCCATCTTCTCCTGTCCACGATGTCAGATAGTGGTTCCGTGTTGCACCTCTCATACAGCTCAGTATTTGATATCCTGGCTGGGTAGACTATGCCAATGAGCCGTCGGAGCTGCTTCCGGTGGAAAACGTTAAGCGATTCTGCTTGTGCTGCCGTGAGCCCCCATGCGCCGCAGTTATACAAAAGAACGGGCAGAACCAGGGCATTATACAGGCGGATGCGCCTCTGCTCACTGACCTTCCCACGCCTCAGCCAGAGGCTATACATCCTGCCGTATGCACTCGAAGCGAGGTCTTTCCTCCGCTCCAGGTCCTCACTGTCGCCAATGAGGGACCCTAGCTGCCTGCTGGACCGCCAGGAGTCTGAAGTTGATGTCAGATGCAAGAATTCGGTCTTGGTCTCGTTTACTGTAAGGGACCAATCCCCGAGTTCTGCGCTAATGATGGGGAGGCTTCGCTTCAGCCACTCCTCACTGGTTGAGTACAATGTCACATCATCGGCGTAACCTGTTTCTCCGGGTATGTGACGGTCGGCGAAAGGGCGTTCGGGAAGGTTTGCTCTCACTTGGCGCAGTGCTGCCTCCAGGTAACAAATAAAAAGAACAGGGCTCAAGCCATCTCCCTGGGGGGTGCCGATGGTGCTGAGAAACGGATTGGCAGTTGCCTTTCCTACTTTCACTGATATTTGTGTGTGGAACAGTAGGTGCTGGATCATGCGCACTTCATCGGGGCCAGTCACTAATGCCATGACGTCTAACAGTTTGGTGCGATCGATCGTGTCGAACGCACGGGACATGTCAATCCCCAGCATGTGGCATTCCCAGTTGTATCGAGTCGCCTTGGCCGCAATCCATCGCTGTGTCCATACCACATCTGTTGTACTTCGGCCTTGTCTGAAGCCAGATTGAGTTGGACCAACATAACGAGCAACGTCCTTTGCGATTCGGCAGAGCACTACAAGGGAGAAAACTTTTCGGATGGTGTTCAGGAGGACAATGGGACGCAGGCTAGTCACGGGTCCTCTAGGTTTTTTTGGTTTTTGTAAAGGAATCAGTGTGCCAAGTCCGATGAACGATGACATGTCGGCACCCTCTGCTACGCTTTGGTTGATGATGTCTGCCGCTACGATGGATAGCTGTGATGTTCCATACTTCAGTAATTCTCCAGGGACTTTGTCCGGCCCACAAGCCTTTCCGTTTTTGAGTCGTTTCATCGCTGTTTCCACCTCCGCTGGAGACACTGCCACACTTAGCCGGTGAGGGACTGGCTTCTGGATAGCAGCTGATTGATCTCTACAGAATAGATCCTTGAAGTGCTCCGTGACGCGCTCTGCCTTCTGCTTATCTGAAGCCAAAATGTGGCCATCAGCAGAGCTGACCATGATACTGGATGGCTGAGATCCACTTTTCATGGCCCAAGCAGCAAGGAACATCTGTGCTGAGTCAGGTGCCTGCTCCACCTTCTCTGCCAGTCTGTCGAGGCGTTCATTGGCATCCGCCCGCTGAATAGAACGGATCTTGTGCTGTATCCGGTTCCGCTGCCTCTTTAGCTCTGCCAAGGAGTGGCGACCCGACTCTGCAAGAAGCCGAACCTCCCGCTGCTGCTCCGATAGGCGTGCCACTTCCTGGTTGGGCAGAGTTAACCTCCCGGATGTGGATCTGTGCATATGGCCAACACTGCTCTCTGCCGCTTTCAGGGTGCCATTTACGGCGCTGGACCATTTCTGAGATGGAGAATGTTTATGAGTTTCTTCTGAGCAAGGGTTGGTATGGCTGATGGAAACGCTTTCTTTGAGTTTTGCTTTGTAGTCTTGCCTCACCGTGGCGTCCGACGAAAGCCTCCGTACAGCCAATGGACCAACGGACCTCTTTGTTTTTGGGTTTGAGCGATAAGCTTTGAACAATCGTTGGAAATCCATGTCGGCGATGACAATTTTATGGTCGCTTGATGTCAGTGTCCCTGCATACGAGCGAGCACGTTTGATAAGGGGCCTGCAGCGAGCCGGTACTGCGATAAAATCAATCATATTGTATACTCTGCTGATTACACCAGTATCTCTGTTTGTGACTGAGCCAGTCCACGTTGTCCTGTAGCGCATGGAATAACGGAAAAGGGTGTTGGCAAGGACAATTTCCCACGAATTTGCCCACTGAACTAGCGCCTGGCCGTTGTTATTCCGCACTCCTTTACCGTATAGACCAATGCAGGGCGTCTTACTGGTGCCGACTTTGCTGTTAAAATCGCCCAAACCAAACACCAGAGTTCGGCTGTTGGGAGTATTCCATGCTTTAGAGAGGCAGTCGTAGAAATCTTCTCTCAGCGATGGGGTCTTGTCTGCCGACGGGGCTGTGGGTCCATACGCCACAACGAATCTCACATCGTGTGTAACAATACTTAATTGATGTGATGGTTCATGTTCACGTGCATGTGCTGGAGAAGATCCGCCCTGAAGTCCGCTACACTGTACAATGTCATTTAACCAGTAGAGTAATAACCGCCGGGTTATCCAACCGGTAATTTAGAGGATGCCCGCGATCATGAAAAAGTTGAAGCCAATTTCGTGGCCCATACATTGAAGCCTGAATGCAGCAGTATACTTGCATTCTGTCCCACTCTCCCATTGCTACCTCTGCACTTCACACATACGTACTAACTTCCACACGAGCACCAAATATCTAGGCCCGCTCGTAGAGAATTCAGTAGTGAATGTCAAATGCCGCTGTCTGATGATCTCTGAAATGCGTGAAACTTGAAGTTACAGCTACACAGCCTTTCGCCTCCGTTGCATGTGTGTACTTGCATTCTGTTCATTTCTGCGGCAGAGCCTGAGCCACAGTTGGAGAGTGGGCAGTTGATCTATCCGAGCGGAGAGCGCTATGGTAAGTCAGCAGCAGTGCACAGCTGTGGCTGGAGTCACGGTGCAGTATGTAGACAGCCTCCACAAGTCGGATGATGTCCAGCCAGTGCCCACACAACCATGCATGCCAGTAATCCGATATTAACGGGGTTAGCCGCTCAGTTTCACTTGGGGAATCACAGTTTCAAGCAGTCTTTCCTGGAATATGTATGCGATCAAGGGTACCGCCTCCAGTAGATCATTAATGTGTAAGACACTGACTTCCCCCAGAAAGCAAACAGGGTTGATTAATCTGTAGCTGATCAAAAATGCTGCAGCCATTTCTTCGATTGAAAGCTACAAAATGCTGCAAAGCATCACCAATGCAATGTAAACAATCTGATTGTGTATTTGACTATCCATTCTACCTCTATTGCTCCAGATGGCCAGTATCTAACATTGAAAGGAAAGGCAATTGAGCGTTGTGGCCAAGGAAAGTTCTCCTATACAGATGGTACTGTGTTTGAGGGCGCCTGGAAAAAGGACAAACTGAGTGGAGATGGTAAGTTTCACAACTTAGCTCAGTGAGCATGGTCCCTTCTTACACCTGCCAGTGCGTATAAGTCAGACTGACTAGACCATGCCAAATGCACTGTGAGTACATACCACATACCCAGTATATCCGGCAAGCACTATGTCTATCCGGTGTACGCAACAGAAAGGCAGCAAGGAATGTCCCATGATGATGCCGTGTGCAAGCCCCCTCCCTCCCTAGGCCCTATGTACATGTCAAGGATAGTTTTTTTGTGAGTCTCAATACCACACGACGATACAGCCTAGTAGCCGTCTACATGTATGTGGAAAAGAGGTGCCCTGCAGACTCAGTGCAGGCACTGGTTGTTCTTGACTCAGTTCCATGTAGACAGCTGGTTTGCTTGTTGCTTGTTTTTCTATAGGAACAGTTCAGTTTCCTGATGGATCTTCCTACAAGGTACGGTTGTACAAATGCATTACACTGTGGCACTGAAAGCTTGGCGGTGTTTTTTTTCTCTGCACGAGTATGGAATTTCCAGTCTTGACAACTTCTACCTCGTGTCGGCGCTCTGGCTGATAAATCATATCTCTCTTCATTCCTTGCAGGGCGGCATGGACCATTTGAAGTTTAGCGGCAAAGGTGAATACACTTTTGCCAATGGCAGCAAAGTCAGCGGCCAGTTCCAGGAGAGCAGGTATGTGCCAGTACATTGGACTCGACGCAATGTTGCAGTAGAGTCGTGCGCCCAAGAATGTCGTTTCCAAGAGGGCAGGCTGGGGCGTTCTTATCTTTGAGAAATCTGGCTGCATTCCAAGGGGGCATTCGAATTGTCTTCATCAACTGTTCGAACAAATTCTTAAAAGAGATTAGTTGAAGTGTCCCATTAGAACGGTTTCTATCATTTTAGAGTTTTCAGTGGAATTGTCATGGCGATGATGATGTCCGATCAGATCGGCCATCTCCACGTAATACGTGACGTAGCTACATGTATTCCAAACTCTTCGGAACTAATCCACCTCTCCCATCGGATGAGGTTGTGGAGTTTCGAGGAGCTTCGTTTTTCTGAAGAGGCCAATAAGGCTACCTCTTCAGAAAAACGAAACTCCTCGAAAAGTCAAAGAGTGACAATTCGAACGCGACCTACGTATGCAATATTACACATATGTATCACAAAAAGCTACAAGAAAACCAGCACTGACGTTCTTAATGTTAGGCTGTGGCATCCTTAGCATTTTAGGCTGGGCGTTCTTGGGCTCTACATTCTTCGGCGCACGACTCTACTGTATGATGTAGGCAGTCTGAGAAGTTATGTTGCAACTCAGAATTTCCCGTTGTTGAATACCGTAAAATTCCGTTAATAAGCCCTGGGCGTATACTTAGCAGAGGGTCAAAAACCGGGCGTATATTTGGGCATGGGCTTATTTTAGGGCATGGGCGTTATTTCGGACGCAATCTGCAGAAGATCAATCTATCAGCAACCCAGAAGGCAACATTGCCTGTTGGGAAATCCTTAACGAAATAAGAAAATTTGGAAAGGATTGGGAGAACTTCATATTCAAAGGATCAGTCGGGGAAGTGAACTGCCTGAAAAGAGAAAAAAAACGCCAGACCCACCAGGACTGGTGGGTCTGGCGTTTTTTTTATTTTTCTCTTTTCAGGCAGTTCACTTCCCCGACTGATCCTTTGAAATAAGAAAAAATAATAATAATAATAATAACCCACTAGTTTCAGTGAACTACCATTCACACTGAGCACGGTACAGGTACATCAAACCACAGCTGGAAATTTGGTCGTAACCAAGAATGTAGCGATAAATTACAGATTTGATATGTAAACCACTTGCTATATAAGTACAAGGCACAACAGGTACCGGAATTTACGCGAACGCACGCTCACGCGCTGGTCATTTTGAGTCCACTTTACGCCCTGGGCTTATTTCGGGCATGGGCACTAAAACGGACTTGAAGTGTACACCGCCTAAAACTGGGCTTATTATCGGACATGGGCGTTATTTAGGGTGGGCTTATTTACGGAATTTTACGGTATCATCAGGCATTGTGTTACGGTGTCCACAGAATGCCTGTAACCATGACCTGGTCATGGGGGAATGGAATGGTAATGATGATTTCACGACATGTGCAACTGAGAGTATTGTGCAATGAGATAACTTGGCCTTCGCTTTCTTTATCTCTTTGTGACAGGTTACAGGGTGACATTACGTTTACGGACGAGCAAGGACAGGTGTGGCGTGGTAAGATCAATGACGCAGCGACGGAACGACGCCCTGGTCAGCCTACATGGACACCAACGCCCCCAAACGCTGCATTGCTACGGAAGGTCTTAGTGTAGCCAACTATTTGAACTTCTACGCAGGCCAAGCGACAAGTTATAGACAGCTCCCAGCAACCAGCACAGTCACCATCTGAAGCTAAGGCAACGCCGTCTTATCATTCGATGGACATTGCAATGCATGCAAAGTGATTATCTCGATCAGAGCCTGTACAAACCTTGTTTGGAACGATTTCATAATGACACTGGACTATCATTTGATCCACCGGCTCAGCTAAGCTGTCTACATTTATATCAGGAGTGCACGTTATAGATCTGATGTGATATTTTCCACGCTGCAGTCAATGATCCCTGCTTTGGACGAGATCTTTCCAGCAGTTTGCACACAGGCACCAAATGTCCAAAAAGCCCTACGATGCTCTGCTATGACCACTTGGTAGGGACTAGACAGCACCTAGTACAAGGCTCTCAGCTACAACTTGTAAACGAAAAGGGCTGTACCCGTGCCATGGTTGTCCAGGTTGAAAGGCTACAGCCACTGTGACGCTCAGCACAACATGGGCTATGATGGAAGGAGAAGGGAACATAGTTGAGCTGTGTTTCGGATGTTATAATAATAATATGACTGTTATGATTGTTATGTTGACTGTTGCTGAAGTATCTGTATAGACGTCACCATGTGATACTTATAATATGATTTCAAGCATAACACAATCCATTCCAACGGCATAGAACAGAGAATCTTCGAAACAAAAACCAGTGTTGCCTGCAAGGTGTGAATTACATGACAGATGCAAACTGGAAACAGAGTGCATGACTGTGGACTCTGTGGAGAGGCCTACATATAGTAGCATAACGCAACTAAAGCAATGAAGTCCACGTTGATGTACACTTTTTAGTTTTTACCCAAACACTACACACTTGTTGGGCCGCTACTACCAAAATGTAGTAGCACGGTTAATTAACCCATGAGTCAAGGTTGTGCACCAGAGTCGCATCAAACAGCCTGGGAAAGATGAAAGCAATGGATCACTAAGGATGGCACCACTGTGGAATTTGTTTGCAGACCTGATGGCATGTCTCCAATCAGCACAATGCAGAACCACTCGGCTGGTAAACTTTAAAAGGAATCACTTCGCTGCCATCGGTGGCACCGGAAACAGAAGGACCAGCACACGGACTGAGACCTTGTATACCATTGTTGAACGAGCCAGCTGACCCAGGTTTGCACACATGTACATGTACCTGGTTGCCAACTGTCAGCACTGGCACGTGGTGATGAGTCAGAGCAGCTTTCGAGACCTGCCAACGGGAGTAACATACCAGATGCCGGCTGCTGGGCCACCATTGTGTTGTCGGCTACGGCTTACGCGTATCAGGTCCAGGACAGGTTCCACCTGCCAAAGTTACCGATCTCCATGCTGTGTACTAATACACATACCTGGATGTCCCATGATACAGTGCAGCATTGTCAGCTCACAACAGGAATGGCGAGGGGCTCAGCCAACCCGACAAGCCTGATTTCCCCAATGCTAGGGATACCATGCGCAGGATTTTGTTAGCAAGGTAGTTTGCAGACGTCCCATCCTGCATGCAAACAGCAAGTTAACAGCAGTTTTTTTCAGAATGATGCAAGGTCAGCAAAGCAAAAGCAAGCACAAACAAACATCAGATGCTGGCAACAGACCTGGACCTGAACTATCAATGCTGACATCATGATCAGATGGGCGCAGTCTAAAGCACTTAGCTCAGCCTAGCTGTCATGAACATAGAGGGCATTTCTCACCTTGCACGATCCGTACAACACCGGAATATCCTGGAATCCAATCTCACGGGACAGATCAAGCGCCGAAGTTCCCGAGGCTGGTCCTACATCAGCTACACACGCATCACGGATATACCGTTGAACGATTATGTTGAGTAGAGTACAATGTATACATCTTCCAGCATTCATTGCCGCAATCATACACAAATTCATGTATTGCCGACCGTTGCATGAGTCATATTTCAGCATCATAAATTCCCCAAGTATTGCCGAAGTCACACCAACCTCTTCCTCATAAAGCATATGAAGAAGTATGATTCGTCAGAAAAAAATGTTGAGAAAAAAGTGTTTTGGGAAATCTCATTTGGAATGTTAGGCAGGCCTTCTTACTTAGAATTGATTTTACTTTGAAGTAGCTGGAGGTACCTAACGAATTGAATAATTCCTGACGAAAATTTATACAGTACACAAGGCAACACCCAACAGGTCACAACGTTTTACAAAGCAGAGTACAAACCTTGATTCAATATCATGGTAAACTTTCAACTGATTCAGCTCTTTCACAATATCAGCAAGGCAGCACATTTTTCATTCATTGGTTCGAGAGAAAGATGCAAACGGGAAAAGTCTGAAGAAAACATTGACTGTCACCACCAGGGCTCGAACCAGGGACATTTTTAATGTGGATTTTAATATGGATTTTACAGAGGCCATGAGCAGTGGAGGACTCAACCATCCATGTAAGACTGGACAGATTAATAAATAAGACAGCTTGGAAGTGCTCACCTCCAATGACGGTAACACACGATCTACCGCATCGGTAGTGAACGTCGAGACAGGACATTGAGCGTCTGAGCGCATCCAGGCTACGGGGGAGCGAGAGATGACACGACTGTCAAGGACTACTTTTATTAAAAGCACTTACCAGTGAATCCGCTGTTATGAATGAGCCTAGTACATGCATTGTCATGGTGATCATTCAGCACCAGGTACACTATGACAGCATCTTTGAAAATACTCTTTCAGGGTTCTAGCCAGGTCAAAACAGTAGGGGAGGGGGGGGGGGGGGGCGCTGAGGGGAAACAGTTACCCCGTAACTCATTTTCCAGTTTCCAAAATTGTCTTGCCATGCCAAATGCAACGTACGGGGCGAATCCCCGGCAAAATTAAAGTGCCTTTATGAACCCTCTAGTAGTGACTATCGACAGCATTTTCGTTGAATGGCTTGACAAAATACAAAGTTGACAAATGAGTAGGAGGGGGGGGGGGGCTCTCAATCAGAGTAGGAAAATGCTACCAATACACAATTATCTGCATACCTTCGACAGTCAGTTGCATCAGCTGCCAGCACGACGACATCATAGTGAAACTGGCGCGCTCTCCCTGTTGCAGACAGTGGCAGCTGGGGACTACGCATTCTGGTAGTCCCATCAAGTAAAGTGCACCATAAAAAAAGTTTTAAAAAAGGAAGAAGAAATCAGTTGACTACACAATAGAGGATTTGTAAATTGTAGAAGGGTCCCCTTCAACCTATCAGCAATGCACACTCCTTGCTGAAACATTACAGTACAGCATACAGCATGTCTACAGGCTAACAGCATAAGGCAAACACATAACAATACAATGCTATAAATAGAACAAATGATGCCAACAATCAACATAATACCATGTAACAGTCATGAAATGCAAAAATGTATAAAGTGTAGAAAGGAAAAGGATATATGGATACGAGTTAAGAGTAACTCTCCATCACTGTAACCAGATACTATATACAGTCAGAAAGTGCAACAACTAGGCGCAAAACTGACAGAGTACTGAGACATTCGACGGACGTCCTGACACCTAGCTTCAACACATCTCCGTAGCGCTAACCGACAGCCTTCCAACTTGGAACTTGGAACAACTTAGTTGTTGCACTTTCTGACTGTAAAATTATAGTATCTGGTTACAGTGATGGAGAGTTACTCTTAACTCGTATCCATATGTCCTTTTCCTTTCTACATTTATTACTGGCTCAACGTCCGAGTTTCATATTGTATAAAATGTGATTGCAAATCACTATTCGATGTAAGTTCGCTGATGACCATCGAAAGAAAAACGTTAATGAATCACATTTGATACATTTTTTTGCATTTCATGATTGTTACATGGTATTATGTTGGCATCATTAATTTTGTTCTATTTTGTCGCATTGTTAAAACTCCTTTCTCCGAAACACCTCTTTGTACATTACAATACAGTCAGACCTCGCTTACCCGGTCCTCTTTTATCCGGATCCCTCGCCATCCGGAAGAAAATCGCTGGTTACCGATGTGCAGCATATGTTACGCATACAACATAACCGGACCTCGCGATCCGCGCACCGGTGCATGTTTTTGTGTACAAACTGGTTGAAATGTGTACAAAAAGCTTCGTCGTATCCGGTTGCACATGGCTTGCAAAAGCTAGAATCAGGGAGTTGTACAAGCAAATGAGGTCCTTGACCTGCTGGATGCATGCGGATAGCACTCAGTTGCATGCACTTCTCATTTTTCTGGCTTGTTTTACATACTGAGCACGCTAGTTGTACTGCATAGGACCCGTCTACATGTATGTACGATGCCACTCCTTTTGATATGCCACATGCATATACAAGTACAGTATGTGTGTTCAGTTATCCGGTTCCCTCGCCTATCAGGATACTATTGTGGAAAACGGATGTGTGCGGTTATGCGAGGTCTGACTGTACCGCAATGATTACTCAGGCCAAAGTGACTGTACCGCAATGATTACTCAGGCCAAAGTGACTGTACCGCACTGATTACTCAGGCCAAAGTGCTGCAGGTTCTGCTGAATCGAGCAGTCCGCACTGTCTACGGTGTGCCCACGCGACACTCAGCTGAACCTTTGCTGACCCGGCTGGGAGTTTTCCAGGTGTCAGAGCACTTCCACCAGAACACCTTAGCTCTTGTGTGGAAGAGCCTACACGGTGAGACATCGCAGTCCGTCACAGAACTAATGACTCCACAAATGACCAGAGAAACCCGCCTTCAGCAGCAGGACGGACTCAGTCTTCCAGTTGCAAGAACAAACGCTGGCAAGTCGAGGTACGCCTTCAACGCTACAGGTAAATGGAACAGATTACCTGGAGACGTCCGCTCCAGCACAACTCTGGAGACCTTCAAAACTGCAGCAGTACCCTACGCAATTGCTCGTTGACTACATGGAACAGTAGCAAATGCCATGTTTGACAATGGATCCGATTTCCAGCTGACTATCATTTCCAGTGCATACACACTTTTTTCTTTCCTTCTTTTTTTCTCTCTCTGTCTTTTTTTTCTTCCCTCTTAACCCTTTATTGGCCGATTAAAATATAAGCAAGCCCACGCAATCATCAAATCTGTACCTAAATTGGACGTAACTTTAGTTTGCACTGGACAAATTCCACGATCTTGGGCATCCTGGAAAGGCCTTGACGAGAGGAGCGCGATGAGCCTACACTCGGCTCCACGGGATGCACTGGCCCAGCGCTGCAAGCCAGGGAAGGCGCACCAGCGCTGGGCTCACGCTCGACATCGATCTCTATCCACCATTTCACTCCTGTTGCTCGTATCTTACTCAAATATTTTGGTAGAGACCCCGGGAACATACTTTTGAAGTTGAATCGGTGTAGCCTTGACAACAGGTGACGCAAGCAGGGAAAATCCCAGCCGTTGACCCACGCATCTCGGTCTGAGCGCAAATTTCCCGGGACCAACATTACGAGTGCTAGAACTAAAGAACCGCCTTTCCTATCGCTTTGAAAATTGTTCGAGGCGGAAGCTGAGAGTTTTTTCTTCGACCTACATATTTCGATCTCTCCAAGAGACCGAGATTTGACCAAGTTACGATAATTTCAAAGTGCCTACTCCATCGAACATCGGTGTTCGATCAATGTATGGGCCAGCCAATAAAGGGTTAAGATCTTCGCTACCTTGTCATTGGGAAGAAATTCCCGTTTGGATTTTGCGAAGTAAAACAAAGTTAAAAAGAAAAGAAAAAAAAAGTGACTGTACAATGATTACTCAGGCCAAAGTAGCGGCTTACACAGTGATAGAGGGAAACGTTGACTCCTTCTCTATAGCAGTGCACAAGGATGCTAGCTGAGAGGATTCTGGTCCAACCACCTGTGGGAGAAAGAAACACTACAAGATGGTGACATGTACTACTACACGCGCATAGCCGTGTTGCCCCGAAACCCCTCGGGGTAGGGGGGGGGGGGGGGGGTGCACTGCAGACGTCGAAACCTTTGAAAACTCCAGTAAAACCTCTGGCTTGACCGCAACAGTCCTAGATAGGGCCTCTCAGAAGCTTGGAATTTGAAGATATCCTAAAGCTTGTGGCACGGGGTCTTCCCCCCCCCCCCACAGGGGATGCTCCCGGACTCCCATCTGGGGACCCCTTCACAGACCCTTCCGGCTTTGCGCCTGTGTAACTTCTACCACCTGTGACGGGTTAGTGTACCCAGCAATGCCATGCTATCACCCTACATGCACCTATTTCATGTATATTACAGTACAGTACTGCAACAAAATATAGCCACTATTGTCATACATACAATGCAACTCACCAATACTCCAACATTGAGTGGTCCAGTTTTTCCGATTCCATACACCAATGGTACTGCTGCTGGACAGCTCCCCGCAGCCATGGCGGTGATCCCTGACTGAGACGTACTGGATGTCAGACTACTGCAGTACTGGAGGACTACGTGTTGTACATGGCATGTAGTTGGAAATCCAGAAAGGTGATCCTGCACAAGCGCTGGATAGCAGCTTGCGCTCAGCACTAGGCGCTCGCACAGATATCTAGATGTATCGCTGGCGTAGCTATGGAGAAGCACAACACCGCCGCGTTGCGCGCCAAACACCTCTCTGCACGAAAATAATTGCTCGCAAGACCGCAGCGGCTAGTCACCAGTATGGTCACGTAAGTGGCATTGTTCAAGTATTTTGCTGAGTAGATCTACGAGTCCTGGTCGGGTCAGGAGAAGAGACAGGAAGGCTGGCAATCAGTATTCCTTGACGTTCAACGATTTGCAATGGCATCTTGCACTGCTTCGCTCCAGATCCATTCAAATAAACTGAGCCAGTGAGTGAGTTTAGTTTTTGATTTGGCCGCCTTTTGTTGTTTTGTGTGTGTATGTAATTTATTTTCGGTTTCCCTGGCACCAGAATATGGCGTCATGGCGAGCGTCATTTGACTGCACTGTGATTTGACTTGACATTCTGCTCTGCAGATCTGGTATTTCTTGGACGGATTTGAAAGTATCTTGATACGGACAGACTCTTTGAAATTGCTTGAAAAAGTCGTGTTAGCCTTAGAGGCTCTCGGATCCTTGCTTGCTTTAGACATCATTCGCCTTTGCCATGGATTCGGAGACTCTAGCACCTCTAAATTTGTTGATGAAGGTATGACGACGAAGAGTAATCACAAAGATGTACAATTTCCTTCATGCAAAGCGTTGTCTGGTCTGTTGTACTTGCTAAAGGCGAAGTCAAAGGAGTTCGTGTCCCGCCTGTTTCACGAAGCGTTTAGATATCGTAACAGCGGGGGAGGTAAGAATGCACATTATGCATGTGCATCTAGCAGTTATTCCATGAGAAGCTCACTGAGCTTTATCAATTGAGTGATTTTCTCACTGACACCTCCACTGCTGGCACTATCTTGTTTGATTGGCTTCAGTATTTCCAAAGGCTGTCATTCAAGCTGTAGCAGAAGAGCTGCAAGTAGAGAGCGTGCATGTGGTCGAGGTAAGTAATAGTCGATGTCCCTGAAAGGTTTGGGCACAGTACTACTTGACGTGACGCGGTGTAGAATTTGCAATTGTAGCCGTATTTGCCCTATAGAGGCACCGTTGGCCTGTTGGTATGTTGACGACATGATCACATCACACCGCTCTCTGACAGTTATTTATTCTGTTGAATTATTACAGCTATTGAAAGCGGCCGCAGCACTAGTGCATTACGTTATCTTTGAAGATGTAACGAACGGAAAGGAGATCATGGGCCTACTTCCAGGTACGTGAATGGATTCAGGTACCATGGCACATGGATAGTGGATCCCGGGCTCTGCTTGTTGATCACATACACTGAGGCCCTACAGCTGCGGCATGACCTGCATGCGCTCGCACGCGCGCGTGTGTGTGTGTGCGCGTTTGGGCATGTGTGTGTTTGCGTGTGGGCGCGCGCGTGTGTGTGTGTGTGTGTGTGTGTGTGTGTGTGTGTGTGTGTGTTGGCGTATTATCATTTATGCCCCTACATGTATTCATTTGTTGGTTTACTTGTCTGTGCCGTCGTGTGCTTGTATGTGGGTGCGGATGCGAGCGCATGTGCACGCCCATGTGAGAAGAGGTGGAAATGTGAGAAGTCCGTAAATAGGGTCGCGTTCGAATTGTCTTCATCAACTGTTCAAACAAATTTTTAAAAGAGATTAGTTGAAGTGTCCCATTAGAACGGTTTCTATCATTTTTAGAGTTTTTCAGTGGAATTGTCATGGCGATGAGGACGTCTGATCAGATCGACCATCTCCACGTACTACGTGACGTAGCTATTCCAAACTCTTCGGAACTAATCCACCTCTCCCATCGGGTGAGGTTGTGGAGTTTTGAGGAGTTTCAAGGAGTTTCGTTTTTCTGAAGAGGCCAATACGGCCACCTCTTCAGAAAAAGGAAACTCCTCGAAAAGTCAAAGAGTGGCAATTCGAACGCGCCCTAAAGTATGTAGCCAAAAATTAGGGCCGAAATGGTCAGTAGAGAGAAAGGAAGGAGCTATGTTGCAGCTCCGGGTTTCAAGTTATTCACTATTATCAGGCAATCATCGGGCAGTGGTGCACCCTACTTGATTATTTACGCAAAGCCTTTATCCTCATTTTTTGACTCTCTATGTTGCAACCAAGTTTAGCCTGATAAACATGCTGCCTGAAATAAGTATTTATGTTTTGTTCATGCAAGCACCGAGTGGCATCTACTTGTGCCTGTTACGGCCTGCACTGAAGAAACAGATGACCTCTGCTATGTGCAAGTCACGCCCCAACACACATTAGTTCGTGCCCCAAAGCTAGTATTAGTACGTCGCCCGAAAATTAGTACAGGCTCGGCCACACTGAATTTGACTTATTTACGGACATTTTCGGTATTATGATGCATGCCTCCGTGCTCTTGTGGGTGTCTGTTTGGTATTCTGTATTTGTCCTTTTTGATATGCCTGTCTATCCAGGCGATCTAAATGATAAGTTGAAGCAGCTGGCGGCAAAGATAATTGTTGAGAACCTGTGAGTAATTTGGGTGTTTCTCTGCTGGTGTTTGAACTGTCATGGTGGTTGCTGAGTGCTGAGTCATAACCAGTGAATGAGATGCGCGTTTCGACATTTGGAGAGTGATTCTTACCTGCACAGTTGCCAGTCCTTGCTATGCAGGTACATGTCTAGTATTGTCCACCAGCCTAGGAAACAGAAGTTGTCGACATTAGGCACCCCGCTGCACTAAGAAATCAAATACTTGAGTTTAGCCGCAATGGGTAGCTTAGGCACCCTACAAACCAAATCCGCAAACAGAAAGAGTAAACTACTTGCATGCTCTACATCATCAAGAGCCATTGTTGTGACCTAACGTCAATCTCCAATCGGTGGCATGCGGGTTTCAGGAACAGACTTTCAGATTTCTTTGAATTGCAGGACAATTCCTGAAATCGATAAGGCTTGCAGCTTAAACCGTTGCAATTTGTGTACACGTGGTGCCTGGGTTTAAATAGTTCAAAATAGAAGGTACCTACTGTTGTTTGCTGAAAGAACCATAGAAATCTAAAAGTAACAGTGCTTCCACACTCAAGCGTGGGTTGTATGGTTAGATAGAACTGCCATGTGGTGAAAAAGCTCGTGTTCTGTTTGGTATGCACAAATGCTCTAACCTTACTGTACAGTGATGCACATGCAGCATCCGCTCGATGAACGAAATATAGGCAGCATGCAGCATGCAGCATCCGCTCGATGAACGAAATATAGGAGTTCTATTCTCAATGTTTATTTTCTTTGTGCTGTTTCACATGCAGTGAATCCTGGAAAGCGTCCGCTTCTGGACAACAAAGTGAGTTGCTGCTGCATTGACTTAGACTATAGTGTGAGAGCTAGACCAGCACTACTGGCACCACTGGCATTGTGGTATGTGTGTTCTCATTACCACCGTGCTACTGTAGTACTTCATTGTTCTGTGTGACTGTGTGGCTAGGCTTACCCAGATTGCATGGGAAGTTCCATGGCCTCTCTCCCCCCCCCCCCCCCCACATGTAGTCTACTTCAATTATAATGATCTTGAGCTTCAGTCCCTGTTCCAACTAGGGCTCTGGGCGTTGTTTTAAAATGCAGGACGGTTGTACGATTACCAGTAGATTGGAGTTTCCTTCAGCCGTACATGTTGATGTTATGATGCTGTAGTTTGAGCATACCAAGTTAACTCTACTCATGTTTTCTTGTGCTCCTGCGCTCCTGTTCTTTTCAGTTTCATTACCTCAACTCCTCGACTTTGACTGGCGAATCGATGTCAAGACATCGGCAAGCAACTTCTCTCGCTTGGCTATGCCAACTTGTTTGTTGCAACTGCAGGTAAGCAAGAGTCTTCCTGTTGACATAATAAAAAAACTGTAGAAAGAAACTTGAAAAGATTAAAGACAACAAATTCTGTTGTAATCGCCACACAACAACGAGGTCATGAAAGCTTTCCGAAAACTTTCATGACTTCGTTGTTGTGTGGTGATGACAGCAGAATTTATTCTCTTTATTGCTATTATAAAATTGTTGTCTCTGCGCCGATTATTTGAAAAGATTAAGTAGAGCAAATGCAGTATGCTCCTGGATCTTCAGATGGGATAGATCATCTGTGATCTGCTCACTATGCCATCCTGAGCGTAGGCATGTGTAAACTCGAGTAGACGGATGTCCTTTCTCCGATTTTGTGGTCTTGGCTCCTCGTAGGTGCAAGATCTTCCTTCGCACGTCGACCAGGTACCCAGTGTACGGCATGTCAACGTTGAATTTAGCCGCGAGACACTCGACACTATGCTCGACGGTCTTGGCAAGATCCGTGACCAGCTATCATCAGTTGCCTCGAAGGCATCCGGAGAATAATAAGCGTCTGCAGTCAAATTATTTTTGTCACGTGCACACATCTAGAGTATCCCTCCGTCCATTCGAATTCAGCGGAACGAACATTTACAAGTTTTATGAAAATTCAAAATTTCTAGTTGCATTCTGCATGCATAGGGAGGACAGTGTGTAAATACTAGGTAGCGTGTTGATCATGCATCTGTCATCTCCAGCATTTTTGAGTGTTGATTCTTTTCTGGGTTCCTTTACCCGCAACAGAGAGCGTGCGTATTGAAAACATTTTTAATTATTTTTCTTTTAATCAACCATATAACACACATACTTCGAAGTAGAGAGGGCCTTGTGCATGTCGCTAATTGGTTAAATCATTGCCCGCTATTTGTATTTTTTTACTCAATGTAGTGTAACTGTGATTCATGTGCTCCAACCTGATGTTAGCCCTCACTGTACGGGGCTGTTCGCTTACTGTATCATTTGAAAATGAACACGTGGTCCATGTACCTTGTACACAACGCTTGTTGTCTGGTGTCTGGTTGTAGTTGCCAGATAGCTTGCGAGGTGTGCAAAGTCTGGACATAAACGTTCTACAAGTGAGACATGGTAGGGGGTTTGATTCTTGTTGCTTGATACTTACTCACACTTGCATACAGCTCGCAGAATCACAAAACGAAAAGCCTAAACTTTGAGCAGCTTCTTTGGCTAGGTGTACTAGTAGATACTGTGCAAGACTACAGCGCGTTCAGCACATACAGTTCCAGTAGGAGAGTAAACCGGAATTGGAACACGACGTTGTTGAGCCAGAAAACCAACCGAATAGAGATGCTATCTATGTGGAGGCTGTGTTTGGACGTCACCATGTGGATGCTGTGTTTGGGCATCACTTTATGTGTTTGGGCATCACTATGTGGACACTGTGGACACCGTGCATGGAAGAGTGATATTGACTATCAGGACAACATGCTCTTTCTATCGAGACAGGTAACACACCTTTAACACAGCTCACACGGGTTCAGATGACCGTGGCAGGAGTGTACATGTACAGTTACTTACTGAACAAATACTCAGCAAAACATTCGTTTGGCGTAGATCTTTACAAGGTATGAATAGGATAGGAATAAGAAGAGTGCCTCAACTGGAGTGTTCAGATATAATAATATTATTACTATTCGCTTGTTCGTATTGAAATGTATCAGCATGATGCTGAGTCCACAGCTTTGCTTATACTGAAGGGCTTGGCTGAGGAGAGATGGCAGTGAGGCAACCATCAATCTAATAAGGTCACTGTAACATAGAGAAAAACAACCCTACATGTGCATGGTTGCACTAGAAAGGGGAGGGGGGGGGGGGAGGCGAATGTCCAGGGCCATTGTGCACATTCTACCCAACTGGTACGCAACAGGCGCAAGGAAACAAAAAATGCTTAGGGGTCGTCCGTATTTTTCGAAAAATTAAAAAATCCGTCCTCAGGCAAAAAGGGGGTGGGTGGTCAAGAATTTAATTTTTTGATTTTTCGTACTTTTTTTTTTTTTGCTCCAGTGAGTGCGTTCGATTACACACTTGAATCGATTCATGAATCCATTCGCATGCATTCAAGTCGTTCGATTTCATGTCATGAGCCCTGGAATCGATTCGGAATCCATTCACTCTATTCACATGGGGTGATGTGAATAGCGCGAATCGATTCATGAATCGATTCGTGAATCGATTCGCGTGCGTAATCGAACGCACTCAGTGACTTTCATACACTTGTTGCACTGATTATAGCTGACTGTGTACTGTATTGTAGACGTAGTGTAGGATCGATTGCATACTGGCCAACCCTCCCGTTTTTCCCGGGAAAATCCCGGAAAATCAACACTCCTCCCGGGGTCCCGGGGATTTCAAGCAAACTCCCGGAAAAACCAAAGTTTTTTTCTGATACAGGATTTTCCTGAGAACTCCATTGTTTCTCCCCGAATGTCCCGGTTTTTTGAACTTTTTTCAAAGGTATGTAGTAAAATGTACCATTGTACGGTGCTCATTCGCACTTCGAACTGTGCACAGCACTTTGAAGACCTGAGTCACCTGACCATGCAATATCTGCACCAGGGAGTAGTACAATACGTATTGTACTACTCTCTGATCTGCACTGACAAAGTGACAGGCGGTTGCCGACTGATCAAACTGCACTACATGTATACAGGGTGGATCTGTGCTGTACGCCCAGCTGCAGAGTCGAACGTTTTTTGAGCGGGAAAAGCTCTTTTTCACTTGTTTTTGTGCCATCCAGGGATTTTGAGAGAAATCCAGGGATTCTGCATGTCTTGTCAAGGGATTGAGATTGTGGTGGTTGGTCAGTATGCGATTGTCGCTAACACCAATACATGTATCTATGATATACATGACTTTTCGTGTAGTTGTAGGACGGTGCATGGCCGGGACGTCGGTAGACCTAATACTCACTGTACTTAGCTACTGTACTAGTAGTACTTGACACAGGTGCAGTCAGAAAACATGGGATCAGGAGTTCTTATTTTTCGAGCTGGGCATGCCGGCATCGGTAAAAATCAAAAAATTAATGGGAAAAAATGGGGGGTGGGTGGGTGGGTCAGAGACAATTTTGCACGAGGACGGATTTTTTAATTTTTCGAAAATTACGGATGACCCCTTAGCTACTGGTTGTACTAAAATAGGAGTGAATACTGGTGCAAGAGTCCAACAAAACCATGAACAGACTTTCCCAAAGTTATTCTTTTTGGAGAAATAGGCTTCAGAAACGGAAGAGTGTTCCATAGGGGATTCATTCAAAATTCTATAAAAAAAGTAAGTTTGACACAATCATGGCCAAATGCTAGAAGTCCATATTTTTATGAATGGGCTGTAGGAGAAGTGAACACACCAGAAAGAAATGTACAGTCAAACCTCGTTAGGACGAACACTGATAAGGCGAACTTTCCATTAGTACGAACTAAGGTCAATCCTATGGTTGGCCAGGCATCAATTCTAGTCAAAATTATTCGTTTAAGACGAACTTCTGTACAGCGAACTTTCGCGAAGACGAACTATTTTCAAGTGTGATTTGAACAAAGTCTGTGTGGTCGTATACATGTAGTACGAACTTTCGGTCCACGAGCGTGCGCGTGCGCTGGCTGCCTTTTTTCTTCTTTTTTTCAATAGTCGAGGTCATTACTTTACGTACAGTGCAAATTGTTTTCAAGCGTGTTTTGAACAAAATAATCAGTGCGTTGTACGAACTAACTTTCGACACAGTCGTGATTCATTGCACTTTGTCATTGTACTTACATGTACCTGTTTCTGGCTTATGCTAAGAATAACATGCTTCCCATGTACCATAGCATGCACCTTCACGTAAATACAATCCATCTGATATGCATATCGATTTTTGTCAGATCTGGATAAGAAGAACTCCCGATAAGACAAACAAATTTGTTCAGTCCCTTGAAGTTCGTCCTAACGAGGTTTGACTGTACTGCATTTACCCTGGAGGCAGCACCAAGTGTAGATGAGCTTGTGTCAGTGCATTACTCCTGACCAGTGCATGTGCAAGTGGCGATGGGGATGAACACGGTGATTTGAATGCAAAGCGGTCTGCACTCGCTCGAGTACATGTTCATGGCAATCCTACAGATGTGAGGTGAGACCAGCAGAGAAGCAGTTGCTAGCGTAGAGGAATGTGGGTAGGGTGAGGGACTTCACATAATTATGTGATGCAGCATGGGAAAGGCAGGCAGCTCATGTTGCGGAACTAGACTGCGATATTGCAGGCAAACACAACTTAAAACACTAATATAGGCGTGCGATTTTATTATTATTGCAAATGTACATGTGCGTTACCGCTGTTGCACAAGGGAAGGTTAGCGTCATTGATACAGATAGGTCCGTTCTTTCACAAATGCGCTATCAGCTCAGTCCATATCGGCTCCGGTTCTGGGCTACCGCTCAGACGGAGGCCTTGCAAGTCATCTGTGCTCCGGAGTCGCCGCATGGGTGTGGATGAACTCTCCCGATCACTAATGGTTGAGTGCGACAGGCAGGATGATGCTAGGTGTACCTGACCAGCCCTTCACATCAAGGGCTATGTATGACAACATCGCTATATTCATGATTGCCTGGCACATTCCGGGGTAGCCGCAAGGCATGGCCCAGCAGCTGCCACCATGCTTTAAAAAAAATGTTGACCCCAGCACTAGGTATGTGGCAAGCCAGACAGTACCCAGAGTTCCAAACCCTAGGTAATGGACTCTTGATAATACATGTCCGGAAATTGTACTGCATATGTTCAGAGCTAATCATTCTCAACTGCGAGGCCCTTCATGACGTTGACCAACATTTGTGTACACTCAGCTACAGTGTGTGATACCAGTACAAAGATGGTTGTGACGATGCAGATGTTGAGAATTGGATTACTCTCAACCAGGACAAGTAGACTACGTGTATCGTTAGCCAGCAGGACGTGATACTGCGCGATGAAAAGCTGCAGTGGAAAGAAGACGAATCAAGCAATTGTGTGTCGAATTGCGTATGCATGTAGCCGAATATCACAAATCCTTCAAAAGTAGTTGAATTGCTATCGACAAGAGCCATGTGTTGTTGTGCACTGCTTGTATACACAGTCAGGGTTGCAAGTGTTTGTCGTTTTAAAAGCAACTGCACACTTGTGATCCTGTTGTTCGCGAAGTGATTTTAGATTCAGTGATCTATGCTGCCGGGTAATTGAGTTATGTTTGGCAGTCTGTTTCCCATTACCGTTTTTTTAATCATTGCAGTAATGAATCCTGTTTCCAACTGTATACATGCTATACATCCATATCTGTCTGTCTTATCCGGGCTGCTCTTATCCGGGCTGTACAGGACCGGCGGCAATGCCCATAACGTGGTAATGAACGTAACTCTGAATCAAGTATGTTTTGATGGTCACATGCCAGAGATCTGGCATGTGACGTCACCATTTCCACAAAAGAATGACAAAAAGAGTAGTAGTTATTTCCACTAAAACTTGCCCACAGGCTTCCTGGTAGACTGAGATGCCGGTAACTTCGAGGTCCGATTAAGGGAGATAAGAGTGCAGCTGTATCGTGTGCATCTAGAGCCCACCGCCAGGCACTTGATTCCACCTTGTATTATTACAGGCCAGCTTACCTCCAGTGAGTAGACTCCCACCCAGTCAAAGAACTGGCTGTAATGCTTGCGCAGTGGCTCCGACGTGTTACGCACCAGAACAAATCCTCCCAGCTGTGGAAGTTTTGGCAAACAACACATAAACACGCATATACTGCATCTCAACTACATCTGCTCTGTACTTGGCATTCATTGCTACTATTTAAAAAATAAAATACATGAAAAATGCTCACATTGATGAACACAGTCAATCACATCACAGATATGCATTTTACTATCGATATTCAGTTGTTACTTACCATGATTGGTGATAGGTAGGTATGTAGAAGATTACACTCTGGTTTACTAGTACAGTTTGTTGCCATCATTCCACAGTACACTACCTGTACAGGAGAATAGGGGTATCATGGAGGTGAAACAATACAGCATTGAAATCAGAAAAGTATTCAAAGTACACTGTCACTGTGTGCAGCAGGGAGCATACTTCACAAACAATTTAATGTGTCATAAGATGTCATATGCCATTCCCTTAACTTTTAAAAGAATATCATTATTATAGCAATGAATAGCCACGAGATAGCAATGAATAGAAGTAATTGTGCACTCACATCACAAGACTCCATTACCGTATTATAGGCGCAATTAGAATCCCTGGGGCTCTATTTTTCCAAAAGATACATCGAGGGGGGGGGGGGGGTTATATTTGAGAGAGGACTTTATTCGAGAGGGGGCTTTATTTTTTAATAGAAACGCCAATTGTTTCACACTATTCATATTGATCACTACATGCAGTGACTACACTCGATCGTTGTACGGTAAAGTACCCGTAACTGTACTGCATGGTACGGACATTGCGCACTCCATTATAGCCCCGGGCCTTTATATGAGACGGGGCTTTATTATTCCGATTCCCTCTGACACACGGGTTCTATTCGAGAGGGGGCTCTATTCGAAGGGGGGGGGGGGGGGGGGCTTATATTCGAGCGCGTACGGTACTCATCCTCTATATTGTTATGAAGGCACAATCAGAGCTCAAAGCAGAGCTCACTGACTTGTCAGTTTGAGCACTCTGGCAAGGTTCTTTCGGGCCTGGTTTAAATCTGGCTTCGGAAAACTTATTTTTTCATTGTTATAAGGTTTGGCCTCATTTTCTCTGTGCTGCGCTGGTGGGTCCACAAAGGACTCTGTGCTGCGCTGGTGGGTCCACAAAGGACTCTGTGCTGCGCTGGTGGGTCCACAAAGGACTCTGTGCTGCGCTGGTGGGTCCACAAAGGACTCTGTGCTGCGCTGGTGGGTCCACAAAGGACGAGACAGTTCTGTCTGCATATTGAGTACAAGTACTTCAAGTAGGTACAAGAAAGTAGTACATACCAATGTCACAGCTGAAAGTATGGTCATCAAGTTGTTAATAATACTCCTTGAACATATCCACCCATTGATTTGTGGGAATCGATGTAGCATTACGGCACACAGGATACCCGATGGCACAGCTAGGATGTCTAGTCCAAAACGAAATGTCCACTCGTGTAGGGAGTTGTCATCATCCAGGAAGAGTTGGGAGAGAGGTGGGAAGGATATTATCCAGTTGAACATATCCTGTGTGCAACAGAATGATGAGCTGACAAACTCAGTACTGGTACAGACCATACTAAACGGAATATTCCGAGTCAAACATTAGCTGAAGAGACAATCTAGACTGACCTGTTTCCACTACACTCATTATTAGTAAAATAAACTAAAATTCATAATAAAGAAAAGGATCTAGAAACTACAAGTTACGCCATAATGTCCACTAACACCACCAGTTACGTGACAATCAGCTCATGCGATAACATTGCACAAAACTAACCGACAGTTCCCAACTGGATAAAAATTCGTTTAAAATTAATTTTACTTGTGAAGCATCTTTGACCAAAGCACTGGTAGATTGATGCACTGCGATGACCACCAAAGCTAGGTATATCCCATGTGGATTATGACCATATTATGTGGTAGCTGTGAGTTTTTCAATGTCCACACTAGCACTTCCTTGACAGGACACCGTATAAACTAAAGACCATCCCGTACAGGATGATGGTAAAGTGGACTGCATCCGCCAGTACTCACTGGGTGTATCCGATACAAGGCGAAGACCGAAATGAAACAGATTGCCTTGAGCACCTGTGTCCATGGCGACTTACTCTGATCCCATGCTGAGGAAATAGATGAACAGAAAAATACACTATTCATTAGTTTGAGAAAAAAAGTACTAGTACACTATGACATTACTAGCACTTATTCCATGTGAGCTGCATTGGAAGGCTCCATGCACTGAGTGAAAAGGAAGGTGCAGTGGAATATTCTAATCATTCAATCAGAGTGTTTCCGGAGGATCACTTAGTGTGTGACTCAAAGTTGAAGCGATCAAAATCATTTCCACTGCTGCGCGTGTAATCACAATTTCGTTTTCCTGATAACTTGCTCGTGTCAGGTACACAGAGTAGCATGCTAATGAATCTGCAACAAAACTCGGGGTTTCTGTAAAAAAAAGCTTTAAAAAAAGGCATTCCAGTGCTATTGATGTTCATTGGGATTTCGGGCAGAATAACCACATTTGCCATGTTTCGACCACTACCAGTCTGGATCAGTAACAAAGACCTTGCCGACACACTTTACAAGAAATCTAGAAGGATTTCTGAATATCTTATCTACACATCCAAAGAATGCAAAGAGAATACTGTATCACAACCAGGGTCCAGCGGATAATGCCGGCATTATATTCGGCATAATGGGACTATCCGAGCATCAGAGCATCGTGGAGCATTAGAAGGGAAAAAAACGAGCATTTTGTGAGATTTGAGCGGCATTTGGACTTTCATAGCGGATAATATCGGGAAAGCCCAGCTTTTTGGCAACAATCGGCTACACTCATTATGATCATGAGGTAGGTGCAACCCTCCTCGTGGTAGATCTCCCAGGTTCGTCTGGATCGTGGATCGCTTTGTGTTAGTGTTGAAACGATCTCACCGGATACTCGTTAGCTCGCTCGCCAGAAACTCGGCTCGTTTGTGCGGCCAGCTCGTTTGCACAAACGAACACCGTACACTGCACTCCGTACACATGGCAGTACATGTCGACCGGGGAGTCGTAAAATATTTTACGACTCCCTGGTCGATCAAGAGTCCAGTCTCGCGCAAAGTGAAAATCACTCGCAGTTACAGTGACTGTATGCCTGCACGACACTTGAGTTGACAATAGTCGTTGCACTTGCAGCTTTGGTGGACTCTACTGATGTCTTGTTCCGCATCTGCTGACCTGTCGCAGGATATGCTTCGGTCACCTCTCCATTCGAGTGAAAGTAAATAATTACGCTCAGTCGTTTGGAAGTTTTCTCCCGCGATGCAGCAAAGACCAGGGCTACTTGCAATCTTTGCAAAACGGTCTATTCTTACAAAGGCTACTCGACGACGGCGCTGAAAAGACATCTCGACACCAAACAGCAGTCCGAAGTGAAGCAGCAGCAACCCCAAATGCCGGCGGTGATAATTTGAACCAGCTGAAAAAATCGAACTTAGAAAAAAAATTGTTCAAAAAATCATATTTGCCACATCAATGAAACTCGTTAGCTCGCTCGATAGCTTGCTCGTTAGTGGAACTGATCGCTCGTTTGTTATAGATACGCTGGTTTCAACACTACTTTGTGTAGACACGTAACACTTTTTAGCACTTGATGTAGCAGTGACTACAGTCATGTAGATAGTCAGGTCAATGACCATGTACAGTCATGTATAGTCAGGTCAATGACCATGTACAGTCAACTTCGCTAATAACGACTGCGGATATAACGACAATTCGCGAATAACGACAGCATTTCCCTGCCCAGAGCAAAGTCCCTTCCAACTGTAATACATATAATGAGACTTCGGGCATAACGACACTTCGCGAATAAGGACACTTTTTTGATGCCCCGCCGAGTGTCGTTATACGCGAAGTTGACTGTACGTGCGTCCAACCAAAGCTGCTGCAAAAATTCGCAACAAGGATTTGCGAGGGGGAAACTGTTTTGTCGAAAACATAGAGAGTCATGGAGGCGAAGCGAATATCAAAAAGCTGAAGAGAAGTTTTTTGTTGTGATTCAGGCTCTGAAGATAGCGTTACTAGGCTAGTAGCGATAGTGAAGTAGATGCCGATCCTTTGATACATCATTTGGAACAGGCTGAAAGAGCAGCTACAAGCAGAAAGGGGTGCATGTTGTTCCGACGAACTGCCTTTGGGGAATCCAGCCGAACTGGCTCGAAAAGAACTAGAATTACTCATGGATTCAGCACCAAGTCGTTATGAGCACTCTGCAGCAGTGCGTGTCTGAGTTTCCTGATGAAACACGTACAGTTAGATGTGGACAGCTGTACTCCCGAGACAGCAGTGACCGAGTCAAGTGCTATCAACAAAGAAGAGTATTATAGTCAATGTTGCCACCCAGTTGTCTATGCAAACACCACAAGGAGAAGAAGACTATAAAGTAAAGGAGTAGAGCAGCAAAATAATCTGGCCACATTTGTTTCACGCTCACCACAAATGGAAGGAATCTGGATCCAAGATCAGCCTACTATCTGCTGTTTCAGATGAAAGGATTATTCACAGAACCAATGCAGTGACAGCTTGTCTGCAAGCAGGACTACCAGTTGCCATGATAAACCTCATCCCAATGATCCCTTACATAGTTTACACCTGCCTGTCCCTGGATACTGAATGCCGGGATAGTATATGATATACACTATTCAGCCGCATAGCCTTGCGTCAAAGCTGCAATGGAGAACAGCCACTGGCGAATCGGTTATGTCTTATAGTACTACAAGGTGGTAGAGCTTGTGGAAAATATTGCGCCGGATTCAGCCGCAAATTGAATATGTGCAGCCTTTCCTCCTTTCTGACCCAAACCAAGAGCATTATAGCCCTTGTTGAAGCATTATAATCAGCATTATGAGGTAGTTTTTGGAGCATTATGATTAGCATTATACGAACATTTTCGGAGCATTATCCGCTGGACCCTAATCACAACCATGACATTTTCTCTGAAACTGTCCCCAACATACTAAACTTCTGTTCATTGAATACTGTACTCACCAACTGGAGGTATGGCAGCAACCAGTAGTACTAGTAAGTAACATGCTGAGATCAGTGGTACAAAATAGTAGTGAAGATACGGTACATCCATCGTCAAGCATAGTAGAACGGTGTAGAGATTTAGACGGAACAGGACCTCAGCTACACGAGACCAACTGCTTGCTCCACGCTTCAAACCATACGTGTAATGTCCAAAGGCACTTAGGAAGATGTACATTGCTACAATCAGTCGAACTACATAGTACAGACCAAGGACCTGTGCAAAAGAGAACACACACAGCATCAAAAACACCTTGATTTTGTTTAACCTTTCCCAGCCAATAGACATGTACACGGCCTCTGTCAATAGGACCTCTCTATTGCAGACACATTAGTGGTGAGCAGACCGTGACCTGTGTCCAGTATAGGAAGATGTCCGGTCAGGCATTGACTTTTCACTGGATCCGGAACACTCAGAACTAAGCAAGGTGTCCGGAATGTGGATTTGTCCTTTGTTGGAAAGGCTTGCACTCTAAGGGAGGTTTAAGCAGCCCTACCCACTCTACGCCTGGTCTATGGTCATGCATCTCAGCGGCCCGCCGGAACCGGTCCGGTTGGTCTCGTTATTACCAGACAAACCTTTTGGCCATCAATAGACTTGCCAACCATACCGGTTTTCCCGGTATACTACCGGAAAACTAGGGTAGCTCCTGGCATGCCGGGGATTTTGTCATTGATCGAAAAAACTACCGGATTTGGCACTGCACCATATGGCCATGAGCGTTAAAAAAAAAAGGTTTGCTATGTTGTGACTCAGAGTTTCACGGTAAAGTCACGATCGTCAGGCAGCAGTCAGGAGTCAGTACCGGCTAACCTGTATTTAAAAGTTTTTAACTGTCTGATGGTCCCGAACCGTTATTAATCTTTATAGACATAATTATGGTCTTTAACCCTTAGGTGCCGGTAGGTCGATTTCGACCTATGCTGACAGTGCATACTAAAATCGAGCACAGAGTCAGTGTCGTACATCGCAGGTGCCTGATTTTTTGTACAGAGACCCTTCAGTAGCTGGCCTGTAGATAGCAATAGAGAAAGTAGGGGGGTTGCATTTGAAAAAGTCGAGTCGTGATCAACGACGATCGCGCATATCAGCGGAAGTCAATCGAGCGTGGCAGCCTACGCACGCGTCCCGCAACATGAACAAAACGTTGCTGTTTCGCTTCGTTTTCGACTAGTACAGTTCATGGCTACTACAGCTGACCTCCGTCATGGATGCTGCAGGAGCGCTTGAGTTGTTTGAAGAGCTGGAGGCCAATGATGCCCCTGTAGAAGAAGAATCAGAAGACGACGATGGTGAAAAATCTGACGCTCTTTTCTCTGACGGAAACCTGCCGTCATCAGATGAGGAAGACCGACTCAACGATGATTTGGTTTTCGGTGAATTTCTTGAGAACGGCAGCTCTTCAGATGAGGACAAAAATTCCCACGATGAGCTTCAAGAAGCTGTAGGGCGAGGGCAAGCGCAGCCAGTTCGTGGACGTGCTCCGCTCGCGTTGCGCGGAGGAATTGCTCGCGGCGCTGGTCGAGCTCAGCCAGCTGATGGAACAGCTGATCGTGGCGTGCATGGCGCGTGTGGCGGAGGCCGTGGCGGAGGCCGTGGACGAGGTAGTGGATTCGGCGTGCTGAGTGGTGTTGTTGGCGACCAAGATGTTCTTGGACCAGCGCAGTACCCTGACCTATTGTAAATTTTTCTGACTTGAAAATTCAAAAATCGGATTTTGCTGTGTCTTGCCATTCAGAATACATACTTTTGTCGCTACATCATCTAAACGGTTGCGGAGATATAGGCTTTCCAAAAAATTGAGCCAAAACTACGAAAAATCTAAAATTCAGTCAGGCACCAAAGGGTTAAAAGCAGGATCACCTGTGTGTAGAAGCATAGTTTGAAGGTCCCTGAGACTACTGGTCTCTCTAAGAATTTGTGCTCTACTAGAACAAAAGTACTAAGCAGAAGAGCACGGTGGAAACTGTTTGGTCATATTCTACGCCTCCCTGAAGCAACTCCAGCGCAGGTGAGCATGACAGCGTATTTCCAGCGACAGAATCGGGGCTGGCTCGGACGCCCGCGCATCACCCTACCAGTGGTGATAGACAACGAATTAGCTAAGGCAACGTCCATGCGTCTCCGGAGTCTGAAGGACCTGGAGACACTGCGTTTGGTGGCTCGGAACAGGCAATCATTCAACGATATAATCGCACAGGTCACATTGTAGAGTGCAGATCACCTAGTGCTTTCAACAATAATAACGTACTTCCACATTATGGGAATTTGGTATAACCCCACACCCGTCATTGTTGAATATTCGATAATAGCGTGGATTTCCCCAACAATAATTATATTTTCATTTTTTGTTATCCTCTCCCATGCCGTTGTACATAAGCGGCTTGCCGCGGATATGTCAATACTACTACTACTACTACTAGAACAAAGTTCAATTAGTTAAGCGGTTAAACACTTAGGTACTTACCTTGCTAGCACCTGTGTAATGATACACCAGCAATACTAGCTGCATCCATCCTCGTGTTTCACAGGTTTGCTGACGGTTTAGAACAGAAGCATCTTTGACTGGTTGATACGTCACAAAACCAAGAATTCCTAAAATTGTCAATGGAACAGTGAATGATGTCCAGTTGAAATGTTTCTCCTCTTTCGTGAATACCGGTGTCCTGTCAGCTAAGTAGGTGTACAGAAGCACTATTCCAAGCAATGTGATGCACTGGCAGGTCATCACAACAGGTGATATGGTACTCCGCTGTAGACCTGTAATACACACATGCACAAAAGAGAATGAACATGCCTTCGCCCTTTCTCAGAGCATACATGATTCATAGCGAAAAGCACAGATTAAGGTCCCCACAATATACTTCAGTACTAAGTTATGCCAATTCAGCAGAAGATACCATACAATACATACATGTGTTGGACCCTGTATACAGCCAATCCCCTATACCTGGTCCAAGCCCCTGTATCTAGTCATATCACCTCCATAACACATGTCTAGTGGTTGCTGAAACATGGTGTACCTGTGTTGCCTGTATCACGGATAGAAGTTTGGCTCAGTGATCGGAAGAGAGAATGCGACCAGCTGTGCCTGCACCAGACTCCCCAGAACGTTATGACGGCACTGGAATAGATCCATACAAAACCAACATTGCAACCGTAAAACATTGCAAGGGAAATGCGCACAGAACAACTAACAGTTACCGCCAGCAACACGGGAAGTGAACTGACCGTTGCTGCAAAGGCATGAGTTCAGTGCATGTGGATCAATAGCGAAACAAAGGGAAGAAATTCATTCCCCCCAGTCACCTTGGTGCATTCATTTGTTCAATGCCGGAGTATTAAAGTGTACACACAACATTATCATCGCCAATGACTATGTATAGGCGAAAGGAATTCGGGTGGACACACCCATTCCCATAGCGCCGCACATCTGAACCAGTTTCGTTATTTTACAACGTTTCGGCACTTGGCCATCGTCAGGTAAGAAGAACATTCACTATGGGAATGGGTGTATCCCAGGCGCGTACGCAGGGTCACCTCTAGGGGGGTTTCCAACCGAATCACAAACAATGACTCGTTTTAACCCTTTCTAAAGAGCCCTAGGAAATTTTCAAAATTATGCATTTTTTCGTGTTCTTTGGAACATAACCTCAGTTCTACTCACTCAATCTTCATTATCTTAGGCTTCTTGGAAGTGGAAAGGTACCAGGGAGAGAATGAGGTCGAACATGATAGCCAGGACACAGTATAGCCATGTACACATCCAGCGCTATATGCTATAGCAGTAGAGTGCAGCGACGGTGCGAAAAAATGCCCTAAACTGGGCCAAAGGCCCAAACGCGTCCTGCTCCAGCGATTTCCTTTTTCTTGATCGCAAAGTTTTCGACTTGTTTGCTGTGTTCTCTTGAAAATATCACAAGTGAAGCCCCTGCAAATTTGAGCAAGGCAGCGTGACAAAAGTCTCAAATAATTCTCGATACTCGAGTTGCACTGCTCGCTTTTGAAATTGCGAGATCGCGGCTCAACTTACAAACGATTTATCTCAAGAGACATTGCTCACAGCGCGTCGCAAATTGTTTCAACCGACAGCTGAGAGTTTTCTTTTGGACCTGGATATTTGGATCGTTGGATTTGAGCCAGATTTGACTGAGTTACGATCTTTTGAAGTTTTGCATTCTTGCCAGATCGATCGTGCGCCCTACCAAAATATGCCCAAAAGCGTTGCTCGTTTGGAACATTTGGGGGGTTTCCGGGCAACGGGAAACCCCCCTGCGTACGCGCCTGTATCCACCTGAATTCCTTTCACAGATGAAGCTGCAGGAAGCCTCAGCCCTCCTTCAAACAATGTATAGGCATTGGACATACCTGGTATGTGTTACCGGACACATTTAAATGTATCAAAGCCGTCACAGGCGGGGGCTGGGGCGGCTGAGGCCGCCCCACTTTTTCGGCCGTTTTTTGGAGCACACTGCTTGTAAGCGCGAAGATCGCAGCTAGCTCAGCAAAAATGTGGCAAATAATGAAGAATCCTTGTCCCCGATCGTGGTTTATTGCAGAATCAAAAAAGTCTTTCATTGCACTAGTTACACTGAAATGGCACCAAATGCCTGAAAATGCTTGCAATTGGCTTCAATTTTTGAAATTTTTCCCGAGGGAGGATAATAAAGAATCCTTGTCCCCGATCGTAGCATCTTCTTGGATTGTTGCAGAATCAAAAAGTCTTTCATTGTAGTTACACTGAAATGGCACCAAAATACCCGGAAATGCTTGCAATTGGCTTCAATTTTTGAAATTTTCCCCGCGGGAGGGCCCCCGGATCCCCCTTCCATGGCCGCCCCTCCTCCAAAGTCAATGCGACAGGCCTGTGTATTACTTCATTTTCACGTGACTAGTATATCTCGTATCCATGGTAACTAACCTGCATACAAATATAATCAGTAGCACAACCTGTGGAGCAGTGATTGAGTGAAGTAACCCTTGGCAACAGGTCTTTCTGTCAGTTACCGGTAGCCGTGAGTTACAGTGGACGTTCAGGATGCCTTGGGCAGTCTGCACATGAAGTACCAAATGGTTTACAGCCAAACACACTTCATTACAGGTGCTAGTGTTTGAATATGTGTGTTGGGGGGGGGGGGGGGGGGGAGGCAAGGGGAGGGTATTTATCTAACAAGCCTAAGCCAAGGGGCAATGTATATGTACGTGCTTCTGAAAATCTTCAATGAAGGCATACAAGGATCTCTTTCAGCATTGGTAAAGTGTAATATCAGCTACATCACCATAAAGAACTACATGTAATCACTCAAGAAGCAGTATTGCGTGTAACTGACTCTGCAGCCATTCACGCACTACACACAAGCAAAGGCAACTTTGCACAACAATAACAACAGTACCAAGAAAAATGAATGTAACTGGGCAAGCAAACATCACTGACTTTGTAATTAGCATCTTGAGTGTAATGCACGCCGTCTCTGATCAATGGAACATCACTAGGACTGAACATAAACATGCCGGGAGTTCTGAAGCGCTGCCTGAACAGAGCAAACATAGACATAGTCACGCCGTGCGTCTCATTCCTAAGCCTTCATGCTTAGCATCTACAAGTAAGTGGTATGAATCTTGCATATGCCGGCTGCTCGAGAAAGTGAAGATATTCCCCATTCTCAGAGTCAAAGATTAGCTTCGGGACCGTTCGTAAAGCACAATAGTCCCCACAAAGACACTGATGCTCAGTACACAGAGCACCAAACTATGCATAGTCTGCAACCTGATCCCGGCTAGTCAGAGAATGTTATGCACTGTGACAGAGCTGGTCCCCACAGCAAGGTGAGAAACGATTTCCGTTGCACATCTCAGTCCACTGTGTATCCTTGATTCGCTGGGGCAGAGATTCTCACATTGATGCCAAGTTTCACGCCATACAATACTGAGGACACCCAATTTTGGTTTCAGACCGACTGGTTTGCTATACTCCTACTTGTGTCAGCTCCTGGGCATGTACTCACCAGATACTATCAACAGCATCGTTGTAGATTCGAATACGTTGGTTGGTGAAGTTGCTCCTTCTTATTGTCCGCACTCTTTCATTGATATATGCTACCGTGACACCATTGGCAAATTGAAAAGAAAGGAGAAGAAAAATAATATCTTATTTGGTAAATTTTGAAGGGATTGGGAGAACTTCAAATTCAAAGCCTGGATCAGCCGGGGAAATGAACTGCCTGAAACGAGAAAAAATGCCAGACCCACCAGGATTGGAACACAGGACCTTGCTTGTCATGAGCAATGCTCCAACCATCTGAGCTATGGGATCAGGCTGAACCAAGAAGACGCCCACAAGTTTTTCACTCCAAAGGCAGCTCACAACACGTGCCACACATACTGATGGCACTTTGGAAAACCTTTGGAGTGAAAAACGTGTCGGCGCCTTTTAGCCTGGTCCTATAGCTCAGTGGTTAGAGCATTGCTCATGACAAGCAAGGTCCTAGGTCTGACTGATCCTTTGAATTATTTGGTAAATTTATTCAATTTCAGCCCATATTCACCCCCCCCCCCTCATTACCTGCACCCCATTACACCATTTTTCCACAGTGTTTCTTTGAAGACCGGGATTATAACTTGTCGTGTACACGTGGTGGTTGAGTCCGGATAGTATGGGTTCCGAAGTTCAAATCTATTCTATCAAACTTAGTCCATCAAAATATACCATTATGATAATACAGCTAGTGAAGACTGTCTAAGACGTCCGCTCAAGGGACCTTCAAAACATGGTCTCTGTCACCAGGTGGTCTCCTTATCCAGGGTCAATTGACTGGAAATAGCATCCCTTGGTCCTGGTTTCAGTGGTCTTTTAGGACAGGTGGTCGCCGTATCCAAGTAGTCGCCTGCACAGGTTTTACTGTACTGATGGACTAAAAAAAGGGAAACACACGGTCTGAGGGCAAAACGGGTATAGTGCACAGGTTACTAGCTAGCAGGTACGGACGGTAGAGTATAGGGTACGATGGTGTTTCATGGACAGACAGCAATCAAACAAGTGTACTTGGAGATCAGTGAGCGCGAGAAAAGTGTGCCGGTGGGACCAATACGATCCAGACAATGCATCAATTGCCATAGACCGGCACACCAGAACAGAAGCAACACAGCAGTACTCTCTATTTCACTGAACATTCCACTATAGGCGACTAACCTTGCTGTACCCACACCAAGTTGGTATCTGATTCGCGCACAATGGATGACAGCAGGCGAAGCACAGATTCCGTGTCGGCTGCAACGACAAAGTGTCACAGTGAGTTTCCTGATGGGAGTGTCAACCACTGTCGTTACTTCTTAGGTAAGATAGGGGTGGCGGGCAATGTTTCTATAGTTGTATGTGGACAGTGAGAAATCACTGAGAATCAATCTAGCCAATATCGATAAGGACCGTGGACATAAGAAATTAAGAATGTGAATGTGCCCAGATTGTGACTATGTTTTTCAAGCCACTGCCATCCCCAGTCTTGGAAACACTACCCTGTGTGAAGGCATCAGCTCCTTTTATTCTCCACATGCGAAGGGGAAACTGTTGTTCAGGAGAGGGATATTTCTGAAGATTCTTAGACTCCACTGTAACCATCCACTACATCCATGCATCCTCGCAACAGTCTCAGTTAATGGTCTTTAAAGATGGGCCTTGCTCGAAAATTGGGATGTTTATTTAATTTCTTGATTGACCGGTGTAGGCTAGAGACCATCAGCTGAGAGTGTAGACTGTAGGTGTATGGCTACAGGAGAGGGACAGATAGATTAATACGGAGATTTATCAAGCTCTAATCCGGTACAGCAGAGGAAATATTCTCCCGACTGGGTATGACAACGCGACATCCAGTTTCAAAATGCTTTGTTCCCGAGTACGCATCCAAGCCGATACACAGGAACGATGGGTAAGCCACTCAGAGTGTGCCTGCTTGGCATACCTTGGTACTGGTCTAGTCCCTCCAGTGATGGGTCCCTTCGGATCGTCCACTACAGGTGACAACGTAAACAGAAAACGAGCATCCTGTGCTCAGTGGTCTCCAGATAGTACAAACACGTGGTGTTGCAAATATAGGTCAAGTAATTTGTACGCAGATTACTACTATACTACAAGAACGGCACACAAAATGGTTTCTGGCAACATGATAATTCAAGCATGTTGTGTTGTTAGTTCTTTCAAGTGAGGTTCTGGCAAACTCACCAATGCTGCCCCGGCCACAATCAAGTCCACGCTGTCCAATGGATTCTGCATGCCGGGTCACAGAAAATAGGAGCATATCACTACACGGCAGATTCTGCGCTGGTGATAGTGTACAAACACAGCACGATCACCGCCTGTATCGCAATACACCTACCACGAGATACTGACTGCATCTCATACCGTGTGACCTTTCCTCTGGGTGTGCGTTGGGGTTTGTCATCCGAGACCTGCCTCTGCGCCCAACTACTTACTTTGAAGTACTCCGACCAGCATACTGAAGAAGAACATGGAGTGTTGTGGTCGAATTGCACAACACAAAACTACACCACGCCACGCGATGCCACACCGGCCATCCTACTTTGAAGTATATCAATAACTACGCCAGTGACTACACTACGCTGCAGTAGTTAGTGCAGTGTCGCTTGTCACTGTGGCCGCACTGATGTACTGCGCATTGCATCAGTGAAAACCCCAGTGTTTAACCACCTGGAGTAGCCATGGGATTAAATTTCATGGAGCACAACAGCATGTCTCATCATGTTCCTAGCCTGAACTGACCAGACACAGGTCCTAGACTCACCGATTGCAAGTACCTTAACAAGCTCATCCAATAATCGCCAACAAATGGGGCCCAAATAAAGTCCTGGCAGTGCACCGTGGTTGCCAGGGTGCGCAACAACACATCAACCAACAGCACACAGCACACAGCACACAGCACACAGCACACAAAACACAAAAAATACATCCATTAACAGCACAAACAGCTCAACACACAGTACACATCACGCATCACACTGAACACGACATCATCCATTTCTTGAAATGAGAACAATGCTAGAAATACAGTACAGTGGCAAAGCTTCAACCCTGCACTCTGTTTCACCAAGGGTGAGAAGTGACTCGATTGAAAATTATGCGCACTGAATGATCAGTTAGAATGGACTCGGATGGAGAGCCAATGATTAATTTATTATAAAGAAAAGGGCCAAGGAAGTAGAAGTTACGCTATAATGTCCACTAACACCACCAGTTACTTGACAATCATAAAGTGTAGTTCCTCAGTGGTCCTTTTCTTTATAAACTGATCAGTTAACAATACATATATTACATATGATGGCTACAGTGAGGTCGTCGCTTGGTGGAATGACTTGTGCTGTGCAATAAAGGTAACAGTTAGTGAATGCGAACACCAAAGTAGTGTAGCTCACCACTTGTATCCCGGCATCCTTGAAAATCCTTGTCCTGTTGGTGTGCTGTACAATAAGTATCAGATGACAATATCAAGGTCATTTTTACAGTGTGCTTTCCACCATTAGATATTGTACAAGCTAGAGAGGCCTGTTGCAGTTTATAGCTGGTTCTGACGGAGTAGAAGCTGCAAAACAGACGAAACTATTTCTACTTCAAGTATACAATCATGTAGAAGAGTGTGTTTGTACGTTGTGCATCGCAGCTTGAATAGTAGTCTCACTGTGATCATTAAGAGGTGCCTGGCTAGCCCGGATTATAGCCCTGCCCTGGTATAATAAGGCTTGACGGTAGCAGTACATGATGAAGGTTTGTAATGGCAAGTACTAGGACCAGACTCATCCTCTCCTCCTAACCCCCCCCCCCCCCCCCTTATGCGGACCCTCACTCTACCCAACTATGGGCCACACAGACCTCCCCTCCCCCCCCTCCAATAACATGCCAAAATAAATACGTGTAGCATCAAGAGTGCATAAACAAGAGTATGCAACTGTGGTTATGGGTCAGTGCGCGGCGCGCTGCCTTCATTACGTAACTTGCCTTCTTCACGCTCTGAAAGCATGCATTCAAACTCTCAATTTCTCGCACGAGCCCATCCGTTTTTGCTCGATTCGTTCCAGTACCTACACAATCTCTGAATTCTGGCGCGTGAACTCCAGTTCCGTACGAAAGTTCATTTCAAACTGGAGGGAAAGTGCGGTGTTTGATTTTCCGCAGTGCGCGGACTGCAGCTGAATGATGTAATGAAGGCAGCGCGCCGCGCATCTGGCCCATAGAAAAGAGATCACAGTTGCATACTCTTGTTTATGGACTCTTGGTAGCATGTATCTTCTAGCGATAAAATAATGACGGCTTAAATGATTGGCACATATGGATGCACGCATAGCTTTACAACAACCCCGACAAGAAGGCACTACAGGCTCCAATACACGTATAACTCAGGACTCACACTTGGGTTTGTTGCGGGTGTATCAGCTCGCTTCCCAACCTGTTGCTTTGGCGGCAGCCTGAAGTAGCCAAATATAAACTTACTCGCCAGTGCCCGGATCCGCGAATCACCGATAAAGAGAAGTTTAGAATTGCGGAAACAAGTCCTAGCTGTTCTGGAAGCGGACACGGGCAGAAAAAGACATGGGAAAGAATGACGGAGATTGGTACAAAGACAATGAAAGCAGAGCATAGGACAGCTACCCATACACATTCGTATTCTGCTATATGGCAGGAAATCCATGCGGTGAAAAAGAGCACTATCAACTAGGTGTATCTATGACCTCAGTGCGTACTATGTGAGTTCCACTGTAATCGTCCTACCCCTGGTTCTGAATGCCAAGATAACATACTGGCTGTCAAAATGCCTGGGTGTGCAGTCCAACTGGTCATGGCGTCCTTCTGTCCTGCTGCGAACTGTGTACCCATCAAGAATTTTGTCGCACTTGCTCTTGTCTGCATACAGGGAATGAAGGAAACACACGCGTAATATACCGGTGTAAACATAATCATCCCCATGTATAGGACCAATGATAGCGGCTTTGTCAGTCCACCACATTGTAGGCAGTGTGAGATGTTTCCCCCGACATGTTCCAGGTGCACAGTTGCCCTACAAACTTCACTCACTCATGTGACAAACACACACACATCTGCACTGACAGTAATACATGCAGTCTCAACCAGGCATGGTTGACATGGTAACTACACCGACTAGGCACATCCACAGTCATGAATTGGTTATATTATCCGAACACATTGACACCAATTTCTGCCTCGATATGTGAACACTTCCGATAACTGAACTCATCTGTTCAGTCCATACTCTTAAACTGACTAATGACGTAACTTGCAAGAATGCAAAGGTTAGAGATTTGCTCTTTGCGACCCCAGAAAAAAGACTCGCTTCACTCAAAACACACGCATACACATGATATACGCATGCACACAAGTAAACATGCACACACATACACACACACGCACACACGCACATACACACACACGTGCAAACACACATGCATTATGTACACGCCACACATACACACACGCACATACACACACGCACATGCGTGCACGCAAATACCGTCACATATATTCTCACAGCCTCGGTACAGGGGCGAATGCTTACCCCTGATCATGCTCTGCCACTGATGTCGCTGTGTGATGAGGTAAGCCATCACATAGACCATGGCCAGTGTTTTCATTAGCTGAAGGAACCTGGCTGGGTGCAGCGGGAACCTTTCACGACTGGGAACTGAAGAAACCATTTGCTTCACTGGACTAGCGCTCGGAGTGCTTAGCAGGGCTGGGAGGCCATGTTTGGCAGCTGTGTCACCATCCATCATTGCCATTGGCCTAGCCTAGACAATCCCACCACAAAGTTGACAGCTAACAACACCTCGTTTCCGTTATGATGGCTGTGCGGCCACAAACAGAGTAGGCGTAACAGGGTGAATAGAAGGGCACTGTAAATGAAACGATGGATGAGATCAAACGAGCTAGTGGCAGTAAAATGAACGAAATGATAATAATAATTATTATTATGCGGGCAACAGTATCAAATGAGACGACTTGATACTGTTGTTCGCATACATCGCACAAGCAGGAGATACCGATACTGCAGCTGTGGCCTAGTCGTCCTGCATAGTAGGCAGGTTTCATGGTTTCACGGCTTTGTGAATAAATCAGTTACCTGTTCACAAGTAGTAGGCATGCAGGTAGTCGTCAAGTATTACTATTAGTTCTTTGACGACTCCCCGGGCCGCTAGCATGGTTAGCAGGTAAGGAAGAAAGTAAAGTATTAGCTCACACATCCGCGTTACCACCTCTAGTACACAGCCTGCTTAGGAAGTCACTTATTACTAGTTTCGCTTGTGCCAAGCCACAACCATGTGCTAAGGCCGACAGTGATAATCTCTATGAGTGCTGGAAGATGCGGCGCTTAGCGGCGAGAGTGAGATGGTAGATCTACCGTACCGGTAAGTCTCACAATCAAGTGCCTGACCAGGTAATGCCTAATGGTTCAGGGGCAGTACTAGCCAGTTGCATCCATGTTGCCCTCACTCTGACTGAGTCTGAGTAGTGAGGTGGACAGGAAAAGAGAGTGTTTGACACATGCATCACCGCATTTGTTAGCAGCACAGACAGTTGCTGGGCACACTCCTGCATGCTGCCATCGCGGGTCTCAAACTCGGGACCTCGATCAGTCAAGGACTCCCATAATTCGCAGGAAAGGCCACAGCCGGTCAAATGCCTGAAATGGCAAGTAGGACTCATGGATCGCTGGATGAGTGGTTGATTTGAATCATAGTATTCTAAGTTTTTGTTTCTTTTCCAAGAACAAAATGTGTTATAACGAATCCGCACCATCGCCCTGCATGCATTCCCTTGATACACTTCGACCCACTGGATGGCAACAACGAGTTACGTACTCTGAAACGAGCTTCTACCATTGGTCACTTTGTAGCCAACTGGACAATGGTGACGACGAACATTTCTCATCACTGCTGATATGTACCATCACTTCTTCAGGCTTTGCAGACATCACAGCTTCATTTATATTGTTACTTTTTTATTCCACGATGGCGTGACGCCAATAACTGGCAATAAGGAAGATTGATAAGTGTTCTGATAATGAGAAGAAGGACACACTTTAGGCTCTTGAACACCTTGAAGGTTTTAACTGCACTAGCATACTTTCATGCCGTTATCATCAGGAGAAATACTGGCAAAATTAAATGAACTTGGACAATGGATTAAATGTAAAAAGGAAAGGGACCTAATTTGTATTTTGTATTGTATTGTAAAGGCGACGAGGAGACAATAACTTTAATAATGCGATTAATAGTATAAGTGAAGCGGACATTACAAAGCTCACACCGTCAGAACACTCTCACATCTTTTCTTCTAATTTCTTTCGTCTTCTCTCCCACTTTAGTTTTTTTTCACACCTCACCTTGTATACTTCCCACTATCCGATAACCTATAAGTAGTTTGTTTCTCCGTATAGCCTCTATTGTGAGACGATTTTCCCTGATGATAGTCTCAAGAAAATCGATTAGGAACAACCATTTTAGATACATGTATTCTCATTCATCATTTTGTAATGTCCGCTTCACTTATACTATTAATCGCATTAGTATTGTATTGTAGTTTATTATTTTACTTGGGCATTCCCAACAGACCCTAAGGTCTTCTTACAGGGTGCCCAAGATGAATGAAATTGTTAAGTTCCTGGCGAAATGAATTGGGGATATGATTTGTGCGAAGGGATTCGGGAAGCGCATTAAAGCGGTCAGCACCAAGGAATGAAATACTGTAGATCTGTATCCAGCTTGAGCTTGCACAATGGGTAAGGAAAAGGAATAATTGACTTGGCCGCGGGTTACTCTGTCTGTGTGAGCGCAGTCACGGCGAAGGGAGAACATGTCAGAGAGGAGTGAACTGCAGATATTGTGGATGCAACGGAACACGAAGAATATGGACTTAGTATGATATCTTTTGTCTAAGCTAATTATGTGGTATCGCTCAAGCAAGTATGATGTCCGCGTGAATGTGTCATGCTCAAATATGCATCTAAGTGCTCTCTTACTTATGCGCAGCAGCTGATCTCTCACATTGTCAGCGAGGCAGTGGACGTAGGCAGTGCTGGCGTACTCGAGCTTGCTCTGGACTACTGACAAGTAGAACTGCCTTCTGGCCTGGACAGCAAGGTTCCTCCTTCCACGTCGAAAAGCACCTAGTTTCTTTCCGATGTCTTCCCTGAGGGAGTTAACGTGGGCACTGAAACTTAAAGTTGAATCGAGAGTCAGTCCTAGATACTTAACTTCGTCAGACGGGGCAATTATGGATACAAGTTACAGTGTACTTGCAAGAGTAACTGTCCACCACTGTAACTAGACTATAATACAGTCAGAAAGTGCAACAACACGGCATGCACAACACTGACAAAGTACTGAGACATTCGACGACCTGACACCTACATAATAGCACCAACACATCTCCGAAGCGCTAACCAACTGCTACATTTATTATGACCAATACACTTGGACAGAAAGGTTCAAGTGTGAGTACGAGTAGACAAGTGTGAGTAGACAAGTGTGAGTAGACAATTGAAACATTCAGCGTGAAGTGTGGTGCGATTGATAAGTGCGATAAAGTGATACTAGGCGAAATAGCTAAATGGAAACTAACACGGGGAGGCAATGACCAGGCAGTGGATCATGAAAAACAAGCGGGGTCAATACTACAGCAGGGGTGATCGAGATAGCTTTAAAAATACACGTTAGAGAGTCTGATATATCAGAAACCAGGAACAGGTACTGCTAAAAAGAGGACTGGATGTATTGTTTGGGAAAGAAATTCTACGAGGTTGGGTTGTGATGTCAATAGGGAGTAAGTTGTAAAGGGTGAGCGTGCTGTTGATGGGGGGATCTGAGTGCATGTTTGTGTGTGCGAGTCCGATGGTGTAGGTCCTTGTCTCTTTTTATTTTCGGTATGAGGGCAACAGGCCAGGTTAGGTGAACAGAAATTTTCGGTACAGAGAAGCAGTTACCTATTGGATTATGTGTTAGTGTTGGTTCGGTGTATTGAAATTTTTGCAGGGTTACTGGCGACGGGAAAGTGCTGCCATTTGGCGGAAGGTGCGTCGCAACGCGCCTATCTTGCGTGACACCTTGCTGGTGAGATGGTCTAAATGTGGAACAAAGGAACAAATGAGAGCTTGTTATCGATAAGGATACCAAGGCAGCGAGTTACACTCACTTCCCGGTAGTGCCACCCAGCTCAACAAGAACTGATCTTTGTAGTTGCTGGCTTAGGCACCATTTGCACCTGATCCGAGAAAAGGTTTGACTGATCTCGCTGCAAGGTCTGGTTCGTGGCGTGTAGATCTACCTCGGCTACCATGCCGAGTAGGGCACTCTGAAGTTCTGCAAACTGATAGGATGAGGGATCCTTTCTCGCCTGAGGGGACGACGACCCACTGGATGGCAACGACGCACTCTCCAACGGCCTACTATGACTACTACTCACCTTGTCGAGCCCACTAGTGGATAATGGCGATGACGAACATTCCTGGTCAGTGGCTGGTTGTTCGGTTGGAGTCCGCGTCACTCGGCCACACACGCTAGCCTTCTCCTCTGTTGATGCTCCCTCATCACCAACAACAACCTTGTGGGAAAACTGTGCCCGGACCCTTCCGCGGCCGCGTCCTTTTGGCCGAAGACAACGACGACCCTGTTCCGCCGACTCGGATTCTCTACAGGACATAATAATTATGTTTCGCTGGATGATGGTTGCGACAATGTCCTAGTGTGCTGTTTCACATTGATAGTTATATGGCTACCGTGATATTTATTTATAATTATAATGGTGAAGTCACACAACCATGGATGGATGCTGTCTTTGACGAGTACGGTAGATCTACGAGATAATTATGTAACGTACGAGATCCGTACGGGATATCGCCAAATGCTGCCACTCAAGCCTCTTTTACGGGCAAAATAAAACTCATAATACTTATATGAGTCATGCTCAACTGAGGAAAACGTCATGAATGTGGAGAATTGTTGACTATCACAATCATGAAGGTGCCAAACAACATGTCCAAGGAAATTGCTAACCAGGCAAGCAGCACTACGATACCACCAGCGATGCGGAGTCGCCAAATCGCCAAATGTACGGTGTACGGTGCCAAAAGTACGGCGTAGCGGTACGGTACATTTACGAAAACGTGCGCCAGGCGCAGGCACGCCCAACGACACACACCTTTGACCTTTTGACCTTTTGACGCCCATCGTCAGAGCCTACAAAAAATGTAGGCAGAGCTAGAGCCTTAGAGGCGATGATGATAATTATAGCAATGCTACGGCGGAAGCCATAGCAACTTGTGTTGGGATTGCACCATTCACTGATTCAGCACCTGTCGTAGTCCATCATCTACACGTACATGTAGATCCGGAGTGCCACGGATAACATGTGGAATGCCATGAATGTTTTTCTCGCAGATATAGTAGTAGTAGTAGTAGTATTCTTTTATTTTCCATCGGAAGCCTCAACAGTGATGAACACAACTCTTAAGAGGGCCGATAACAGGGTAGAGGGGTGTGGGGTGAGGAAAAAAAATAAAATAATAATAATAGGAGATATTTAAACTAAACTAAACTGATACTTGGAACAATAAAGCAGCAGTAAGCAGTAAGCAGTAAACACAGGTATACAATACAAGCGATGCAGATGAATGAGGCCGTTTGCTGAAAAGAAGATCTAAATACTTCTGAAAAGACGCTGCGTCTTTAAGCATGGTCATAATGGGATAGTGCAAGAATTAAAGAGATGTTTTTAAAAACGAATTTAAACTAGGAACGCAGTAAACACAGTTATACAATACAGGCGGTGCAGATCAATGAGGGAGTTTGCTGAAAAGAAGATCAAAATACTTCTGAAAA